TGTCCAGCGCTTCGGCAAAGTAGTTGAGAGCGCCGCGGATTTCGCTCCAAGCTTCCACCTGAGGTGCTGGGCCGTTCGTTGTAATCCAATGCTGCATAGACTCCAGCAAGAATTGGCCATGGTTCTTATACGATAAATGGAGGATCTGCTGGAGAGTATTCGGGGCGCTATCGGCGGCGCCAGTAGACTGGACGGGACCTGCATCATAGTCATCCTCCAAGATGGTGTCGAAGACCAGGTCTTCGCCAAAGACTTCATGCCGTTGGAATTCCGAGAGCGATTCGGCGTACTTGAAAATATCGGAGTCGAATAGAGCCTTGTATGCTGCAGCTGTCTTTTCAAAAGATGCAGGGCCTTCAGAATGGAGTTTCAAGGCAGTCTGATAGAGTTTCAAGGCTTCTTCGATCTGGATTTCCTGGGTGTCGTCGACTTCCTCTTCGGCGGTTTCCTCGGGGATTTCGACATTGTAGGGATGCCACACTGAGGCTTTCGACTGCGCCGTGTCAGAGAGGATGAAGGAAAATAGTGGGCGCCGCGGCTGCAGGGGCCTGAATACGCAGGTATTTGACTTACCATGATGTGTGCTGTGGTTGATTAGACAATGACGGGGAGAGCCTCAGGGCGACACAGGAACTCTGTACAGCATCTGCAATGGGGACAAAAGGTAGTAGGCAACCATGAAGAGCACTGCTGCTGGGTATACAATTTATTGGCAGTATGACAGAGTCCGAATTCGACTTTGTGCAGTCTCGCAGCGTCTGGGTGACGTGACGCGACGCGACTGTGAACGATGGGTGGCAGGGATGAGGAGTCTTGGCAACGGGGCACCTCCGCGATGCAGCTTCCGTGCCTGCCTTGATGCCGACCAAGGACACGGAATTCTTGACACGCAACGCCCGGGAGCCCCAAGCGCATACGAACGAAGCCCCTCGCCTGGCATCCACCCCGCCGTTCTCCTCCCATCACCGCTCCCCTGCCACACCGCTTTGTGCGGCGCCAATTGAGCCATGGTGACATCGCCAGCTGTTCCTGAGTATGCCGCCCATGCCACTTCGACTACTAGTTGTCCCGACACATTGCTGCCTCTGCCTCTGCTTCTGCTTCTACATGCGCCACTCTCATTCGCATACGAATTTTCTGTCGCAGAGAACCTCTGTCTATGTGGCCTGTCTGACGATCCCCCAGAATCTACGAAGACGAGCTACACTCAGCCATCGAAGCGCGCTCGGAATCTCTACAGACGCTCCGAGAATTGGGCCCGCCAGACCTGGTCCACCTTATAAAACAGCCCATTAAGTCTGCGACAAAACAGGTCCGTAGCACCTTCGATCGTGCATACTTACGAGCCATGGCCTTTGACATGTGATTAGATTGGTGTCTACCATCATGTCACCGGCATAGACGCTTCTTCGTCCGCTAGCCTAGCGGCTTACATCAACACGCTTACATATTCTGCGCATGACAAGCAAAACAAAGTGGTCTCGGGCTTGTATTGGTAGGCTGGCTCCAAGTCCTGGCGCAGTCATTGGCTGACCAAGGCAGCTGCTACAATGCCTTTTCGCGGCTCGATATGCGCGTTCAAGTCTATATCCCAGGAACAGTCGAAAGCTACTGCATTGACGAGCGCGGCGACAAACGAGTAGCCACCGATGAACTCTGGCTAGAAACCTATCTCTGCAGCGTCTTGCGCGCATACTCGTACGCCGATGATGGTTCAGGCGATACTATCAAGAAGATTGTTGGTGTACGGAGATTCAACCCAATCACAAGCACAGAGAGCGAGCACAGGTTTCTGGATGCTGCAGAGCGTCTGTTCTTCAATGGTGGGCCGCATACTGGATATGAAAGAAATTTGGCTAACACCATCAAGGCTGGCAACTCGGATCCGACCCTGAGATTCAAGTCCCCAATCTCGTCTCAAACCATTTGACGACAGGTCTGCTCAACTACATTCACACGACCGGCAGATACACCTCGGGCATCAATCTCTTTGAAAAACTGCGCACTCGCGATCCAGAGATCTCATCGCTCCTCGCCCGCGTCTACATTGAAGCAGATGAGGAGGTCAAAGCTGTACAATTGTTGCACGGTGCTATCCAAGAGTTGCCTATGGACTACTCATTACTGGACTGCCAAGCAGAGTTCTGCAACAAGAAGGGCCGTGGTGATCTCGCACTGGAAATCGCAAAGAGGAGTGTCGTCTCCGCGCCTAGTGAGTTTGGTACATGGGCGCGCTTGGCGGAGATATATGTCAGCCTCGAGCAGTGGGATCTTGCGCTGCTGACACTCAACTCATGTCCAATGTTCACGTATCAGGACAAGGATGCTCCGCGGATGCCAGAGCCTCAGAGGGTCTTTCTGCCCATCATGCCCGAAGCGATGTGCGACGAGATAGAAGATTCCAATGTCGACGACATGGAGCTCGTACATCCAACCCTGCGAAAACTACACGCAGCCGGATTCAAGGGTACCTTCCTGAAAGCATACATCCTGCTCACAGAAATCACAAAGAAGATTGGCTGGGATCAACTCCTAAAGATAAGAAGTCAAGTTTTTGTAATGGAAGAGGAATACCGTCACGAGAAGACTGTACAGCAACCGCACTCTCGCAGTGCAAGCACAACAGCTCTCCGGGCTCCGTCTCCTAATTCGCAGGCCCAACAAGCCAACGGTAGCGAGCATGGCGATGTCCAGGAACGTCCATCCACAGATGCAAGCAATGCCCAGAATGGCGAAGGCTCGGCTGCTGGTACAGAAACTGAACTGGAAAAGCCCGGCCATACAGTTGCCTCTGAAGTTGTAAAGGCTGGCAGTGAAGACCCTCATCTTCATGACAATCAGAACGGCAACCCTTCCCAACCAAACTATACGCATTTCCAGAATAAGCGTTTGTGTGAACGCTGGCTTGACAACCTCTTCATGGTACTATACGAAGACTTGCGCGTATACACAATATGGCGCACAGAAATGGCGCAGTACCGCCAGCAGCAGTTGCTGTACAAGAAGAGTAGCGAAGAGTGGGAGATCCTGGGTGAGTTGGCGGAGAGATTGCATCACACTGAGGAGGCTGTAGAAGCATATGAGAACTGTCTGCAAATCAAGTTCTCCCCCAAGGCAATGAAGGGCGTACTCAAACTGGGCGAGGAGAGAAAGCAAGTCAGGGATGTCACGGCTGCACTGATTCGCCTCATCACCTGGCAGTACCGCTGGTACTCTGAGGCACGTTTCTTTCCTCTGAGCACTCAATATTCTAATTACTAACACGCTCGACAGTTCTCGCCGGCTCTCCTCTACACCATCCGCAAACTTATCGAGGAGGAAGGTGCCGTCAAGATCCGCAGCATTGTCCAGGGAACCTCACTACCCCAGCACGTCCTCGACCTTACCCACCAATACGCTGCATTATGTGCTGCGTTTAGGAGCAGTGGTAGCGACGGCTAGAAACCTTCGCCTCTCCCCATCTACGGGTATACGAATAATAGTCTACAGTCATTCTGAAGCAGGGGCGAAAATAGGACTAGAAAAAGGAATGTCACATTGGTAGTGTGTTAGGGTTTCTTGCATGGAAAGCGTCGGTGTTGGAGATGGAAACATTACACCCGTATGTCGCATACATTTTAGTTCACTGTAGATTTACCAGATTCCTGATCGATTGATTTGGGTGTTGGCATTTCACTTGTCCCTACTGCTTCACGGCATATATGTGTATGTGTATGTGTCGTGTTACTTCCTCACTCCATGGGCTTTTCTTTGCTTTCCGTGTTCTTGCAACCAATGTATTCATTTTTATCGTCACAAGCCGCGGGATCGTATCAGGCAGCCGTTGCGCGCCATGTCACGTAACCTCGTCCTTGAGGAGTAGATAGCAGACAGTAGAAGACCCCATGAAAAAGCCCAGGATGAACACCGCTCCATGCTCGCTCCCATACACCCCTTGCCCTCTCTTTCTCCTCCTCCTCGCGCCAGTAAGCCAGAAGAAAAAAACCGCTTAACGGTAAGACTTCTGGTACCTGGCGCGGGCACCTGGACCACCGAACTTCTTGGGCTCGCACCGCCTGTTGTCGGCAACGAGCAGTGTGCGGTCGTACTGGATGAGGGCCTGCTTGAGCTGGTTCTTGGAGTGCTCGTCGACGTACTTCTGGTAGTAGGCGATGATGGATTTGGCAATGGCTTGGCGGATGGCGTAGACTTGCGAGGTGTGACCACCACCAGAGACGCGGACGCGGATGTCGACATCGGCTACCAGCAACAGTTAGCTTCCATTTTGTTCCTCGCATATGTTTCGCGTCTGGTTGCTTCTTTGCAGCAGTCGTTATAGGTGTGTGCGTACCGAACTTGTCAACGCCCAGGATCAGGATGGGCTCGTAGACCTTGAATCGCAGAACCTCGGGCTGGATGAGGGAAAGAGGCTTTCCGTTAACCTTGACGAGACCCTTTCCGGCCTATATTTTCATCGTAAGTATATTGTTCGTAATTTTTGCGCATTCGATCGGTAGGCAGTGCGTATGTACCTTGCAGTGGGCGACAGCTGTTCGTGATCATGTTAGCCATTGTGCGACTTCTTTCAAGGAAAACACGCTCCGTGGTGTGGAGGAGCATCGTCGTACCAGTCGCAGTCTTCTTCTTGCCGAAGCATTGCACACTCTGGGAGGCCATGTTGGGCGACTGTGGGATGTGCGTGCGGTTAGTATTGGGTGGGCGTCGTCGGTTTTGCGGTCGTCGTGGAGTTTGAAGTTCGTCTACGCCGGCAGCGAATATTCAGTGGGCGTCCGTGCGCGCCCCGATCCCTGTAAGCGACTAGCGTTCTCAGTGGCTAGCGTGCCATTGAAGCCTTGTGCGCATTCCACTCAAGACTTTCCTTACCACGGTGCGTGACTTGAGAGGTTCTGGAAACAGTATCTGATGGGGCTTATGCCGTTGCAGCAATGAATCTGGTCATTTTCATCTTCGATTGATAATCACACTAGCTGATCTTACATCCTACCTCGCAGTCTTACAATATGCTTTACCAGATGTATGCGTTTGGCAGCAATGGGGAGGGGCAACTCGGGCTACCTGCTGCGGAAATTATTGAAGTGCCGACCAAAGTTTCTTGTACACTGCCTCTCGCAGATATTTCTGCAGTTCGAGGAGGTGACAATCATACTCTATTCCTGTGCAAGGATGGAGTCGTTTATGGAGTTGGCGACAATCACAAGGGTCAATTAGGCACTTTGGGAAACGAACCTCGAATCCCAGTCTTCATAAAAGGGTATGAAAATGCATCTTTAATTGCGGCTACTTGCGAATCTTCTGCATACATCACGAGAAGCAGTTCTGGGGAGAGCTACATCCACACGGAGGGTACCGGCCAATGGGGCGAACTTGGTCGTGAAGAGCAAGTCGGTCCCAAAACGTCAACTCGCATCACCACACCGCTTCCTGGTGCAATTGTCGACTTTGCTGCAGGAGTTTGGCACTATGTAGTCATTCTCGACGATGGCTCGGTTTACGGCTGGGGGAAAGCTCGTCTAGGTCAACTTGGCGATAGTCTTACTGGCAAAGTTACAACTCCGACCAAAATTAATGACATACCGTTCAAGCCAACCAAAGTCGTCTGCGGCAAGGACTTCACCTACCTTGTTGGGGAGCCATCTTCTGGAAAACACGTTCTACTCGGCAAAGACAAATTCAATATCATTTCAAATATGCCAGAACACATCAAGCACTGGAAAGATATCGGCGCTACATGGCATGCCATCTTTGTCTTATTCAATGATGGGACGCTCACCGCATGGGGGAAAGAGAATATGTGGAAATTGCTACCACCAAATTTACCACTTCTGGATAAGATTGCTGTGGGCTCGGATCATGTGGTTGCGGTAACAAGAGATGGTAAATTGATATCTTGGGGGTGGGGGAAACACGGGAACTGTGGTAATTTGAAGAATCTCAAGCAGGAGATTAAGAACGATATGATTAGTGGTTTTTGGAACGAGATTGAGGTTTCTGGTGAGATAGAGACTATTGGGACTGGGTTTTGCACTAGCTTTGTCATTACGAAATGAAGTAAATAGGAAATCTAACACGACGACCGTTCATGCTTCGTAGTCATGCCCTGTTGTGTCGCGTCCATTCACTTCATGCACATCGTTAGTTAGGAGATGCCGTGTAGCCCACGATACAGCGATTTGTTTTGCTATCCTAAAAAAGCGAACGTATCAAGGAAACTTACATCGCGAAACCCAACTACTAACAAAGATAACTCCCTCATATTTTTTAAACCCAACGCCAAACCATCTCTTCACCCTATCATAAAAAACGATCTTAAACGTTCTACGCAGATCTACCCGAAAATATCTATGTACTAGCCCATCTCAAAACTTCTCACGAACCAAACTCCACTCCGCAACCGTTGGCCCATCCGTCGCATCCTCCTTAAACTGATTTCCTCTCACCCCCAAATGCGCATACCTCCCACTCCACACACTCTCCGCTAGCGTAAAATTCGTCTGATTACCAACATACGGCTTAATTTCGTACGCAGTCACAGGATCCCACGGCGCACTGATATCCACACTGCCAGCTATCACTCTTCGCACATCCTCGGCCAGCTGCGCCGAAAACGGCGGAAGCGAGGAGTTTGAAAAGTAGATTTCGAAATGGGTGGGTGGCTGGTTCGCCCAGTCCATTACGATTTCGTTGATAGGGAAGAAAGCCAAGTCTCCGAGGTCGACGGTGAGGTAACTGGTTGTATTTGCGTACTCAGGTTGCCATTTCGTACTTGCGGCGCCGTCGATTGCGGCGATGGGGAATTGGCCCGGTTTATTGCGTTGAGGGGGTTGGAGGAGAGATTTACATTGGAGGATGTTTCCGCCTACGGTGAGGATCTCGCCCATGGGTCGGTTGCGTACTACAAGTGGTCCTTCGCCGAGCTCGTGCCATGTAATGTTGCGGCCGCTGCGGGTGCCGACTGTAACGGGGATGGGCTTGTCGAAGTACGTTGCATTTACTGAGGGGAGTGTGTATTTATCTCGTGGCAAGCGCTCTAATGTTGTATGTGTTGAGTTTGAAGTGGCGTTGATGCCGTGACCCATCCAGTAGAAGGTGCGGTAATTTAGGTATGGGATTTGCGGTGGCAGAGAGGGATCGATGTCCAACCTGTCGTAGTACAATCCCAAGCCGAGGTAGCCAAAGATTGCGACTCGGTTCGTTCCACCCATACCGGTCAGGAAAGGGAATGCTGGATGTGTTCCTCCATTCTCTTCCACATTGTCAATCAGCTGCTCAGAATACTGATACCATGGTGCGCGAAGGTAGGGCGAAGATGAGTAGACGTGGTAGGTAAAGCTCGAACATCCGGATGGAGAGACTTCATTGGCTACGACAGCGAAGGAGGAATATGTCATTGCGGGGCCGTCGAGGGATTGTTTTGCTGCGTAAAAATCCAGATTTGTCAAGCTGTAGGGATTCGGGTAGTGTAACAGATCATCTATGAGCACCACATCCGCTTGCTTGACTGCTACCGACCCGTTCATGCCAGTATATTCAACGATAATTCCAGTGTTGTCGTTAACTGGGAGTCGCATTTTTGCGGCTTTCTCGTTCCAGCTATCATTTTGACTACGCGCGAACCAAGAGTTGAATTCATTTGTTTCGAGGAAATGTTTCTGGATCAAGGCAGTAGTAAATCCCACATTGTTGACTTGGTTGGCATACTCGTCCGGATCAGTCGCATTCCATAGCTCCCAGTTTCCAGAAGTTTCATTGAAGTCCAGGACTTGGCCAAAAAAGTGTGCAATCGAGTTCGATATCGGTAGCAAGGTATCATTAAAGTACTCGGCATCACCAGTGATGATGAGATGATTGTTGAAGGCCAGGCTCATGTCACCGTTGAGATGATATTCGTAGTCGAAGCAGGCCCCAGTGCCTGTACAGTTTCCGAATCTCGCACTAGTCCAAGGATACACAGCACCCCCAGGAGTGAAGCGGCCTGTCTGGTTCTTGCTCGAGGTGAAGGCTGTTTGGACGTTTCGCTGCGCCTCATCGAAATGCTCTACATGATATTTGATAACGTTTTGCGCATGTTGAGGATGCGACACTTGGATTCCTGGAGCCATCCAAACTGTTGCATCCCAAAATATCATACCTCCATAACAGTCAGAGCCAAAACCGCAAACTGGAATGCTGTAGATGTCGAGTTTTGTGTTATTTGCTGCTGCAGCCACAGCGTTTGGCCCAACCATGTTGGAAAGAAGATAGAAAGGGTTTGTACGGGCCAGGATGTGTAGTTGCTGTACATCTGGATCATTGGGGAGAGATCCGTTCGGTAGATGGTAGTCGTCGACAGCGTCTGGCGTCAAGATAGATTCCCATTCTTCAATATGAGACTGTAGAAGCTTGTAGTAACCTTCTTTTGCGCCCAATATCGAAGCGTCCCGAGCCACACTTTGTGGATCAGGGAAGGCATCGGTTGAAGCGACTCCGATAAATTTGGTCACTTCGGTTGGTCGGAAGGCGGTTAGTTCGACTGGTACAGACTGCGCGATAGTTGACTCGTTGCCACTACCAAAGATGCCATCTGCTACTTCACTACGTGCACTGAGGTCAACCCAATCGCTAGCACCCAAAGTCGAATACACGTATGCGGTAACGTTTGTGATATTTCCTGGGCTTACGGCAGACCAGATAGTCGGGGTGTCTTTCTCAAACTTCTTCTGGACAAAATCCGAGCGCACAGCGCCATCCCCGTCTAGAATGTCATATACAGTCACATTATCGTCCCGGGTCGAAGTAAGTCGCAGTCTGACTACTGCCTTGTTAACGTAGAGCTTGTGAACAAAAAGCTGATAGTTGACATCGATGGTTCCATCACCCCGGCCACCCGGTTTCCAGTTGTACCGCCAACTCGCAATGCCAGCTTTTACATCCAGGCTTGAGACGAAATCCGAGATATGATCGGGGTTGACAGATGCATTCAGGAACTCGCCATTCGCTTCAACGATAAGGCCGCTCCAATGTGGGATACCGGCAATAAAGCTTTCCCAACCGTATTGATAAAGCCATGGGTAGTTGGATCCAACGGTTCGTGGCTGGCTGTTCCAAAAGCCCGCTATAGTAGAGAAAGCCTGTCGTCGACTGAAAAGCGGCCATCCGCTTATGACATCGCCATCGACTGGTTCGTCGACTTCGAAAAATGGTCCTGCGGAAGCGACATTGATACCAAAATAGCCGTTTGCGAGCGTCAAGCGGGATTGGTAGTGGCCTTGGTCTAGAGCATGTGTTGAAATCACAGAGTTGTCGTCATCCCATGTCACATGCTTGAATTGGTCTTGCTCGCTGCTAGTGGAGCCCAGCGCTAGGTGTGTTGTTGCTAGAAGACCGACTGTAGCTTGGAGGAATCTATCCGGTCGCATGTTTTGGGCAATCGAAGGGGAAATAAAATTCGAGGCAAAGGCCTCAACATGCCAGGCACACGGACTTTAAAGCACAAAGCCACGACGATCACCCATGCGGCTGACTAGTGACGCCCACGGAGCTTTATTTGGTCGCTTTCTTTTCCATTTCCCACACCGCTAGGCACGGGTTAGGTGTCCCGATAGCTTGTCATGCGGGCGCTACCCGTTCACGCTCTTTGGCCACCGCCGGGGCTTTTAGTGCAGACTGACATCCCTCCGGCGCTTCCCGATGCAGCAAAGAGTGGCTTATTTGAGCAGCATATGTAAGTTTATCGAGTAAAGGCAAATTGTACTGCATAGCGCCCAAGCCGCAGACGATGGAAAAGCCAAAGACGTGTTGATCGCAGGTAGGGCAGGCAATGAGGTGTGCCGTTTCGGGATCGTGCGCAGCTGACGTCATGTGGCCATCGTCCGATGTATCACTAGATGCGTGGCCTTGTTCTCTATCGGATTCCGAGTGGTATCGACAGTGTGACGGGCTGATTCTACTGACGTCCAGACATGTTATCGCAAATGTGTGAATGGTTGGTACTGGCGTTACCTGTTGCAGACTTGACGTGACTGCAACTCCGCGTTCCAGCCCCAACACGTGTTGCAGACTAGCCCCTAAAATCAGCATGTCAACCGAGCAACACATCCCCGTTTTTCCCATTACCATGGCTCGTCGAATCATCTCGAAACTTACCCAAGTATTCAACAAGAAAAATGATGATCACGATTTCTACACCCCACTGGCTGCTGATCCGCCTACCATTCGTCTCCTACGCTTGCTGCCTGGGCACCGGGAGGACGATATCAATGCGCAGCTTCAGCCTTATTCCATAGCCAAAGCTCAAAACCGTTATATTACCATTTCCTATACGTGGGGGCATGCAGAGGTTGTCCCAAACCGATTAATAAGATGCAACGACAAACTCATCTTCATTTCTGAGAACCTTTTTACCGCCCTTCGCACGCTACGACAACCTGACCATCCCATACTGCTCTGGGCTGATGCACTCTGCATCAATCAAGATGATACTTCGGAACGCACACAGCAAGTTGGTTTGATGGGTGAAATATACCGTAATAGCAAAGAAACCATGATTTGGCTGGGCGAGCCTGCTGCTAACGAGGATGTCGGTACCGATCTTTTGAGAAGATATCATGTCCAGGGACCGACCAGTGCTTCGACAAGCTACAGGTCCAAAGAGATTTCCCTAGAACCCGTATGGACAGGCGATTCAAATGACAATGAGCTGCGTAACGCATATTTGCTCGACTTCAAGCGCTCTAGTGCGTCTAATGTGAATGCACAGCTGATGGGACGCCCCCGTGTTGACGATGACAGCACTGGCTCCGATGTCTTTGGAGCCTTTTGCTTGTTACAAGACTATGCGGAAGGCACTTCATATCCTTTGCTTAATGCTTTACACCACGAGAAGACTGTCGCATTACAAAAGCATGGAGTTACTAGCAGCTGGCATGGCTTGGTACTCGCAAGAGCTCATGTGCGTGGTTCAAGATCTTCCAGAGTCTGGGCGGGTCTTGCAAGGCTGATGAGTAGACCTTGGGTCCATATCTCCTTCCCTTCTTCATAGCATAAGCTGATAGTAATAGTGGCAACGTGTGTGGGTCATTCAAGAGACTGTATTGTCTCGCAAAGCTACCATTCGATACGGAGTGCTGTCAGCCCCCTGGTCAATGTTTGCCAAAGCTGCTACCAATCACATTAAACAGCGTCACACATTATGTCTGGACTTGGCTGGCACCCTTCAGGGGCAAGACATTCTAGATCAGTTCAGTGATTTTGTGCTTCGCATAGAGGACACTAGACTTCAATACCTCGCTCGCTCAAGTAGTGGAACGATATTGCAGCTGCTATGGAGATTCAGGCCACTGCAAGCGACTGAGAAGCGGGACAAGATCTTTGCCCTCCTTGGCCTGACGACCAACTGGCAAGATCTTCCACCATTGTTACCTGACTATACTTCTGATACTGCTGCGACTTTTACGAGCACAACTGTGACTAACATACAACGAGCTGGGTCATTATCAGTTCTCGCGGGTGATCTTGAAGCTGTCCTCAACCGGAAGCGATTGGACGGCATCCCTTCTTGGGTCATGGACTGGTCGCTCCCATGTCTTCCAGTCGAGATTGAAAGAGTGAACTCTCTATGCATCTACAAAGCGTCTGGATCTCGAATAGGAACCGTTCGATTCCATCAGATAAACCAACTTCTCGATGTTGAGGCAGTGTATGTTGATAGTGTGACGACAGTAGGGGAAGTCAGTCGACACACACAAATCAGCGACACATGTGCCGTCATACGATCTTGGAATCTACTCACAAAATCGCTCGAGCAATCAAATCACACATACCCTAGTGGTGGGACCTACGAAAACGCTTTCTGGCGTACACTCATCGGGGATGTTGTACGTACCAGCACAGATCCAGATACTTACTGGAAGCAAGAATCTTATCGGCGTGCAATACCAGAAGACTATGAGGCTTTCAGGGCGTGGAGCATGTGGTCTCGCTGCATATCCCGTGATACATTCAGTCGTTCTGCAGCATTCAGCAAGCGCGATCTTGACGAAGGCATTTCAGCAATTCACCACGCTCTCAAAAACGCAACGACTTCTCGGCGCTTCTTTCTCACTAGCTCTGGTTACATGGGTCTCGGACCAAAGACAACTGCTGAGGGTGACAAGATCTATGTCTTTAAGGGTAGCAACATTCCGTTCATGGTCCGACAGGGTTTACCTGTATCTATTAACAACGATGATTGGGCAACTCTTGTTTCGGGAAGCGAGGATGGGGGCGAAGAGCATACTCGTCACCCCGCTGGTCATGTGCTTGACGCTTTCCAGATGGTTGGCGATTGCTTCATGTATGGCGCGATGGACGGCGAGTTTTTCGAACAACCTCACGCTGAAATATGTCATCTCTACCTTCCTTGAGTTCTTTTTTTCTTCCTGCGTTTCGGTCGCCATACGGGCAAATGCACATGTAATTTCGATCGGACAACTCTGCATCAAGCACAGCATTATTGAAAATGATAATTACTACAAGAGGTATGTAATCCCGACAGGTAGAATGAGTATGCGGAGATTCTATCGTTTGGCTCAGTAGCACCATTCAGCCATGCGCCAGGCATGGGCTGACACAGTATTGGGTGGCTAATAGTCCTTCACGCAGGCAAGAGCATAGCCCCGCTAATTCCTCGTGGAGTCACCTGAGTGGACCGTTCTCACCCCCACTTCTACAGCCTGATGCGCCACCAAACTGTTTCGGAGCCTTCATGCAGTATGATAGGTATCATTTAGTGGTGTCGAGAGAGTAGGCACCACATGCGTACTACCGCACTGCCTCGTTGCTGCATGCACCTACCTACTTTGACAAGAAGTGCGCCGTTATATAAACCACCTCATTCATACTTGTTTCCTCATCGCTCATCGAAAAAAATACCTCATCTATGGTTCATCTCTAAATACACATGGTACCATGTGAAGCAACAGCACGCCATAATATCGAGCAGACTCGCAGTCCTTGCAAGGCTACAGCTCAACGCCTATTGACTTAGCACACCCACCTCGGTCGCGCCATATCAGCTATTTGCATTATTTCCAGTCATGGAAGGCCCCTATGCCGTGACACCACTTAGCCATGATACTTCAACGCCTCAGTTCAGACTCCTTGAATTGCATCCGAGCACACAGTCCTCTCTGATCGAGTGCAGTCTTCGATCCTATTCTTTCGACGAGAGCTATCCAGCTTACAAAGCATTGTCTTACACTTGGGGGTCGGTAAAGGATACCTATCAACTACGTCTCAATGGATACGAATTTTCTGTTTCCCGCAATCTGTGGACCTTCTTAGAGCAAATGCATCTCCAAAGGCGACATGGAGTCTACTGGATTGATGCTATTTGCATCAACCAAAGTAACACACTGGAAAAGAACCATCAAGTTCAAATGATGCGACGTATCTACAGCACCGCTGAGCAAGTAGTGATCTGGCTCGGCGAGGCGACTCAAGACAAGACAAGCGACATGGCTATGGACGTAGTGGCCAGCACACACAAATGGGTATCAAACAGGAGATCTGGCGATTCCATGCACGAATCGCATTTCATCTGGGATGAGAGAGAAACGCGCGCTGTAAAACACCTTTTTTCCCGGGACTACTGGACGAGGATCTGGATCGTACAAGAAACCGTGGTTGCCAAAGACATTTCAGTGTACTGTGGGTCAAAGAGTGTTGAATGGAAAGCATTAGGCAGTGTTTCAGGATATGTGGATTCTTCACTTCCGAAGTACTTGAGAGACATAGCCCATTTCTATGGATCACCAGCGGTCAACCTATACTCTAAATGGTACCTATCTCACTCACATAAATCAAGGATCGGTCTTACTCAACTGCTCTATGACTACCAATATTTCAACGCGTCAAATATTCTCGACAAGGTGTATGCCTTATGCGGAATCGCAAGTGATGGTGGCAGCATTGTTATCGATTACAATATCTCACCAGGGGCCCTGGTAGCTCATCTCCTTGATCAAGCTCCTAAAAGTTTCTCAGAAAACGAGCGAAGGGATTTAGAATTTTCGGCACATAAAGCTCTAGCATCCGATCGAAGATTTACGAGATTTTCTCAAAAAGATACAGAATTTGGTCAAGAAGGTACGAAACCTAGACGAAGGTAAACGAAATCTAACCCAAAGGATACAAAATCTAGCCAAAAAGATTCCGAAAACTCGTAGGAATGATAAAAGGTCTAGTCAAAGAAATTCGAAACCAAAACTAAAAGATACGAAACCTGGTCGGAGATACACCAAATCTAAACGAAAAGATACAAGTCTCGTGTTAATTGTCCCATCTTCATCTATCTTCTTCTCCTTGGTGCGTAGCGTAGTGGGCTGTGTCCTCCCACAAAGATAGTTATCTATTCCCTTATATGCTGAAATTGAAAACGAAGAAGATGGTGCACAAGTCGAGTAAATCTTTGAACAATATGTCTGTACTAATATCTTGAGATTTATATTCTCTATATAACTAGCCTCCTACAATTCCATACCAATCTTCTCACACCAAAATCCCGCACCTAAACTCAAGGCGTACACCCCTTAGACGGCGCATACCCAACCTCTTTCCGGTACGGATACCTCTCTGTACAGTGCACCAACCGCCCCCTAACCCAAACCGCAAGCGTATTCCTATCATCGCCACTATACACCCACTTCTCCACCCTATCCTGCCAACTCTCCCACCCAAACACATCCACGGGTCCCTCCTCAAACGCGCCCGCTTCGCTCCCAAACTCGCCCACAGCACCCAGACTAATCATCTGCGCATCCCACTCCTTCCCAACTTCAAACCCGCCAACCGTATCTTGCAGCCCTACCACTGCGGCACCACCGCGGGTAGCAAGGTACAAAGCCTCTTCTGTAGATAGCTTGACGGCATCCGAAGACGTCTGGATGCAGAGGTGCCGCGATACCCAAATCGCCTGCCTCACATTCTCCAAAATCGAGGGGGAGAAGCCGCCGGAGATGTCTGTGCCCAGGCCAATCGTGTGGCCTTCATCCAGCAACGAGCGGATAGGGGCGCAGCCCGATGTAATCGCCGTATTCGACGCAGGACAATGACTAATTTTACTTTTCCGGGCGAGGATCAAGCGGCGTTCCTCGGGGGTGAGGTGGACGCAATGTGCTAAGATTGTTTTATCGGTGAGGAGACCATGGGTGTCGTAGACATCTGCATAGCTCTTTGAATCAGGGAAGAGGCTCTTGACAAGTTCGATTTCACCCTTGTTTTCGGAAATGTGGGTTTGGACGTGGGCGTCTGTTTCTTGGGCTAGGCGGCCCATTGCGCTGAGGCAGTCAGGAGTGCAGGAGGGGGCGAAACGCGGGGTTATGATTGGTTTTACGATGGAGCCTTTGGGGTCGATGGAGCGGATGTATTCGATGCTGGATTTGGAGTCTAGGTAGCTTTGGTCTACGCTGGTGTCGCGGTAGTATTCTGGGCTTAGGTCGCTGTTCATGCATACGCGGCCGATGAGGGCACGCTGACCGCGCTCCAGACATATGTCGGCGAGGGTGTTGGTGGCGGGGACGTGGATGGTGGCGTAGTATGCGGCTGTGGTTGTGCCGTGTGAGAGTGTTCTTGAGACGAAGTTGTTGTACACGCGGTATGCACGCTTGATGTCGGAGAAAGAGGATTCAGTGGGAAAGGTATACTTTTGCAACCAATCCAGGAGTGTGGTCTTGCCGAACAGACCGGTATTCGGGTGCTGGGGCGCGTGGACGTGGGTGTCGATGAAGCCTGGGAAGAAGAATCCGTTGCTGGTTTCGCTGATCGAGACGACCTTGGCGTCTGTCCAGGCAGTGTCCAGGGAAGAGAGAAGGGAGGCCAGAGACTCCACGTCGCGATTTACGAAGCGGATAATGCCACTGGAGTCCACGCCGATGGCGCCATGGGGCTCGATTTCTAGCGTGCTGAGGGATATGCTATGGACGAAAGGACCAAAGTAGATTGTACGTGGTATGGGTGTTGATGCTGCCATTTTTCTCTTGAATGTTCCCTACACAACTCTTGTTCCTCTCGCTGCTCTTGTGTAAATCCAGAAATTCTATTTGGAATTGAGGCAGATACACCGCTCTTGCCACGGAAGTCGACAGAGTTTCGGACCAAGATACCGGTAAATCCGCGGGCCAAGTGTCCTAATCGTTTTGTTTGTTCGCCGAGAAAGAGAAAGAAAAATCTAGTTGTGATACAAGTGCAGAAAAGGGTCAAAGAGAACACTTTATATACACTCAACTCTCAGCAATGGAGGTGTACAGAATTGAAGAGGGACAGCCGGCGTCCTTTATCAGTTCCTAACAAGGGATGACGGGTTATAAGCGGTTTAGCGGGGGGTCGCTAATGTTTACCACGTGGAGCCGAACCGGGGCGTCACTAGGTACTTCTGGGGTCATCGGCGTCCTCCGATCAGCAATTCACCACCACCATCACATTTGGGAAAAGTAAAATGTGAAAGGGGCTTAGTGCTCAGCTCTCGCTTCCTCATACATGGTCAATCACAACCCCACAATACGGCAGGGTGAAACAATGGATGGGAGCCACACAAAAAGGAAGTTTACATGTTTCTTGGACTAAACACTTCCGCAATGCGCCGGTAGCCTATCGCTGCGGCCATCACCTATGGGCCTTCCAATAGTCCTTCCACATCTGCACGTACGCCCATAACTTTCTTTTTGTTCTGGTCAGGTACAAACAACGCCAGGATATTCCCCATTTACAGCACGCCTGAAAACTCCATGATAGCTTTCTCTGCGAAAGCGGAACACAGCCTGCCCATATTTGTCTGCCAAGGAAGAGCCGCTATCCAGAACAGGATGCGCGTGGGTATGATTATAGGCTGTAGTCGTGAATGGCTTGTGGGCCTTGGTCGTTATAATCTGGGCGTGTCATGTAGCCCTTGCTTTGACCTTGGTCGACTACAAAAATGACTTTGGCCGCGACCTGGGCGCCCAAGAAGGTTGATTCATCAAAACCAACCTCTTTGAATTCTGGAAAGTACTCTGGGGGCTTGACAAACTTAACAGACGTGGGTGTTTGGCCATGTGAAGAGTGCAAGTTGTGTGACATGCCAGGCATGCTTCCATGGGGCATCATGTGTTGCGTCTGAGCCGTGGTAGCTGCTAGTAGAAGTGGGTTGACTTGAGAGTTGCCATGTGGGCCAAGTTGGGGTTGTGGCGTGTTGGTTCCAGTACCCGCAGGTGTTGAGACATTGGACGGGATCTCAGATGTGAAAATGGTAGCAGATGAGGGCGACACTAGATACTTGGCCTGGATGGTCTGTATGAGAGATTCCCTAAAGCCTGAGTTCGTGTTAGTAGGCTTCAAATAATTTGGTGTGCAGATAGTGAAACCTACCTCGTAGCTTCGCTCCATTACCGCAGACAATCAACTGATCCCAAAGATCGCTTCGTTTGCCAACCTCGTCAATAGACGAGATTACCCTGTATACGGCATCTGCAATCTTCTCTAGTGTGCCATTTCCATCTGCCATGAATCGCTCATTGCCAACTTCTATCTCACGTCTTATTGATCCTGTCCTCTTGTTTGTGTTGTTGGCTTCGCCAGTGCCGTTTACCTCGGTGGTAGCAGCAGGCTCACCCTCCTCTTCATTTTCATTTGGTTTCCTGCTGGGGCCCTCATCCAACACCCCCTTTGCATCAGCCATCTCTTGATTGTTCAGGTTCATATTCTTCAAGGTATCCAGGAGCGCATGATCCTCATACAGGAATGTGGCTTTTTCGAGCTTCGAGTTGGGTAGCTTTACAGGCTTGTTTGCTTGGGGAGCTGGAGCGCCCTTCTTTTTAGCATTGGCCTTTTCTTGTTTCTCCTTCTCCTTCTTGGCAAGGTACTCTGACATCTTGCCACCAGCCACAATGCTTGCGACGTCTAGAACTCCCTCATCCTCGCCAGTTCCTTCTTCTCCGACCTCAGTATCTACGCCAGGACCCCGTGGCACGTTTCCGATTGCAGCTGCAGCTGCAGCGCCAGATCCCGGTGCTCCTGTAGAAGCTGCTGCTGCGGGGTTGCTCACGCCATCGGCGACAGGCGCATCTTTTGATCCTGGTAGTGGAACTCCTGGGGGGAGAAGCTCGCATATCGGCGACCTCTTGAGCTGTTCGCACATGTCGCGGTTGAAGCCTTTTGGCTTCAGCTTGGCGAGGAGGCCTTCGGTAAAGGCTTCGCCTCCGCATCCTGCTAGGGAGATTACTCTACCCTGTGTATGCGGGATGAACTCACTGACAGCAGTCACGTCTGCCTTGTCTTTGCCGACATCGATGACAGTCGCCGTGTGCACACCATATGCCCAAGCTGTCGCCAGTGCTGCGTCCATCAAGCCGAAAGCGGGTACCTTGAATTTCTCAAAGAAGAACTGCGTGAGTTTCTCGTGCTCTCGCGGCGTCCATGCTGGCTGGGCAATGAGAAGGATCGGAGTGTGAAAGGGCGGGTTGAGTGAGTTGTAGACGTGGGTGATGAGAGCGAAGAAGCATGGCCAGTCGACAATCCTGCCCTGCTGAATGGGCCATATGGCGCCTTCCTCTGAGACACGGTCCTCGTCCCATATGACCTCCTCTTCACCCTCAGCGGGCTTGCTATCTTCTTGCGACTCGTCCTTGGCCTCACCATTCTCTGCTGCTGGGCGATCCTGCCGTCTCCGGATCTTATATGGCTCAAACTCGCCCTCCTTCTCAGCAGGGAACATGCGCGACCTCAGGCGGAGGCGCGCCGGGGTGAAGGACTCGGGCAGGCCCAGCTGCGCGACAGTCGTCTCGGAGCCGGGCGAAATAATCTGCAGGGCGTTAGCGCATGCGGCGAGCGATCAGCAGCGCATGTGAGACTGACGATGATCTGGTCATCCTTGAAGGGCGGCATGGCGGCGCAATTGGTGAGGTATACAACATGTACACAAAGCTCCGGCGCGTGCGAGAGCTTCCAGCCCAGCCTACCGCGATGGACTTCGCGACTGCGGCGCTAGCCGGCGCACGGGCGCGGGTAGTCTGACTTCACAACCAAGTTGGCACCCACCCCCACATGATGCCCACCCTTCTTGTCCCAATCTCTCAATTGCGTTCCCGAATGTTCCAACGTGCCCTCGCAACAGTTCATCATGCGGATCCAGTCTCCACGGGATCAGACTAGCACCGCCCCAGACCTCTGTTCATGATATCTCCCCATCCAGGACACATCCATAAGTACATTCCCGTCGCCCACCATGTCCTCCATGGCAGCCTCGGCAACTGCCGCCTCTCAATCCCTCGCAGAAGCCTCCAAAGCAGCCGTCTCCAGTGCAGCAAAGGTTCTCTCTACGCCTGTCATGCGTGTCAAGGTCGCCGATGCCCCTCCCCCGTCCAGCTTTGGTCTGCTTGGCCGTGTCATTCTCTCTATCTTCAGCGTGTTGCCTTCCGTTCTGTACTGGACCAGTTACACTTTGCCGGCATGGCTCTTTACACTCTTCTCCATGAGCTTGACTTTCACCATGAACTTCACCACGTTGTATGTCACCCGGGCCGGTCCATGGTCTTTGCTGAATAAATTATCAGGATGCTTGTTGTGGTTTTCGCCGTGTCTACCATCAGCTACTTTGTGAGGTACCGGTACATGACCATGTACGCAAGACTGCCGCCTGAACCCCAACGTGAGGAACCTCAGGTCGAAGTTTTTCCAGACAGTGCCGAAAGCGACTCGAAGAGGGGCTTGTCTAACTATCTTGATGAATTCCTGAGTGCCATCAAGGTCTTCGGTTATTTGGAGCGCCCAGTCTTTCACGAGCTCACGCGCACCATGCAGACTCGCCGATTGGTGGCTGGAGAGACCATTCTATTGGAGGAAGAGAAAGGCTTTTGTCTCGTGGTAGACGGCCTGGTCCAAATCTTTGTCAAGTCAAATCGTGCAGAATCTGATTCGGATGAAGACGAAATGGGCGGTGAATCACCAGACGGCTCTGCACAGCAAGGCCACCGACAAGGCTATCAGCTTCTCACCGAAGTGAAAAATGGAGCGCCCATGTCCTCTATGTTCTCCATACTGTCCCTATTTACAGAAGACGTCAAGCTGCGTCATGACCAAGATGATCTTGCAGATTTAAGTGTACCAACATCCCCTCGTGGTCAAGCCGTACCGCCCTTGTCTCGAACCGGCAGCTTTGGTATGGACAATTCAAGACCACAAACACCTCGCGAAGTTCCAGAGTCCAAATTGCGACACCGAAGAACATCAACTCTGAATAGTCCAACAGCAGGTGGCCGGCTCGAAAGCGTACCACCTCTATCATTAGACATGGACGGATTCGGTGGTGAACGCCTCAAACACACCAAAACTCGAAAATCACCCTCGCAGCCTGCAAAGCTGAAATCGGCACACCCAGACATTGTCGCACGCGCTGCTGTAGACACGACCATTGCCATCATACCCGCTACTGCATTTCGTCGATTGACGCGCATCTACCCCAAAGCAACGGCGCATATTGTACAAGTTATTCTTACACGTCTACAAAGAGTTACACTTGCCACCAGTCATGAATATCTGAGTTTGACAAACGAAGTGCTTCGTACAGAGAAGCTTATGAACAAGTACACCACATACAATCTTCCGGGCTTCCTGCGAGACGCTCCGCTCGAGCGACTCAAGGAAAAGTTTGCTAAAGAGACGGAGCGCATTGGTCCGGATGAAGGCATGAAGGGCATCGCACTGCACAACCCGGGCGCTGGTCGTCGAAACAGATCCAGTGTATCATTAAGACGAGGCACAGCTGCGCAAGCTCGCCTTGCCGCTGCACGGGGCGCAACACTCAACGCTGGCTCTGAAACGATGCCTACAATCACTTCACCAGATCAAGGACCGCGCAATGATCGTGTCAGCGCGGGCGATCTGTTGACCAACTCACAAGCGACCCGAGGGGCAGGCCGCAGTGGTCGCAACAGCTTCTCTCAGCCATTTCAACAAGAACGCCGCGATGCTCGGACACCACTCGATGCCGGCTCTTTCAATCCCTTTGCTTCTCCCTCACTTCGTCCCAAGACACTTCATCGCCAAGAATCTATTGACGAGGCCACCGTTTTCAGAGAGTCCATACTTGGTTGCATGTTCAAGGCTATAGGACTTACCGATCCGGAAAACCCAATGCCCAGACCGACTGCCTCAGTAGAGCAGTCACCCCAACTCGTTTCATTCGACGCTAGCCGGCAGAAGGCCGTCTTCACTAATGCATTTGGCTTCATTGATCCTTACGCAGCTTCACGAGATGGCGATACCGAATCTGTCGCATCTGCGTCAGGCATGTCGAACGCGAGCGGTGTAGGATCGCACAACATTGTGGAAGAGATTGTAAATGACGTAGAGATTGTCTTCTTCCCCAAAGATTCTGTTCTTGTAGAGCAAGGCGAACGAAACCCCGGCTTGTACTATGTGATTGACGGGTTCCTCGACGTGAGCGTACTTATGCAAGAAGAGAAATCTGAAACTAGTACGTTCGGAAATTTTTCGAATGTTCCTGGATACACTGAGGAAGACCTGTTTGGCCCTCCACTCCGACCAATTAGCTCGAATACTCCTTCACGTTCGGGTGGGGAAGGCACAAAGAAGAAGCGCACACGGCGGAGTCTCTTCATGACAAAACCTGGTGGCCTAGCCGGATATCTTGGAGCAATATCATCTAACCGGTCTTTTGTTGATGTTACTGCCAAAACCGACGTCTACGTAGGCTTCCTGCCTCGTGCAGCCATTGAAAGGATAGTGGAGCGCTATCCAGTGGTGTTGCTTACCATGGCTAAGCGCCTAACGACACTCCTTCCACGTCTGGTTCAGCACATCGACTTTGCACTTGAATGGGTTCAGGTGAACGCTGGGCAAGTCATCTACAACCAGGGCGATGCGAGTGATGCAATCTATATCGTCTTGAACGGACGATTAAGAGCAATCCGTGACGCTGAAAATAACGATGTCAAGGTTATTGGCGAATACGGTCAGGGCGACAGCGTGGGCGAGCTCGAAGTACTTACCGAATCATCGCGTCCTGGGTCGTTGCACGCCATTCGGGATACCGAACTTGCCAAGTTTCCAAAGACACTTTTCAACAGCCTTGCTTTGGAGTATCCTGGAATTACTATCAAAATCTCGAAGATTATCGCGTCTCGGATGCGAGCTTTGGTCGATGATCCACTTCACGAACAGAGTAAAGAGCGTAGTTCCAAGGCCACGCGGGCTAATGTGTCTTCGACGATAAATCTTCGCACTGTTACTATTCTTCCAGTCTCAGCTGGAGTCCCGGTGGTGGATTTTGGAAGCCGGCTTGTGAATGCACTCGCACAGATTGGCATACCTCAAGGCGTCGTGTCGCTCAATCAAGCTGCTATTCTGAACCATCTTGGAAGACATGCTTTCAGTCGAATGGGTAAACTCAAGCTCTCACAATACCTTGCTGACTTGGAAGTAAAGTATGGCATGGTGATCTATGTTGCTGACACGCCAGTCAAGTCACCTTGGACGCAGACATGTATCAACCAAGCGGATTGCATTCTTCTTGTGGGTTTGGCAGAGTCTTCTCCAAACATTGGCGAATACGAGCGTTTCCTATTGACGACGAAGACAACAGCGAGAAAAGAGTTGGTGCTTCTGCATTCGGAACGATACTGTGCTTCTGGTCTCACGCGAAAGTGGTTACGAAACCGACCTTGGATCAATGGCAGCCATCACCACATCCAGATGTCATTCCGCGCGACATCGGAACCAGTTCACCATGCTGGCCGGCGGTTTGGAAACGCACTTAAGCAACGAGTGCAAGTCATTCAGGCCGAGATCCAAAAATACACATCAAGGAAAGTTCGTCAAACGCCTCTCTACTCTGCAGATACACCGTTCAAGGGCGATTTCCATCGGCTCGCTCGCCGACTATGTGGTCGGTCAGTCGGCCTTGTGCTGGGGGGCGGTGGAGCTCGTGGTATTGCGCACATTGGCATTATCCGCGCACTAGAAGAGGCAGGAATCCCGATTGATATTGTAGGAGGGACCTCTATTGGCAGTTTTATCGGTGCTCTATACGCATGGGATGCAGATGTGGTTCCCATGTTTGGCAGGGCGAAGAAGTTCTCGGGTCGCATGGGCAGCATGTGGAGATTTGCACTTGATCTCACATATCCCTCGTGAGTTACAGAAAGTCGTCGGGGTGTGCGCTTAGTGCTAACTGTAAGCAGTGTTTCGTACACTACGGGCCATGAGTTCAACCGTGGCATCTTCAAAACTTTCGGCAACTCGCAGATTGAAGACTTCTGGCTTGAGTTCTATTGCAACACAACCAACATCAGCAAGTCGAGGTCGGAGGTTCACACGTCAGGCTACGTGTGGCGCTATGTCCGTGCGTCCATGTCACTTGCGGGACTACTGCCGCCACTATGCGACGATGGCAACATGCTTCTAGATGGAGGCTACGTTGACAACTTGACTGTAGCACACATGAAGAGTCTGGGTGCAGACATCATCTTTGCGGTGGATGTCGGCAGTCTTGACGACAACGCGCCACAAGCGTTTGGCGATTCACTCAGTGGCTTCTGGGCAACATTTAATCGGTGGAATCCATTCTCAAGTTTCCCCAACCCGCCGACGCTATCAGAGATCCAATCCCGACTGGCGTATGTGTCTAGTATTGATGCGCTGGAGCGCGCGAAGAATACGCCGGGATGCAGGTACCTGCGGCCACCTATCGATGCGTACGGCACACTAGACTTTGCGAAATTCGACGAGATATACGAAGTCGGCTACAAATATGGTGCGTTGTCGGAGTCGGGCCGGGCACAAAATTTTTCACAACTAACAGAGGACACACAGGCAAAGAGTTCCTAGCGCAGCTGCGTGAGCAAGGCGTGCTTCCAGTAACTGAAGAGACGGAGAAAGAAAAGAATCTCCGTCGGACAATGGCGCCGCGACGGGCGAGTATCTAGCGGGCTTGCGCAATGGCCGGGGCTGCGGAGTAAAACGGGCTGCGAGCTAATAGACAGGTATGAAGTAATGGAATGCCCAGGTAAGCGGCTTAGATTTGCCCAATAAGTGCTAGAGATGCGTGTGGATGCAAGGACGGTCATCTTGGGGTTTAGTGGGCCCCCGCCCGCCGCCGCCGACCAGCAACATGCCTGTCCTTATCGGCTGGGCTGCCCATTCTTACTGGGCGGATAGTGACGGGTTACCTGCTGCGTAGATAGATAGTCATCCATGGTCGCAACCAAAATAAAATTCAAGGACAAAAAAGTCTCGACGCAGCGCGATCCCTTTGTCTTTCTTTCCTCTCTGCAGCAGCAGCCGCAGCCGCAGCCTCACCTCATCGGCTGTGGGAAGTACAGGACAATTGCGTCTACTATCAGCATCACCTTTCCCCCAGCCCTGCTACTCGGGGAACACACTCGGGGAACACCACTGCCCCTCGTAGCGTTCACACCACCACACAGCAAACATGAGGACTGCATGTCTTCGGGCTGCTAGCACTGCTAGCCGGCTCACACGCTCATCATGCGTCGCCCAATTATCTCGCCCACAGCTCGCTGGCAGCTCATCGCGTGTAGTCGCATATCAAACTCACCAGGCGCTTCAGAAGCGAACATTCCAGCAGAATGCTACAACCTCACAACAGGCAGCGGCCTTGGCCGTCGATGCTGCTGACGATGTATTCGACACCCCACCTCAGCAAACAGCCTATGCGAAGCCGCTCGAGGCACTCGATACCTTTCCCCGTCGACACATTGGCCCCTCTGCTGAGACGGCCGAAGCCATGCTCAAAGCCCTCGACCCACCAGCGGCCAGTCTGGACGAGTTTGTCAAGCAAGTCATCCCCGCCGATATTCTCTCTGGCCGCGAGTTGAAGATTGGAAAACTTGCCCAACACCACGACAGCGAATGGCAGAACAACGGAGTGCCCGAGTCCGTTTTCCTCAACAACGCAAAGAAGATTTTGGACCAGAACAAGCCCGGCAAGAGCCTGATCGGACAAGGGTACTACGGAACAAAGGTGCCAGAAGTCATCAAGAGGAATGTACTCGAGAACCCCGCATGGTACACAAGCTATACGCCATACCAGCCGGAAATCAGCCAGGGACGCTTGGAGTCGTTGCTGAACTTCCAGACCATGGTGACGGATCTGACGGGTCTCAGCATCGCCAACGCATCAGTTCTCGATGAGCCCACTGCCGCAGCCGAGGCCATGACCATGTCCATGGGTGTCTTGCCGCTATCCAAGCAGAAGAGCAAGAACAAGACTTTCCTTGTCTCGGACAAGTGCCACCCCCAGACGCTTGCTGTTCTGCACTCTCGTGCTGAGGGCTTTGGAATCAAGATTGAAGTTGCCGACGTGCTCAAGGACAATAGCAAGAGGGTCGAGGAGATTGGCCAAGATCTTGTTGGTGTTTTGGCTCAGTACCCAGATACAGACGGAGGTGTCAACGACTTCCGCGGACTTTCTGAGAAGGTGCACAAGACGGGTGCTCTCTTCAGCGTAGCCACCGACCTACTCGCTCTTACACTGCTCACTCCCCCTGGCGAGTTTGGCGCTGATATCACTTTCGGAAACGCACAGCGCTTTGGTGTGCCTCTGGGCTTCGGTGGACCACATGCCGCTTTCTTTGCCTGCGACGAGAAGTATAAGCGTAAGATTCCTGGTCGCTTGATCGGTCTTTCCAAGGATAGGCTCGGCAACCAGGCAGCACGACTTGCCCTGCAGACTCGTGAGCAGCACATTCGCCGCGAGAAGGCAACGAGCAACATTTGCACAGCACAGGCTCTTTTGGCCAATATGAGTGCCATGTATGGTGTTTACCACGGACCAAACGGTTTGACTGCCATTGCAAAGCAAGTTGTTGCCAAGGCCCGTCTCATTCAACAAGCTATCATAGACAACGGCTTCAAGACTGGTCAGCGTGGGAAAATGGACAACTCCCCTGTCTTATTCGACACCTTCATTGTAGAGACTGGAGGTAACACGGACGGAATAATTGCTGAGCTCGAAAAGAAGGAACTCCTTGTCCGAAGGGTCGACGACAAACACATTGGTATTTCAGTCGATGAGACCACAACCGCTCAGACTACCACCAATCTGCTTGGAGTATTCAGGAAGTTTGGAAAGGGTGACAAGACACAATTCAACGAGCCAGTCGATATTGAGCTTCCCGCACCGTTCAAGAGGACCAGTCCGTTCATGACCCACCCAGTCTTCAACTCTCACCATTCCGAGACAGAGCTTCTTCGTTACATTAACCACCTTTCTTCCAAGGACCTCTCGCTTGTCCACTCGATGATTCCCCTCGGATCGTGCACTATGAAGCTCAACTCCACGGCCGAGATGGCTCCCGTTTCGTTCGACACAGTCTCCAACCTACACCCATTCCTGCCACTGGAGCGCGCCAAGGGATACACTGAGATGATTACACAGCTGGAAGACGATCTGGCTGACATTACTGGATTTCACTCTGTCTCTCTTCAGCCCAACTCTGGCGCTCAGGGCGAGTTCACTGGTCTTCGTGTCATCAGCAAGTACCTCGAGCAGCAGCCTGGCAAGAAGCGTGACATTTGCTTGATCCCTGTCTCTGCTCATGGTACCAACCCCGCAAGTGCCGCCATGTGCGGTATGCGCGTAGTGCCCATCAAGTGCGACCAAGCCACTGGCAATCTCGACATGGCAGATCTCAAGGCCAAGTGTGAGAAGCACAGTGACGAACTTGGTGCCTTCATGGTTACCTACCCCAGTACCTTTGGTGTATTCGAACCCAATGTCAAGGAGGCCTGCGACCTTATCCACCAACACGGTGGTCAAGTCTACATGGACGGTGCCAACATGAACGCTCAGATCGGTCTTTGCTCGCCTGGCGAAATCGGTGCCGACGTATGCCATCTCAACCTCCACAAGACCTTCTGTATCCCCCACGGTGGCGGCGGTCCAGGTGTCGGTCCCATCGGTGTCAAAGAGCACCTCTCGCCCTTCCTCCCCGGCCACCTCCGCGGCGAGACAGGCGGCTCGCAAGCCATCCACCCCGTCAGTGGCGCGCCCTGGGGCAGCGCCAGCATCCTACCCATCAGCTGGGCCTACATCAAAATGATGGGCGCCCTCGGCCTAACTCAAGCCACCAAAATCACTCTCCTAAACGCAAACTACATCCTCTCGCGCCTCAAGCCCCACTATCCCATTCTCTACACAAACTCTCAAGGCCGCTGCGCCCACGAATTCATCCTCGACGTCCGCGGCTTTAAAGAAACCGCCGGCGTAGAAGCTATCGACATCGCCAAGCGCCTCCAGGACTACGGCTTCCATGCCCCCACCATGTCCTGGCCCGTCGCCAACACCCTCATGATTGAGCCGACCGAGTCGGAAAGCAAAGCCGAGCTTGACCGTTTCTGTGACGCACTGATTTCCATTCGTCAGGAGATTCGGGATGTGGAAGAGGGAAAGCAGCCCAGAGACGGCAATGTGCTCAAGATGAGTCCGCATACGCAGCAGGATCTTATCCGCGGGGAGTGGGATCGGAGTTACTCGAGGGAGAAGGCGGCGTACCCGTTGGGGTATCTTAGGGAGAAGAAGTTTTGGCCGTCCGTGGCGAGGTTGGATGATGGTATGTTTTTCCCATTTCTCTATCTCTCCCAGATTTCTTTTGAGATGAGGGATAGTTTGGCTAACGTAAAGACAGCATACGGTGATACAAATCTTTTCTGTACCTGCGCCCCTGTTCAGGGCGAGGATACCGATATCACGGGTGCCGCTGCACCAAACCCCACTTAAACCATCTCTTGCATAAAGACGGTGGTGGTTTCTTTTTCTTTTCTTCGACGACGATCATGACGACGAATCAATGAGTTTTTTTTCTCCCCTTTCTGGGGAATCAGGTGGCATAGCACATGTCGCTATACGGAACGTTTTCATCTCGTCCTCTTCTCTTCCCTTCCTTTTTTACTTTTCAACGTCTTTTTTTCTTCTTTGCGATTTACAGTACTTCAACAATACACCCAAATCACAGCATACGGTGTCCTGGCGTTTTTCCCTTTTATTGGTATCTGACCCCTTTCTTATCGAGGTTAAAACCCCCTTTTACCTTGTGGCTTTTCAACATGGCTCTGGTTTTGGGGTTGGAGGAAAGAGTGGAGGAGTGGAGGATAGGAAGTTGGAGTAATGTACCACACGTGGTGAAGATAATCTTCTTTGAGGGGGTCTTTTATATGCATTTCAGGGCGTCTTTTTTTTAAAAAAAAAATCCTTTATTCTTCGACACGCAGAGATGGGGAGAGAGAGTGTGTGTGGGGGAGAAAGTTGCTATATATCAGATGTATGCTTGTGTCTTTTGAGAGAGAGAGAGAAAGAGAGCTTAGACACGAGAGGGAAGATGAGATGAAATGAGATGAGATGAGAGAGAAATACATTCAACAATGGTATGAAAAGAGAGAAATTTTCAACATTCAAATTTGAGAGTGTGTGTGTAAATCGAATTGAGGACGATAAAATGACAAGTCAGAGTGATTGAAACATGATTGAAACGTGAGAATTCAAGATAAGAGTAGAGTTGGAAAAAAAAAGGTTAGGTAAAACAGGTCCCCAAATGGGGAAAAAAAACCCCCCTGGTACCCAGCGTCCCTCAGTCGTACTAATCAAACATGTAAGAGAGAAAAAAAACCCCCATATCCCTACAAAAACATTGTAATCATAATCATACACCCGCAACTCCCCCCCCTTACAAAAAAACGCCATATAAAAAAAATGCATCATCTGCCCCCAAACCCCCCTTCCACTTTAGTTATACTGCCTACTCTTAGCCGCCCACTCCTCCTCCTTCTCCCTCTTCGCCTTCTCCAACCTCTTCAACTCCCTCGTCACACCCCCAGAAGCCCTCCACCAAATATCCGTGCCACTCCTAATCAGCCTCTCGGCGGCACTCGTCGGTCCATCAACCGCAGGTCTGACATCGAGATAGAAAACCGGTTCACCAGTAGGTTCGGGCGCACCCTCGTAGTAATCAATCACGTAGCGAATTTCCTTGCAACCTTGCTCATTGCAGCGCTCGACGAACCAGTCGTGGCGATCAAAAGGCGGGTTTGTGCCGAATTGCTCGGGCATGACGTAACCGAGCCATTGTAGGATCTGGGATTTCGGCGTGGGTTCCGTGGGGCGGCCTGTGAATCTTAGGAGTTTTGGGGGTGGGATGTCTTTGTCGTCCCAGGTTGTCGTGTCAAAAGGGTCGTCGGCGGTGCCGAGGAGGAAATTCGCTACGTCTTCGCCTTTCTTGCAGATTTGATAGCCTTCGGCTAGGCCTCGTGAGAAGCGGCGTTCCCAGCCCATGATTTCGGCCCAGGCGCCTTCGTTGAGGAAGTTGTGCACGCCGACCATGCTTTCGACGGCGGTGATGTCCGTGTCGGTGTAACCTTTGCGGAGCATGGCGTTGTACATTTGTTGCGGGGAGGGGTATTCCCAGAGGGAGCCGTCGCCTTTGGGGATGGTCGAGGTTTCGCGCTCGAGGGGCAGGTTGTGGACTTGTTTGTCGGCACGCTCGTTTGAGAGATCGGCGAACATGTTGTTGAGGGGATTTAGGCGGGAGAGGAGGCCGGTTTTGGGGGGTTCGGAGGGGCCAGATGAGGATTTCTCAGGTGGGACGTAGGGGCAGGCGCTTTGGGATGTCTTTTCTGCAACAACGGGCGGTGTGGCTTTCTTGTGCATGGGGCATTCTGGCTGGAGGCATTGTTAGAGGCGCAGATGCAAATAGTGGTTACTGTACGTACAGGAGGCTCCATGCTGCCTCGTGGCATTGGATGCGGTGCATTGCGCGCAGCAGGCGCAGAGGGTGCGGTATCTGCCCAAAACCAACCCATTTTCGATTGCTGTATGTAAAGAAGAAAAAGTGTTTTTGGGAAAAAGTAGGAAAGAATACACAGGGCTGAAGAAGATGCGACGGGTGGCGGAGATTGTCGGGAGAAACAAATTCGTGCAGGGTTCGCAGCGTCATCGCTCCAAGTATGTCATCCGCGCTCCGATTGGCTGCCCGCCTCGACACATCCGTGTGCGTAGTAATGCCACATTTGGATATATTTGTATTTTGTTGATCCTTAAAAATAGTACAGACACCTGGGTGTTTATTCTACATGTTTTGCCTTGAAAAGTTCGTTGAGCCCTCCATGTTCATCTTCTTCTACGATGCCGCCGCCTTTGCCAGTTGTCCAGTGCCCCGTGAGCTGAAAATGGCCATGATACCAAAGCTGCCATAGAATAGAACCATAGGATATGCTACCAAGCCTCGCATTGATGTCATGCGGCCTGTGAGTTGAGTTAGCGTATGCTTCCTCTGTACTTCAAAAGTACACTTGCCAACAACGGTAAACATTGAGCTCGAACTGTACGAGCACCATGTGATTGCCAGACTAGTAAGAAGATATCCAAACAGCCCGTCAAGTGGGACAATGATTCCGAAAATGGCGACCAACACGAGAGGGAGCAGGCAGTAACCCAGAACGGACGCCGATCGTGGAAACGTCAATGAGGAACCCAGGTGTGACCCATGTGGGTGACCATGATCTCCGGGTGTTGCCTCAACCGTGTTGACAGGAGGGGACATGAGAGAAAGGATCTGGTGAAGTAGGATAGTGCCGACAAATGCCAATCCTGTATACTGTCAATTACCGCATACGCACGCAGTAAACACACATACCGTATATGTAACCAAAGTGGAGTTTGCCAGACAACTAACTACTGTTAGTTTATACTCTGCGGAAAAAGACGTGTCTTGCATACCAATAAAGACGTGCCAAATACTAAGAAGAAAAGAATCGGGCCAGCTACATCGCTATCATCCATAATGTGCTGGTCGATGCGACCGAAAGGGTTCAGGACGGCCAACGTCTGCACAGCATTAGCCTAGCACCACATGCAAGTATTGCCCACAACCCACCTTCATTTGTATGTGCTTAAAGTTCACTCCCAGCTCTTCCACTACATTTTGTCAGCTTGCGTGTATGTTCAGGTATTCGACGTTGCGTACGTAGTGGCGGTTCTCCCTCGTATCTGCCCATTGTTAGCAAGGTTTCATGTCGAAACGCCGTCTACATACCCCTCTGTGCCAAATGCTGCCAACCAGCCTGTTCGTAGGCCTGATGTACCCATTCCCATCTGCCCACTCACTCCTGGAGCCGAAAACCCAGCGCCATACTGAGAAGGATATGCTTGGCTCGCCGGCGCGCCATAGTTTGCTTGGAAGGGTGTAGAGTGTCCAGATACTGGTTGGTTCGAGAAGGACGAGGAGTAGAATTGGAGGTTTTGTGCATTGCCTGCACCGTACTGAGGGTTCTGTCCGTAACCGTATTGAGACATTTTGCGAAATTCCGATCGTGGACGCGGTGTTTGGAAGGAGGAAACGTGCCGAGGGGGGTCAATTGAATAGGAGGGTAATTAGGATGCCTGGCGGAGCTGTCGCGGAGGAGCCTTGGTTCAAGTTATTACGTGGGGCAACGGCCGACGTCACTGTGGACTATTGAGCTGGAAGGACAGATCGCATCGAAAGCGGGATGGATAGAAGGGTAGCGGGTTTGTTTGTCAGGATGCTAGGAAAGCAGTGGTTGTGTTCGCAGTGTTGCGGCTCAGATGCGACAGCCACATGTCATCGTGTGCATCGGCGCTTTCTCGTCTTCATTCGCCGATTTGGCTTAGTCATAGCTCATGGTTACAACACGCCGAAAAAGGTAGGACTACGCTAATTCAGAGGCACGCTAAGTTTATTATCAGGGATTAAGGAGGAATCATCACGTTGCGCAAGCAATCGTTGGGTATAATTTTTTATTCATTTGGTTCTCTTTTGGTGGAGAGGGGTATTCGATATTGCTAACAAGAGGAGAGTCATTATTTCATGTTCAGAATTCTCGCATCAATCATAAACAGCACCTGGCTGTAGCCCTATAGCAGGCATAGGCTCCCTAGAAGTGTCACTCGGGCATTTTAATACATTTCTACAGTTCTTCGTGAAGTGTAGTTGCACCAGTCACACTGGAAATAGTCAGTATGTGGAACGGCCCTTGCCACGACTTGTACGCACCATGGTGTCAGAAGAAGCGTCGTTGTCTTCACGGCAATACTCATTCTTGCATTTCTTGCAGGTCCGAATAAAGAGCTCTTTGCAAGTGATGCACTGCCGGATATTAGTATGATAAAGTTGAAGGTACAGGGGTACATACTGTGTGGCCACAGCCGAAACAATCACGCCTGACGCCGATAATCTGCAAGTTTCCATGTTAGCCTATTTCTTGCCTGTAGATGGAGCACATACCTCGACGCGCAAGTGGCGATTTCCAGGTTGCAATTATCCAATAACCAGGCTCCACGGCTAGTCTAGAGAAGACTAGGTTCCGGAATCCAGCTACTTCGTAACGGCCTCAAGGCAATCTCGCTCCTCGCGCGCCAAGGTAGGGTTCTTCACCCCCACATCCCGTTGCTGCCAGCACCAGCCATCATTTCTGAAGGCAGGCACTCTTCCACGCAGAGGTCCATAAATACCTTGGTCTTTTGCTTTGGGAGCATGCGGGTAGTCCCGTCGGATTGAAGGTTCTCTACAATCTCGGTTTGTTGCAATTCCGTACGTTGGGCGGTAGCAGGAACCACGTAACAATCTTCGTCCCACCACTTGTGACACCTCTCGCACCAGCGACCTCTGAGGCAGTCTTCACATCGTACTATGAGAGGCGGAGGGGTAGTTCCGTCAAGGGTATGTGGTATCTGAGCAGCACGGACAGTGCTTCCATGCAGTGGAACGGGACTCAGTAGTGGATGATGGGCCGGGCTGGAGCTACCGAACACGGCTGGTCCTTCAGGGGAGGAATGGCATGTCTCACAGCCAGATGGTCCTAGGGCAACAGTGGCAATCGAAGGCCGGAGGAAAGCTGCTGGATGATGAGCTCCCGCAACCGAAGGGTCCCTAATGTACGCTTTGCTTGGGTCGTGTCGGGGACCTCTGCAAAGAACGGCATCGAAAGCAATGATACCGGCACACTCCTGGAGTATCTCTGCCCACTCCGGAGAGGGACGCTTTGATATGATCTTTCCGGATGACTTGTACCATTTGTCTTGTGTCCGTGACAGTGCAACGTCCAATGCTTGCTGTGATTTCTCGTTCCACTGTGCTCCAATCTGAGCTCCTCGTGATGACATGACCCCTTTTGGCACGGGCGATGGCTGCCTTTTTGTCGGAGGAGATGCAGGACGCGGAGGAGGGTCGCGAGATCCAAAGAGATAGATGCCCTTGACCCGAGGGGTGCCCTCGGGTCTTGACGGACGTACGGCATATCGCAGGTATTGTTGGAGCTTGCGCTCGTTCAAGTTCTTCACTTCACGGATAGAGAGTAGGCGTACGTTGAATCTCTCTTCTGTGAGCAGGTCTTTGACAAGCTCTGCTGTTACGCTGAGCCCGTCTAGCACCAAAGTGTGGACATTGTGGAGGACGTGGATCTTTTCGAGTCTGTTGAAGATGTGTCGTAGAGGACCGCTGTAGAAGTCATCTTCAGTGAGGGCTTCGTCCATGCGTTCAGCCCGGAAATTGACGCCGCCAACATCCAGGGGACCGTCAGAGGGTACAATGGCGGACCTTACGGTTGAGAGGTCAAGGTAGCGGAAAGCGTCCGGGGAATGGATGATGGCATGGTGGAGGGACTTTGAGGTGCGGGATAGATTACGGAGAGCAGAGACGGGGAGATATGGGGCAGTTTGACGCAGGATTAAGGTATTAGAGAGAAGGTCCGCCAGGGAGGTAGGAAGGTCGTGGGTGAATGTAGCAGGGCCCATGGCGAAAGATCAAGAGAGGGCAGGGAGAGAAGCTGGCCAGGCGGATTAGACGGGTACTCACCGAATCTTTATGACAGCGAAGAAGGTTGCCCAGACTGGGGGGCACGTGCCCTTGATCTGACGCTGCAGGAGGGTGCTTGGGATGAGCAAGAGGATCGACTAATGGATGTCGAGACGCTGCAGAGGTTGGTTGGGGTTGCGCCGGACGTGGGGTGCGCGGCCCCTGTGGCGATCGCAAATACAAGACCCTGCCAAGAGGGGGGACAGGGAGCAATTCGCAGATGGCGGCGAGATCAGGCGGCGATGAAGCATGCCTTGGAACACATTTTGCAGCCAAGGCCGTGTGCAAAGGCTTAGGTGTTTGACACCGGAAACATTAGCAAGCCGCTGCTGCGGCATCCCAAGCGGGCGCCGTGACACTACACTGCCAGACGGGCTATCTGCCCCGCCTTGGCCAGTTACGGCAATGAATCGCCATATCGAAACATGGAGGTGCACTGCATCCATCGAGTAGTGACCGGCAATATTACATGGCCCCTCGCGACTAATGCACGCCTAGAGAGTGAAGGCCGAAGATACATGGGCCCAAATGTGCAGTTGAAACGAGTCCTTCCCCGCCATTCACCGGAACCACCCACGCTGCACGCTGCACGCTGCACGCGTCTCCCACGCGCGTCTCCGTCTTATCGATAAGCACCGCGGCTCGGAGTTACTCGACTAGTCTTCCCAGCACTGCTCAGTCCAAGTGCAGGCAAAGGTAAGCTATGACGCCACCCATCACCGAAGCTTCGAGCAGAGCCGCATATGTCAGCCGTCGTTCACTGACAGAACTACTACTAGACTGCGTGTGCATCGGCCATCGTCTCATGTAGTGTCGTCTTGGTAGAGTCCGTGCTGCTTGTTGTCATCATCTCTTCTTTTTTCTTTCTTTGCGATACCCCCTCCGCCATGAACCCCGAATTAGACCCCGCCGCAGCAGAGCTCAAATGGTCCGGCCAGTACAACCTCGCTAGTGCAACCCGAAACGCACTTCCTGGCGACAAAGTCCTCCTGCCGCCTTCAGCGCTAGAACAGCTGCTTGCCGCGGCACCTGTAGTCCACGTCGATGCGAACCAAGCCCACTTGACCGCTTTCGATCCCTTCAATCCATATACCTTCAACGCCGAGCGACATGCGCGGGCGCAAGCGCAGGACCGATTCCAGCAATTACCCCACCCTCTTACCTTTCGTCTGGTAAACCCGGATAATGGCCGAGCCGTACACGCGGGCATTCGCGAGTTTTCGGCGGAAGAGGGCGAGATTGTGCTGAGCAGCTTTCTGAAGGAGGCACTGGGCATCCAAGAGCGATCTGCAGATCCCTCGAGAAACGCGAGCCCAGACGGTGACAAAGATGGAGACCATGCTGTGGAAAACGGAGTAGACAAGGCACTCGGCAGTGGCACTAACAGCGACGCCGCTGTCAAAATCACCGTGCATGCCAAGCAGCTACCCAAGGGTGCCTTTGTGAAGTTGCGGCCTCTGGAAGCTGGCTACGACCCCGAGGACTGGAAGTCGCTACTCGAAGAGCATCTACGATCGAACTTTACAACGTTGACAAATGGCGAGATTCTAGTCGTCCATGGCGGTCGAGGGGTCGGCGGCAAGCGTGAGGAGTTCCGTTTCTTGATCGACGGCTTCAAGCCCGAGGGAGAAGGAATATGCGTCGTAGATACGGATTTAGAGGTTGATATTGAGCCTCTGAACGAAGAACAGGCCCGCGAAACCTTGAAGAGGATAGCAGCTAAGAGGCACCGTGAACCCGGAACCGAACAAGGCAGTTCAACCGGTGGCACCATTGATATCTTCAATGCACAATCTGGGCAGATACTCGAAGGCGAGTACGTTGACTTTGAGCTAGCGTCTTGGGACCGATCCCAAGGGCTGGAGATCTTGTTAGATGAGGTTGACAGCGAAGACGAGATTGATCTTTTCGTCAGCCCGTTCTCTTCACGCCAAAGAGTTCGCCCTCGGGAGGAGGAGCACGTCTTTGCGGATCTGTCTAGTCAATACCCCAAACGCATACGATTACAACCTACGAACATCGAGCTCGAAGAAGCAGAAGCAATATGGATCTCAGTGCACGCATATCCATCCGAATCACCCTCCACCACACCCAAGCCCTTCCACCTGAAGGTCTCGATATTCGATCCAAAGGCCGAAGCGGAGACCAAGACTGAAGGCTCACCCGAACTTGGCGAAGACGAAGTAGTCTGCAAAAACTGCAAACAAATCGTCCCCAAAGGCTCCCTCTTCCTCCACGAAAATTTCTGCCTCAGAAACAATATCCTCTGCCCCCAAGGCTGCGGTCAAGTCTTCCAAAAGCGCTCCAAAGCCTACGAATCCCACTGGCACTGCCCCCACGACACCTTCACTGGTAACACACCCCTCAGCCACCAAAAACACACAACCTACTACCACACCCCACAAACCTGCACCGCATGCTCCCTCCCCTCCCCCTCGCTCCCCACCCTCGCCCACCACAAAACCACCCTCTGCCCCGCCAAACTCATCCTCTGCCGCTTCTGCCACCTCCAAGTCCCGCAAGAAGGCGATCCCACCGACCAGTCCCCCGAACTCCTCCTCTCAGGCCTAACCCCCCACGAACTCGCCGACGGCGGCCGCACCACAGAATGCCACTTGTGCTCCAAAATCATCCGCTTCAGAGACATGGACACGCATTTGCGACACCACGACCTCGAGCGCCTCTCCCGCCCCGCCCCGCGCCTCTGTCGCAACGTAAACTGCGGCCGCACCCAAGACGGCGCAGCCAAAAACGGCGACACACGTGCTGGCACAAGAAAGGGACAAGGACCCGGCAACGACATTGGACTCTGCAGCACATGTTTCGGCCCCTTGTACGTCTCCCTGCATGACCCCGAGGGCAAAGCCCTCCGCCGCCGCATCGAACGCAGATATCTCAGCCAACTCTTGAGCGGTTGCGCCAAAACCTGGTGCACAAACGAATACTGTCGCTCCGGACGCAAGAATCGCGGCCACCCGGATCAGCCCGTCGCCACGAAAGATGCCATTCCCCTCGTCAAACCCTTCTTGCAAGGCGTAGACGGCAAAGGCTACGATACCCCTCTCCATTTTTGCGTCGATGAGCGCGCGCAAAAGTGTAGGAATCTCGCCCACTTGTTGGCGGCGGAAAAGGGAATCGAGGGTAAAGGGGGTTATGCGCTCGAGTGGTGTGTTGCCGCGCTTGAGGCCGAGGGAGGCGATTTGGATCGGGCGAGGGGGTGGCTTAAGGGATGGGCCCCGCAGAGGGCGGAGGTGGGGGAGTAAAGGGAAATGTTGTATGGGGTGGGGGGGTTTGTAGATGTGTGATGATGGGTGTGGTTTTAAATGTGTGATGAGCGATGATGATGATGATGATGGGCATGTAGCATAGAATATCGACAAGATACCCTGTACTAATCAACAAGAAAATGCAGTGAAGAGAAAAAAAACAAGTTGATTTGTCTTTCACGTGTCCTGTCATTCCACAAGTTGGATTACTTTCGTTATCAACTTTCAATCGTACCTCATTCATAAGGCTAGTCCTTTAAATAGGTTCAAAATATTTCCCTTTCAACTCCTGTATACGTTCCCTTGCATGTTAGTGCCCCGATGCCAAATCATCTATGTGTTTCTTTTCTCCTTCGTTATGCCCATCTTCCCCCCTCCCCTCTTCCGTCCACGTCAGTCCGGGTATATCTATTCGCTGAAGCGTGCAACTGAATGGCTCCCGTCGTCTATTTACTTGGACTCTGCCTCCTTGGAGTGGCGGTCGTGCTCGTCAATGTCGCTAACAAACATATATGTCAGTGGGTCTGTACATGCCAAATCTACAGATTGCGAGATACAAAACGTACGTAGCTTCCCAAGGGTAGTTGATCCAAACATCGCCGACGGTCCTGGCAGCAATGTAACGGCCCTGGAGAATCTCCTGGGGCAGTTGACCCTTCTTCGCCTTGTCCTTGTTGTGTAGGACAAAGATGGAGAATTTGGTCTTCTCGCCCTCGCGTCCCAGCTTCTTGACGGCGGCCTCGACGTCCTTTTCTAGCTCCCTGACGGCGTACTCGAGCGTTGTGCGGGTGTCATCTACCTCATCGACGATGAGGACGTTCTTGCCGATTAGGTTGGCCATCTCGAGCGAGGACAGGTCGAGCCATTGTGTGCGTGTGACTTTTGTGCCGGGAGTTTCGACTTCGGAGTCGGGGCCTGAGCCAAGCTGCTCGTAGAGGGAGAGACCGATAGCTTGGATGGGAATGTTGGGGCTACCGGGCTTCTTGAGGAAAGATCTGGGGTGAGAATGTTAGGCTCATGTGCTGTGAGGTTCAAACAGACTGTGGGCGCATACCGCAGAATGCGCGCAGGGACATAGCCTCCGCCGCCAATAGCGATCATGAGGTTGGGCTGGAACTCATTGAGGATCTTGTCAGCTGCCTCTTGGCAGAGCTTGTGAATCTGTAGAGAGTATATGTCAGTTTCTGGCTGGAGCCTGGAGCCTAAGAGTATTGCGCTCCGACTCAGTATCACAATGACATGACTGGAGATGTTGATCAAGGTCTTGCTGTGCGCATGCTGCGCTCGTCAAGAGCACAAAGACCGTGCGACTCTCGGAAGTAAATACTCGCGAACTATTCTTGCGTGCCCGCAAGTATACAAGGGGAGCGCATGAGCGTGGGCACGCGCGGGGTGCATGGTTGCACATCAACAGCCACTTACCTGGTTGTACGTGACGTAAACCTTCTCTACCATTGTCGCGGACTGTTCAAGTTGCCTTTGGTTTTGTAACTGAATATGGAAATGTCAAGAGAAAGGCGTAGACAAGCGGCGGAAATTGTTCTCGAAGAAAATAAAGGGAAAAAAAAGTCTGTAGCCGCGGTAGCAGTCAAAATAGTTACCTACTTAGGTAGGCAAGGTTAGAGCGGCGAAGGCCGAAATTCAATGGGTGGGGTTTCCCTGTGCCCCGCGCTATGTTAGGAGCCAATCAGGTGACCACAGGGCGTTTGATGCAGGCAATTGCTTGTATGATTATTTTACCACCCAAACAAAAACTCCGAGACACTGTGACTGTCAAGAGTGGAAAACAACACTAGTAGTAGCGTGACAGGTCTACAATTCGCCCCCGCTGCTTCTGCTGGGCAATCTTGGTAATAGTTTAACTCTAGTTTTTTATGGTGGCGAAGTAGTGCCAGTCGTCGCTAATAGAAATGGTAACGTGACCATTACAAGACTTCCACACCACGACCACCACGTCCGCAAAGATATCCGAGTGACCATCTCATGTTACAAGAATGGTACCTCTAGTCGCGTTCACAGAATCCATAGAGCGTACTAACTCAAGAGTCTAATCGTTCCGTTCATGAAAAAGGTGGATCCTGTTCTAGGTTGAACGGAGCTTTCGTCGAAGCACAGCACATATATACTTTCAGACATAGCTCTGACGACGTACTTCTCATTGACAAACATAGGCCCTGTGTGAATATCGCCACCTGTGACTTCGCTGTCGGGGTCTTGAAAGATTGGTGTGCAGGCTGGTTTATCCTGGGTACCCATGTAGGTGATGATGTCTCTGGTTTCCACGGACGGATGGAATCCATACCACGTATCCTTCCACCAAGAAGATAGATAGTCATTAATGCCGTGGGGGCTATTACTGCGATGTATCGGGCCCTCCCATACTCTCAAGTCGTTGGTCTTTGTATCGAATCTAAGGAGTAGAGAGGCCATCGAAGCGTTAGATGGTTGAGATCCCGGATTCCTTGCGTTCACACGTGCCGCAAAGACGTTGGCTGAATCGTCTACTGGGACAAAGGGTGTTATGCCATGCCAAACCAAAAGTGGTCTGAGTTCTGGAAGACTTGGAGAGAAGGAGCTAACGCAATTGCCCCCAAAAGTGTATCTGGCACATACAAATAGGGTTTGGCTTGGTGTTTCTGTAGGGGTATCCATGACAAACATGAGGGTGATTGTCTCGCTCTCGGGTTGTAGGAGAGGTGCTATGTGTAGCAATCCTCTATAGAACTGGTTAGCTGTGCATGCTGCCACTTGTAGTTTGTAGCTGTGCTACATGGACAATGCCTGAGCCGGCTGCCGCAATATGTGTTCCTGTCTGGCAAAGGTAGTGGTAGTAGCAGGCAATCCATGGCACTCACCTCGGGCCGTGGGTGCCAAGAAACATGTCAGAGTCATGGCTAATGGTAAACGATGTTCCCCGCTGTGTATTGTAGTCCCAGATGTAGACGGATGTACGCATGTCAAGCGAGGCAAGGCAGGCTACGGTGCTCCGACGACAAGTCACATTCTGCAGGTAGCTTGCGGAAGGCACCCTGAATTTCTTTCGCTGCGAGAGGGTGGGCAGTTCAAAGACGTAACACGCATCGGCAGCAGTGACAAGCACGACGATTTGGTCCGAAAGCACCAGGTTAATCAGTTGTTCACGTGCTTCTCCGGCTATATGGTCAAGGTTCCAATTGTGCAGATTGAATATACAGGCAACACGCATTGGCGATGCCTGGGGGGTCTCGGACAGCCATCCAAGGTAGTCACCAAGCATGCTGGGACGGGCTATCTGTTCGTCTGACGTTATCTTGTAAATGCCGAGTGGTCTTCCGGTACGGAAGCAGTGGACTCTCCTGGCTGCGCGCTGGCGTGCAGTGTCATTTTCCAAGTCTCTGGGATTCACGGCGCCCTGGTACCATGAATTGAGGCCGGCATTGAGCACAGGAAGGCTTTGAAGAATATGGCGCCACCGGGTTGAGACTACTTGGAAGCGATAGGGGGCGGCGGGATCCAAGTGAGTGAAGACGTGAGCGACCAACTCGATGGGCAGGCGGCCAATAATGTCAAGCTGAAATGAGCGGGAGCTGGTCAGAGCATGGAGGTACCTCCACTCGTAGGGAGTGAGCTCTGCCGTCAAGAGGGCCAGGGCGTGCTGTCTCTGGGCGTGATTGAAACGGGCGAAGGTTTGGACGAAATCGGCCATGATGACCATTGGGGGGGGATTAGTCAAGAGGGGCAATTGGAAGGTTGGTCGAGAGCTGACGGGGGCGGGGGATGGAGGCGAGGGTTCGGCGGGTGACGTTTGGCCGGGGAGGGAGGGGAGGGAGGGGAGCACGGGGCAGCCATGGCGAGTCAGGCAGCAGGTGTGGCGACGGGGAGAGAGGGAAGGGAGTGGGAGGGAGGAAGGAGAGGTGCAGGACACATGCTTACGTACATGTATGTACATATGTAGTGGGTGTAGGTGAAGGTGTACTTGTATGTACTTAGTAGAGCCCTGGTGGTGATAGACAGATAGTACATAGCGTACTTGCAGGGCAGACACGCATGCATGCAGCCATAGGCACTTAGTGTGTGTAGATGCCATAGCGCATTCCACTTACATGCTACATACATACATACATAATGCATACGTATACGACTAGTAGCCAGATGACAATGGAGTAGACACAGTACATAGTTAGATAGACACGGCCGACCCCGCACCGGAAACGGCTGGTGTTTTCGCCAGATTGTCGACGGCGTTTCAGTGCATCAGCCTTGGGATCCGCCATGGTTCTGCGGCAGCGCTCCCGTTCCGTCGCGTGAAGCACAAGCACAAGCACATGCGCATGCGCAGTAGCAGAGGCCGCTCAGCAGTAGGCGAGACCGCTTGGACGCGGCGCTCGGTCGCTCCCCATCTCCTATTCCCATCCGACTGCTGCTAAGTACAGCGGCGGCCGCTCCCGATCGACAAAGGAGCCGCCGTCTGCCATGCCGACCTTTCTGGAACCAAAATTCCACGCCGCCTCGCCCATGCACTAGCACCGCCCTCGCTGGCTGAACTGAACAGTCCTGTCCTGTCCTGTCCTTCCCCCTCCCCCCCAGGCCTCGACTCGACCCAAGTCGCCAGTGCTTGCGTGCCCTCGCCCCGGCCTCCCACCGAGCATCCTCGCCGCCCGCACTGCAGCCCCGGGTCCCTGCGTCGCCTGCCTCTGTGTCGAGTCTCGCTCTCGCTCTCGCACTGACTCTGTGCGAAACGCTGCTGAGCTGCCTCGTCGCCCATCTGCAATCCCACCCGTTTCACCCCGACCGACATTGCAACAACCTCGACACCACCCAAGCCGCCGCCAGCTCACGCGCAACCACCCTGCGCAACCTCGACTCCCTCTCCCCACTCCCTCCAAGCAATGGCTTCGGTCGCCGAGGCCCGCTCCACGCCCTTCTCCGCCGATGCTCGCAATCCCAAACTCCACAAGTCCATACCCATTCTGCCCTCGTCCGCCTCGACACTCGCGCCCCCGAGAGACCCCATGGACTTGACGCCCTCGACCTCGTCCGCCATGGGCCCCCCAGCCATCAACGCCCCGCCCGCCACGGATCGCACTCCCCAAGGTCCCTTCCAGTCCCAGGCGCAATCCCACGCGCAAAGAGAAGGAACCACCGACTCGGGCAACACGTCGCCCAATGGAACTGCCGCCCCGGCTGTGGGCGCTGCTGCCGCCGCCCAGCAGCCAAAGGTCGTCCAAACCGCCTTCATACACAAGCTGTACAAGTGCGTGCGCCCTCTATATCACCTGATGCTTTTCCATGTGCGCCCCGACACTGACCCGCCAGCAGCATGCTTGAAGACCAGAGCATCCAGCATCTCATCTCCTGGGCCAGTACAAACGAAAGCTTCGTCATGTCGCCCTCGAGCGAATTCTCAAAAGTTCTATCGTACGTCCACCAGGAGCTATGGCCCTTTTCGACCAAATCTAACCCGCTTTTCCCCAGGTCTTATTTCAAGCATACCAATATCTCGTCATTTGTTCGCCAATTAAACATGTATGGCTTTCACAAAGGTCCGTGTTGGAATGCTTCTGTTTCCCCNCCCCCCCCCCTCTTTTTTTTTTCCTGTCAATCACATGTTAACACTGTCACTCCAGTGAGTGACGTCTTCCACACCGGATCCCCAGACACTCCGCTATGGGAATTCAAGCATGGAAATGGCAACTTCAAGCGCGGCGACTTGGTCGGCCTGCGAGAAATCAAGCGACGTGCCTCGCGACACGCACTTATCCATCGTGACTCCTTCTCCACACCAAAGCTGCCCCAGGGTCCCCCCGCTGGCCAGCCAGTCGAGCCAATGCCCGACCCAACCGAGTCACGCCTACAGAACCTGGAGCATAGCCTGTACGACATGCACACGCGCATGCAGCGCTCAGAAGAAACATGCAATTACCTGAATCAAAAGAGCCTAGTTCTCGCAGAGGGCATGATGAGATGTCACCAGGTACGTCAAATGTGTCTAGACTGGATCTGCACTGGCTAATGTCCCGATTAGTGGAATCACGATCTCGCAAATTACATTATGGCCATGGTGCCAGACCCGGAAAACCCTATCCATAGGGACGGTATGCATCTGCACTCAAACCTTAATTGCGCGACACTTGTGCTGACTTGTTCCAGTCGCCATGATGCAGCGTGAAATTAGTCGGCAGACAGACATGCTTCGCGCACTGGAGGCACCTGAGGAACCCCTCTCCGCACGGCAATCCTACTTCATGCAAGTAGATAGCAATAACGGCCCACCGCTTTCACCTCGGCAGATGCCACAAGATAATATGTCAGAATCAAGGCGAGGCTCCTTGGCGAGCGTTTCACGCCAAGCGCCATACAAGCCCCCGGTTCCGGCACATCTCGCCATATCTCCGCGACGGTACGGCTCAATAGGCGCGGGTAATTTCTCTCCATCATCCGCCAGGACCCCAGTTTCGCACCAGCCACCCCCACCCCCACCTCCACCTCCACCAGCGCCGCCTGCTATCCAACAGCCGGCATCTGGTGCTACATTGGGAAGCAATCTGGCAGCAAACAGCTCTTCCCCACCCTATAACCTTTATAGGCGACACACCTCGGCGGATATCCGTACTCATGGCTGGCAGCCGCAGCAGCAACAGCAGTCCAATGCTCCGCTTCACTCGCCCTATGCATCCGGCCACAACTCTACCCAATGGCCCTCATCACCACACCGGCCCCCTGTCGGAGGCGGAGATCAACAACTCCGTGACGCTTTGGAATCCTACCAACTACCCCGTGGTCCACGGCAAGTGCCGTCAAGACATGGTACTCCCCCTGGATCAAATGACCCCGTCCCATCTACTCTTAGTGCCGATAGCGGGTGGACACTTCCGGGCGCTCGATACCCATTCAAGGGCATCGACACGCCTGGCCCACCTACAAGACGGTCCAGTATGGCATCTAACGTGCACTCACTACTCAATCCCGCCGAGACCGCTGAACGCGATGATGAAGATGACCCAGATGATGCACGCAAGCGAAAGCGTCTACAGTGATGCATATAACACTTCTTGTCAACAATGACTGCTACGTTCTCTTTTTTTTTCCCTAACGTTATTGCTATTGTGAATATTCGGGAACTCCCGGCGTTCGACTGCGCGCTCTTTTTTTCCCTTCCTTTTCCTTGAATAATCACTCTGTCCTCGCAACTTTCTTTCGCTATTTCTGTTGTTGTTCTTGTCGTTGTCATCCCAAGGGAAAACGCTTCCAATGTTTTTTTCCTTCATTTTTTTCCTTATTTAATCCTTCGACACTATATACCTTCTTGTTTCCAAGCTCAATCGGGAAATACAGGAAAGAGAAAGATATGAAGAGGGGCGCCCAATTTTCATGCTGGCATCGCGAACTCGCATCTCTCTGGTCATATATATGAAAGGATATTTCGTCATCGTTATGATCCGTTGTTGTTTTTACTTTTTTGGCATATGTGGAAGTCGCACATAACGACGTGGTCCTGTCTGTTCTTTTTTGCTTTTGTGTCTGCGTTGTCAAGCTTTTTGGTTGTTCTTTTTTTTTCCTTTCCACTTGGGCGTTTTGGGTGCAATGTGGTATGTTTTTTTTGTTGGAAAAGGCAGAGATGGTAATTTACCCTTTTGGTCATTCCAAAAGATACACAACGTTGATAGCAAATGCTTACATAGCCTGTTTTTTTCTTCTCGTTTTCTTTTGTTGTAAACAATTGTATTTCGCTACCAAGAAAGCTTCGCTCTTTTTCCCGTTAAACTGTTCTCTTTGCTATAAAAAAAACAGCCAATGTGAAGCTTTGTTCTCTTTGCCAGATATATATATATATATGCAAACAAGAAGTGGCTATGCGAATAAGAAAGCGACTGTAAGTATTGCCTGCCCAAAGATGAGGGTGAAAAAAAGAAAATGATAACTATAAAACAAAGAAAGAACGCTGTCATATCTCATATCCATCATCTATGTACCTTTGTCAATCTCCTTATCCACAAAAAAAAGAGAGAAATATATATATATATATTTACCAAACCTCTCTAACCATCCCCCCAACCACTTCTCACCTACCATCTAAAACCCATAGCTCAAATACCCAATCGTAGTAGGATAAACACTCAAATTATCCTTCCAATTCGCCTTATCCTGGCCGGCGGCCGTAACCATCCACTCGACACCGACCTCGCTAAAGCCAAACGCCTGCACACTGCTCGAGCCTTCGATACTCAAGATGCGGGTCTGGCAGTCGCGGAAGCCGTTGGGGGCGGTGGGCGATGAGCATCCGACGTTGTAGTTGTCGAAGAAGGAGTAGAGGCCGCCGCCGTAGATGAGTACGTTCTTTGCGTCGAGGAGGCGGAGACCCCACGCTGAAGTCTGCGAGGATGCGTATACGGGGTCCGAGTATTTGGAGGAGGAGACATAAGGTAAGGGTGCGATGGGTGTGGGTTGGAAGTAGGGGGTTTCGGTTTGGATGTAACCTGCGAAGATGTTCTGGGCGGTGTTGAATTGGTACTGGTACATGGTGTGGTGTTCTGCGCCGTTTGCCCAGATCCAGACGTTGTTGGCTTCGACGTGGAAGCCGCGGCCGGTGTAGATGTTGATGCGGGTCGAGTCGGCGTCGTCGAGGTCGTGGTCGGCGGTCCAGAACCAGTTGTTTTCAAAGTAGGCGCCGTTGGCGCCCTTGGTGACGTGCACGTTGGTGTGGGCAGAGAAGCATTCGGGCTTGACTTGGCCGAGGACGGCGGGGCATTGGGCGACTTGGAGGTTGGTTCCCTTTGCGCCGCCGATACGGGTGTGAACGTCCCAGAGACCGGAGCCCAGGGCGGTGTTGAGGTTGTATTGGATGACGATGGCTCCTGGGGTCGCGCCTTGGGTCTGGACAATCATGTCGGACCACTCGATGCTGCCGGACTCACCGGGCTTGCCGATTTGGATGATGGGAACCGGGTTGGCTTGGTCGCCGAAGGTGCTGCCTGAGCCCATGATGGCGGAGAAGATCTCACCGACCAGGCGGGAGCCAGGGGGGACGTAGATGGTGTTGGTGACCTTGTAGACACCGTGCTCGAAGAAGAGGACCTTGTTCTGTGATGCGGCCTGGGTGACAGCAGCCTGGACAGCGCGTGTGTCGTCAGTGACACCATCACCGGTTGCACCTGCACCGCGGGCACTGATAAAGCTTGAAGTGCTGAGAGTCTCGTATTGTGGCTTCGACTTGGAGTAGAACTTGCCGTTCTGGAGGAGACCAGTGGGGCGAGTGGCACCGCTGATGGCGCCTTGGAACTTGGATGGGCCAGATGCGTTAGGTGCGTACTTGTTGCCCTGACCCCAGGTCTGGATGGTAAGGGAGCCACCAGCAAGGACAGTGGCGCCATTGCTGACAACAGCGGCGGGAACGTTGGTGAGCTTAATGTTCTCAATAACGAGCTGACCGGAACCGGTGGGATTGCTGGTCTGCGACCATGCTGAGTCGACAAACTTTTGGCAGTTGGTAATCTCAGAGTCGATGATGACGGCAGAGCCAACCTCCTGCTTGCCAGCAGAGCCACCGTTACCCATGGAGAAAGCAGTGCCGCAGTCGCTGATCTGAAGACCAGAGTACAGCCAGCCCCAGTTCCAGATTTGTGAGATACCAACAACAGCCTTGGAGATCTTGACGTTACGCATGGTGAACTGCTGATTGCCAATGTTCATGCCGTACAGACCACCAGTAATGTCGAGGTCGGCCATATGACCACCAGATCCGTTCTCGACAAAGATACCAGCGTGAACAGAGTTAGACGCCTGTGTCATGCGGATCTTGACATTTTGGATCGTAGTGGCTTGGGAGGCGGGCCAATGGATAGCCTGGAAACCCGATGTTGGTGCAACAGCAGTGCCATCAATGATCAAGTTGCGGATTTGGCGCAAGAACAAGTTGGTCGAGATCCAGCCGGGCTCGCCGTTTTGGTTGCTGTAGGGGCTTCCGTCGATCAGAGCAAGAGCCTGGAGTGAAGATGCAGCCTTAAGGACGGGGAGTTCGCGGGGGTTACCGATGAGTGCAGTCATGTAGTAGAAGATGATGGGCTTGTTGATGAGATAGGTTCCAGAAGGCACGTAAACAACCGCTGGGCTGTCAGTCGATGAGTCGCACACCCATGGGCCGCAACGGCTGCCGTCAGAGATGGCACGGTTGAAAGCATCAGAGTCGTCAGTGACACCGTCACCTACAAACTTGTTAGTTATATCCTCATCATCAATGTGAAAAACTGCTTACCCTTCGCTCCGTAATCCTTGACATTTCGGAAGACCTTGTAGTTCGGGTTGCTGTTAAAGGGGGCTCTGCCTTTGCCGGACAGATCGTTTAGCCAGTAACCATCGATAGCAGCCGCAGCTTGAACAGCATCAACACTTCCACTGGAGTCGGTAGTGTTATCCAAACGCCTTTCAAATGCTACAAAATGTCAGTAACTTGGAATTGCGAAGCGGAAAACTTCTTCATACGTATAGCAGCGGCGTGAATGCCGACTGCACCTAGGCAGGCGAGCAAAGAAGAAAAACGCATGCTCGTGAACTTCAGACCAGCAGATTTCCGATTGAGCAGCAAAGTGAATTGAAAGACACTTTGTACAAGGAAATGTCAAGCGTAGTAGAGATGGGAATGTCTCAAAGGCAGGTGATGCCTCTCTATTTAAGTATTCTGTGTACACACTTTATGTTGCCCCAGTTTTATGATTGTGTAAACGCGACGTTCACTACACCAGGTGGGTCGAGAATGAACCCTCCCCGGAGCAGCTCACAGACAGGCAGAACCCGGTCAGGACTCCCCACTGGCTCCCGCTTAAAGGTCACACGGAGTGATGGTTTGCACTCTTGGTGCGCGACTACAGATGCGGCCATTTGGGTGGCTCCATGTCTTGCGTCTTTCTGTATGGTTGGAACCGTCTAGTTGAAGTGGCATAATCTGGGGAAGGGCGGTTATCCATCACCTTCCCCTAAAAGAAAATCCTTGTAGGGGATATCTTGGAGGGCAGGGTAGTGTGACTTTGCCTATGACTTTGCCATATCCAGTGTGATCGCGCATGTTGGGCTAGGCCACGATCTAATCCACATAAAGCTATATTTCCGAAACATTAGGCTACAAAAGCGGTACTGAAGATCGCTGGTAGATAGTCCGGTGGTATTGTAGAGGTAGTAGAAGAGAATGCAAGATTGTCGGCTAGCCCAGAAAAGTAGTGGTCACCGGGTCGGCCCTACACATATTAGTTCCGTGCAGCGCATTCTAGTCATGAAGCAACGCCAGCAAAAGCATGTGACGTACGTTAGCTGTTGCGAGACCTGTAGGCATGCTTTTACCATTGGCCCCGCCTTCATGAGGGTCCAATTTCCCAAGTTCACCGTTCGTCTCGGCGATAGCGCCACAATGTGGAGTAGTCTTAGTAGGAGGGCCATGCGTCGCAGTGCATCAAAGCCGCCCTATGATGTCTTCCAGAAGCGTAAGCCTCAAGCGCGTGGTCAAGTTAGCCTACCGGTTTCTAGTACACCTTTTTACAGTGCCGAGCCCGTCTGAACTGGGGCAAAGGTAGTGCGTCGTGTGAGACTGTCGCAAGACACAATTTTCAAAGGTCGGGCTCCGCCAAAGTGCATTTCTAGGACCTACCTATTCAGAGGCATGTCTGCCGAAGGCACTTGAAACCCGGGTGCTAGTCCCGGCTAAACCAGGCGCGTGGACTCTTGCAGCACATTGGACGAGAACATCAAAAATATAATCTCTCCGACCAGCTTCTGTATCGAATCGTCTCCGAGGATTTTGCGTAAATTAAGAGGCCGGGCCAGCTGCTGTTCTGAGGTTGAGAGGTGCCCAGAATCGTGTGCGCCGGAGATTGCAACGTTGCAAGCGCCTCTTCCACTTCCCCAGATATGTCGCAAGCGCCTCACCGACTACCCCAGATCCTGCATAGCGGAGCCTAAGCTAAGGGTCATGCAAGAACAGCAGATCACAGGGTCAGGGTAGGATAATTCAAGTGGGCTCCAGCACGTCCAGTCATGTGTTGCAACCCAACCCTCCACTTCAGGTGATCTGCCCACAGCCAACACAGGCGGAAATGTACCGAAGTGCTCCACACTGTACCAAAGTTCGACAGTGAAGTTGATGTAAGATGCGAGCGGTCAGGCAGATTCAAAGACTTGTGACCTCGGCCAAAGTCGGTCGGCTCTGTAGTAACCTGGAGAAGGCGGCGGCGCGCACACCGGACTTGTGCTTTGCCTCCCCGTCGTCGTCGTGAGTTCATGACGTCCACAGTGTTTTCCGCTCGCTGCAAGATGTCGCGCAGGCGGGTATTACTCATTCAAGTGCTGAATGTCACTTCACGCCTAGACATTTGTCAGAAGGCGAGCTGCATCCTGCCGGGTTGCACAAAGAATCCGCCGATACGTAAATTGTATGACAGATTTCCACGCGAGAGGCGCACTTCCTTGCAGAACGACCCAAACTTTTGGTTGACCTCGTGGTTGCAGCAAGACGAGGCAACCTGGTATATGTCGAGCACTGCTAGGATTCAATAACGCAAGAACAAGGGTGGTGCCACTATCAAAGTCATGTCAACACACATGGGATTCAACTCGCGTAACTTGTCTCGAGGCATTCATAGCTTTACCGCAAGTTTTACAAATAGCCCCTCAGCGGTCGTATATACCGTACCGTTGCCGTCTTCAAGTGTTGTACGGATGAAGATTTTCCGGTCGCCCCCTTCTACCCGGTCGACTTTTGCAGTGCAGAAGAGCAGTCCAGGTGTCGGTAGTGGCTTCTTGTAGGTCGTGTTTAAGTCTGCTCACAATTAGCTCATGTGTGGAACTAACATAGCCAAGGTAACGAACAAGCCGTGTAATAGTCCGGGGCCTTGACAGCTTGTCCAAGCTTTTGCGCCTTCTCCACCTTTGCATCTCTATTCTGCGTGACGATCACGCCGCAGAGCTCATCCATTAGCGCAGCCTGGAACCCGCCATGCGCAGTCTTAGGATATCCATCGAGATCTGGTCCTAGATCGAGAATTGTCCTGGTCTCTAGAAATGGAAGATCACCCTCCGCCTCTTGAGTTGGTAGAAATGATAGAAAGGTTCGTATTGTAGAGTCTGTTTTGAGCGTTTTGCCGAAGAAACCGTCTTCTCCTGAGGACTTCGGTGTGCGTGAGAAAGTGCTGATAAGCTTCCAATTCGGATCATTGATCAAGGCAGCAGCCCAGGGAACCGAGGATATCCTCGGTGTGACTTCATCCATCACGAAAAGCTTTAGTGATTTTGGTCGATTTCACTGCACCAGAAAGCAGAGCAATTGTTGTGTAACTTCGAGACATGATTGCGAAGCTAGAAGCATGGGGTAGCAAAGATGCCGAGGTGAAACGTGGGGGAATTGTCAAAGCTCAACAGAGTCAGCCGGTACGACACGACAAAAAGCTAGTCAGCAACACCCTTCGACTTTCGGGTATCGGGCAAAAACAACGGCCGCAACAAGAAACGCCAGCCATGTTCGCGTAGCAGCGCCCGTTGAGACTTGAATTGTTTTTCGTCCTGCAGGGAGAGGGGAGATCGACATTCAGCTCTTGTACTCCCGTGTGATTACTACAACACTCCCCGGAAGATGCAAGACGTCATGTTCATGCGCTAGACTGCAATACCGCGCCTTTTCACATCACTACGTCAAAGAGATGTAGGCCACAGACGACTAGATCCCTCTTTAGGCTATGGATGTAGACGTAGATGATGTAGCTGCCAAGGTAAACCTGAAGTGGTAGGCTTCATCTTTCCCCAGATCCCATTCTCCACATAACAGCAACAACACTCAAACAGTCAATTCCCATTTTCTCAATCTATATTTCATCCGAAACTTTCTAATCCTAACTTAAAAAAAACCCCCTCGAATCCAATTCTCCGATCAAAAAGAGAACAAGAAACAACCCAACTCCCCGAGAACACTGAGAGCAAGAAGAATAAACAACTCTACGAAAACACACAAAAAAAACCAAACAACAACCAACATCCCGCAAACCCGCAAAAGAAAATGGTCAACACATCCCACTCCCGCTCCGTCCGCGGCACTCTCTCGCGCCCATCTTCTTCCTCATCCTCCTCCTCCTCCCAAAAGCCTCCCCCAAGCCTCAGCGACGCCACAAGCCTAACCCCCGAAAACGCCTCTCTCCCGCTTCCACCCCACGACTCGGCCCCTCCACCGTCTACCCCTTCTTCCCCCTCAGCCTCAGACTCAGCTTCTCCCGAAGCCCCCACGCCAAGCACCCCTTACCACACCCTGGGCACCGCAGCAGGAGGCGGGGATAAGAGGGCTGTGGGGAATCGTGCCGCTGGGACTTCCGCCTGCGATTTCACTCAGGGTGCCGCTAGGGATTCCACCGACGCTTCACCCGACACCACCGCTAAACACACCGCTGGCAATGCAACGGTGAAGGAAGAGGGAGAGAGGAGGCTAGAGGGAAAGGGAAAAGGAGAAGAAGAAGAAGAACCCCACAGTCGCCAAGTCCGAGGCACACTGGGGAATAAGAAGCCCGAGGGAAGAGTGGAGAAGACAATGTTGGGGGATCCGGCGAGTTTAGTGGTGGAGAGGAAGGAGGGGGTCGGGGAGAAAATGGATGCGGGGACGGAGAGGGAGGGTGTGGAGAAGGGGATGGGGAAGAGGGAGAGTAAGTTGTAAGGAATGGGGCTATAAAGAGGAGCGAGAGTGATATATCGTTTCGATGGAAATTTTGTAAGAACGAAAAAGGGAGAGAGAGAGAGAGAGAGAGAGAGAGAGAGAAAACGGTAACAACGTGCATAGACGAAGTTGTCCATTTTCTTTTCAATTTGGCAGGGTTCGGTTCACGCACAATTATCGACTTTTTTTTTCTTCGTTCCTTTTTTTCTTCTCGACCACGTTTCAACGCACCAGCAAAATATTCAAGTTCATCGGAGAAAAAACGGGTATGGTTTAAATAATTTGATGAGTGTCATAACATCGTCGCCTAATCATTTAACCCAAGCAAAAACAAAAAACAAGTGCATGTTAAATATCCCCCCTTAACCCTAACCCTTAACCCCCCCACCATTCCTTCCCAAAGAGAGAGAGAGAGAAAAAAAATCCTCAAAACCAAAAACGTCTTTTCGCTATGCTAGAAAGGAAGAGGAAGAAGGAAAATGCTATGCCTTTGTGAACTTCGAAAAGAAAAACTCACACACACATATACACGCACGCTCACGCAGGTTCTGAATCTAAAATCAAGAAGACGACGAGAAAGAAAGAAAGAAAGAAAAAGAGAGAGAGAAAAAGGAAGGAAAGGTTCTTCTACAATTCTCCTCCCTTCCGGAAAGAAAATGTTGAAGAAGAGTAAAGGAGAGGAAAAGAGAGAGAGAGCGCCCACGCAAAGGGTATATCGTAATTATGGTACAAGAGAAACAGAAAAGAAGTAAACAAATGCCATCTTTCTTTCAGGGGGAAAAGTCATTTTTTACCCCATATGTATGTGTGTGTATGTGTCCCCTTTTTTGATGTTTGCGCCGAGAATAAGACAACGTCCAAGAACCGTGTGGAGGAAAAAGAAAACGCTGCAAAAGGTTATGTGTGGGCCATAGAAGTTTTTCGAAGAAAGGAATTTCTTTGCATGGTCTTGCCACGGAGCGAACTTTTTTTAACTGTGATAGTGGACAGGGGGGAGAGAAGACTTGCTTCACTTCATACCCATTTTGCGGAACTTGCGGGATGCACGACGGCGCAGGACGTTCATGCCCATGGCCTTCCGGAGGCTATCTCTGTCGCCATCCTCGTCGTCCTCCACCTGGTGTCCATGATGGCGGCGGCCGTTGCTGTTCTTTACAGAATTTTGATGGGCGATTATGTTTTGTTCACGCCAGAACATACGTTTCTGATCAATCACTTGTTGTGACAGGTTGCCAAAACCCTTTTTGACGAACGCCAGATCGTGCAAGATGTTCGGATCCAGACAGCGTCTGGGAAGTGTTTGAACAGCCATGAAGATTTCACCGTCGCCTGGACGGTACTTTCTGATTTCTGGCTCGCCGAGCTTGAAAATGGCAAGGGCGTAGCGGTACAGAGCGCGTGGCCCCTCGTACAGAAAAGCATCCCATACACGAAGGACGGTTTCAATCGGAAGCACACCGACGAAAATGCTCATGAACCAAGATGTACACGAAAGAGCAACAGTAGGTTGGCGTTGGAACTTGGAGTTGGGGTGGGCGTAAGAGCCAGCGCCAGTGTTGATGAGATCAGTATCATTGATCGAGGCCCAAACCTTGGGCAGGTAGTCCTTGATCAGCATCATGAGAACGTTGACCTCGGTATTCGCAAGGCTACGAGCATGTGCGCCTGGAAGATGATTCTGCGTAATGATGGTCAAGAGAATGAAGGCCTTTTCCTTGTCTTGCTTGAGGAAGAGCAATAGAAGACCAGCAATAAAGTTGAGCGATTGGCAGTATCCAATGTTGGGGTTGTTCAGAGCGAAGCATGACAAGACCTCGCGAAGGTCTTGAATCAGCGCAGGCTCGTCATCGTCCTCCCCGTCTAGCAAATCAGTCGCCGGTTCGGGTCGGAAGTGAATGTTGTCGGGAAAAGTCCTGTCGAGGTCGCGTTCAATAGCATCTCTATCGTCCTTGTTGAGCTCATCTCGTCGTAAACGGGCTACAAGCGATTTGTAGAGACCAACGTTTTCTTTTTGTGTGATCATATGCTGACCGCCAGAGTAATACCACCACATGGCGCCTCGCCACTCGGGAGGATAACCCTTGCGTGCATATCTCTTAACCTTCTCGCACATTTCCGGGAATATCGTCGGATCGTCAGTTGGCAGTCCTTGTTTGTTCATCAAAGCAATCCATTTACCACGTCGACGTGCAATGTGTTCTTCGTATCTTGCTGCCCAAGCATTGTACTCTTGGACACTAATCTTCTCAGAGGCCTTCTTGAAGCCATAACGATCCCTTTCCACAGGGATGGCAGTTTTGCGCAGGCCGGGCATAACTACGGGAATTGGGTGCCCAGAAGACATGTCGGAGTCTTGGGCTGGCTCTGGTTTACTTTTAGCCGAAGCTAGTTGGGCCATCTTGCCCAGATCGAGCAATGCACTCTTTCGATCGAAGACACTAGTAGAAGCGCGACGGGGGATTGTCTCATCTTCATCAAGTTCCGGAAGAGGTTGCGATCGTTGCGCTGGCATAGGTTGCGTGCTGTTAGCCCCGGCGCTCGAGTCATGTGAGAAGGTACGCGAGCGACTGGGTCTTTTGCTGTGTCGCTTCGAGTAGGCTTCAATGCTTGCCCAATCTTGACGTGAGAGTCGAGATCTGTTAGAGGGCAATTGAGGAAGTCCAGATATCTCGCGACGAATGCTATCCATCTGAGAACGGCTTGTATGGGCGCTCTTTGAGTGACGATGTCCTTTGACATTCTTGGCGCCTGCCAGATTCGAAGTTTCAGTGGTTCTGAGGGACAAAGCCTGTAGAGTGACTGAGACTCGACGGGGCATATCTGCGCTGGACCGTTTCATCGTGACTGACAATCTCTTTTTGGGAAGCTGCACTACTGCTTGGATGGTCCGTGGTGTATATGGGGCCTGGTAGGGGCTCACTTGACCCTTGTGCATGTGGTCCACTTGTAGCGATTTCGGTTCTATCGCGTTGGCGTTGTGCACATCGAGATCAGAGCCTGATTCAGACGTCGTACGAATAGTTAGGAGCTTTTTCTGCCCAGTGTGATTCTCTGTTGAGTCTTCAGCGCGTGGGTAGGGCCGTTCGTCCCATCGCTTGAGACTTTCGCTGGATTGGAAGGAGTCGAGAGAGTCGAAATCATGGGATGGTGTCTGGGATAGTTCAGGTGGTTCAGAGTCGAGGCCACTGGGCGAGGGATTTCCAAAATGGTCGTCATGCGGCTCGACAATCGGGCTGCGGTCATCATCCTCTTCGTCGTAGTAGTAAGAATCAAGCACATCACTGACGGCGTCTAGCTGTTCTTCCTCCTCGGCAATATCGGAAGTAAGCGTTGTTTCTGGGGAGTCATCGCGATCCCGTTTGCGATCTCTTGACTGTTCTCTTGAATACATACCACTGTGCAGGTCGCTAGCAATGGAGCTACGCGCAGTAATGATGCTACTTCGCTCTGTGCCGCTTGTCTCCATTAGGCTAGATGAAGCATTTGTGAATCCAGATCTAAAGCTAGCTCGTGGCTCCTCGTTTCGGAATGGTCGAGCTGGGGGAGGGTAGTAATCATTGTGAGACCAGTTGGGCACGCCTCTGTTAGGCTTGTACGTGCCGGAGAGGTTTGACCGCTCATTTGCACGATGCTGTGCGTAATCTGGTATGGAGGTTGCGGCCCTCAGCGAAGGCTGAAAAGGCGGCGCCTGAAAAGATGACTGGGGACCAGTCATTCCTCGGGCTCGGAACGTCGCAGCTGGGGGGCCTGGCAGGTCTTCGTTGGATGAATTCCATGTTGGGCCACTCGAGTTAACCGGATTGCTAGCCAGAGGATTGAAGATGGTGCGAAGGTCGGGTGAGCAAGGGGCGCTGTCCTGACGTGACATCACCGAAGCGCCTGTTGGAGACATGGGCATTGGGGTAGAAGAAGGTGGGTTTGCATGGCGGGGGGAAGGTACAGCGGCATGGCGGAGGAGAGAAGGGGCTCTTTGTCGTAGAGGATATTTGGGCGAAGGAATGGTCGGGCTGTCTGCAGGCGTTGGACTGTAAGCGGGACGGTCGTAGGGCTGGGCGGCTACCGCGTGCATCTGGAGCTGGGTCGGGTGCTTTGAGCGGAGCGCGCCAAAGCCCTTTGTGGCAGCGTATGGTATCTGAGGCTGTGGTGAAGCGGGAGGTGTGTAGTCGGTTGGCGAGGCTCGATGGTGAAGGACATGGGACAGGTGGTGTGGAATGGCCGCGTCGGAGTCCCGTCCAGCACTGGCAGCTTGGGAGACGCCAGGAGCGACGCGCAGGAGGGTATCACCCATTGCGAGGAGCAGAGGTGGTGATGCAGTAGTGGAGGAGGAGGGCGGCAAGGGCGCTCATTCGAACGGGGTACAGGACAGCTCGGGACTGGAGGTTCGGGAGGACATTCTGGGGGGGAGCGGGCAGTCGAGGTTAGGGCAGGGCGTTGTTGAGGAGTGAAGTTGTCGTGTGGGCGTGTGTCATGCGGCGGTGGTAGTCGCTTGGACAGTGGGTTCGCCGGGTGTCGCAGCGTCCGGAGTGGGAGCTGTGGTGCAGGTGGATGAGTGAAAGGCCCAGGTGGGTCCTGGCGTGGGTGCGGCAGGTAGATAGGGTGTAGGGTAGGCTGATGAAATGGAGCCGGGCAGGGAGCGTGTCGTGGCGCACAGGCACCGGGGGAATCAGACGGTAGTGAGGACGGAGGTGCGGCCAGTGTGTAGCAGGAAAGACTCCTTTGGCTTGGATGAACGCTGGACAACTGACTCTCTCGAGGCTGCCAAGACGCGACGGCCATGCCTCCTCATCCCCGATGCCTATAGCCCGACTAAGGGGGGCCGCGCCGCGGGTCGAGCGTTTCAAGGGCCACCACGGAACTCGTCGGAGAGAGCGTTCATTGCCTGGGCTGTGACGGCCCAAATGGGCGAGTCCTGCATAAGCTCTGCGGACGAGACGACGACAACGAGAACGGCCGCAGCACTACCACTTACTCAACGCCCATGGCGATAGCACGGTGTGATGTGATGGAGCATGTAGTAAGGGTAGAGAGAGGGGGAAGGGGGGAGGGGACGCGTGCCTGGCCAATCAACGGCAGCCCTGCTTATGCGCCTCTTTTTTGGAGAGCAGAGCCACTCCATTTGCACCGCCATCGCACCGCCCACCGCACCGCCATCCATACATCCATCCATTCATCAATCCCACTCACAGCTCTCTCGCACAGCCATGGCAGCGGCTCGACTACAAGTACTGTGTGCTGTGTGCTGTGTACGTGTAAATAAATAAATGGCAGCCGACGCGCAACACGTATTTCCTAGCGTTTCGTTTCGCAGAGGCCATGTCTTTGGGCCTTGCGTGCCCTGGCGTGCCCTGCGTTGCCCTGCTTTGCCCTCTGCACGGGGACTGCATGTGTGTGTGTGTGTGTGTGTGTGTACATTACTTACTTAGTTGGGTCAATCAAGCACTCAATCACAACACAGACAGCACACGATAGTTGCTCCGCCTCGCCAATAGCATACGACGACACCAAACTATTATTCAGAAAACATCACAGTTGGGACCGCGCACAGGCACAAGCACGGCCAAGTTAGGCAAGCACCGAACCGCAGCAGCCTTGTCACGCGCGCTTCTAGAAGGCTACGTTTCAGGGCCTCCCCGGCCTCTCACCACTCACACGGCTCGCTTCGTCTGGCATCGCCTTGCTACCACGGGAGATTTGCCATTTTGCTCATGACGACATGCCGCCGTCGTCTTCATTTCATTTGGCCTTACTTTGCTTTGGTAAACAAGCTACCCTGCCCAGCCGTCCTGCTTGCACGTCGATGCGCTGGAGACATGGCGATCTGCATGTCCACGCCATGCTTCTTTGCCCACCGCCCACCCAGCGACCCATCCGCATGCAAATTTCGCCAAACGCCAACCATGCAATCAATGTGTAGCTGCTGACCGCCGTCCTGTCCACAACTGCCTCCTAATCACCTTTCTCCTTGCCCATGCGCCTGCCCACGTGGCCGAGGCCCTCATTTGGCATAGCGCTTGACCCAGTCCTTTGCGTTCTTGTCAAACTCCTGGCGGTTCTCCCGATACTCGTTAGCAATCGACGGCTCAATCGCATCGTCTGGGTTAGGCTCGATGAGCAGCGTCTGGATCAGGCGCAGCACAGAAACCACCTTGTTCGGCGGCTTCCACTCGTCGGCGCGTAGCAGGCCCAAACACATGGAGCCCTTGTCATCGTTACTGACGTTGGGATGGTAGATCTTGGTCCGGAAGCTGACCACGGGCGGCTTGAACGGATACTCGGTTGGGAATGTAATCTCGAGCTTGAAGTGCCCGCCCTACATGTACACACTCGTCAGCGGGCGGTGTTCCCGTATGCACGGAGGCTGCCTGTCAGCAAGCAAAAACACATACAGCATATGCAGACTGCTCGGGGCCATCCATCAACACTTCCCATTTGGTCATGTTCTGTTCGTCAAAATTGATCTTCATGCCCGGCGGGGTGTCAGCCATGCATTCGCCGTACTCCTGCCCAGCTGTTAGCCGTCTGGCTTGTGCGCCACTACACACAACCATCACAGGCTTGCCTTTAGGATGCGCTTCTTGGCTCCGGTGCTCATGGTGGCAGTGCGTTGGTTGACCGTGTGTGGTGCACTAGGGTTCGATGGCAAGCTGCGACGCCTGGTCTTGCCGGCTTTGTATTCCGGAGCAGCAACGAGTGTTTTCTATGGCACAAGGCAAGACGGGTGGCCGAGTCGAAATGAATGAATGGACGAGCACAAGCTTGGTGGGCTGGTATGTATGTATGTACAGGGCAAGCGGTGTGCAGTGTGGCACGGGATGCGTGCGTGCGAGTGAGTTGTGGAAGAGAGAAAGATGGATGTGGGGAAGGTTGGCTATGAATGACGAGGTGCCTTGGGTTGGGATCCTTAGTCAAAGCTCCGCATGCGGGCCGGCAGAAGGGTCATCAGCCTTCACTGGGTGGCGGCTGCAGGTGCTCGCTAGCATCTGCTCGTCGTTTTCAGTGTGCGCGATTGTCCCTACTGTCTACTCTACTACGCTGCAGAGACGAGCGACTTGTGTCTGCCATGAGGATTGTGGCACTGACATGCAACGACGTCATTGGGAACATGTCGGAGCAAGCCCGTATCGGTACTACTACGCCGCCTCAGTCAACACATTGGAACAAGCGAGTCTTCTGGACGCAACCCCGGCTTGCTCGCGACTTTGTGGTTTACTGCATACAGCAAAGGCATGCGTCTTTGCAGCCAAAGGGACTTGGGCGCGCCCGGTGCAAGTGGAACAGCCTAGCGGCTAGCGGGCAACAGCGAAGCGCCCGTTGTGAGGGCAGCATAAGAGTGGCCCGCCGTGATGCAGAGGAGCTCGGCCTGACATTGCAGAGCGGGCGTTTGCAATGCAACTCGACGGTTATGCTCTGCACCTCATACAGCACTGGCACCCAACATGTTCCATGATGGCGTAATGACTCACGGTTGTGCACAAGCGCAACTCAATGCCCCCGCGTTTCCAAATGCCTCGTCGCTCTTGCCGACTTGCACGCACTCTGCTGCGCCTAACAAACTTACTCGTCACATGAGTCACAAAGGGTCCCAGCAGGCGAAGCGCCCAACTGCTACAACGGCTTGATCCGTACCTACTTGTACCATTGCTATGTATACAGTATGTACCAAGTAACCATGTCACGTTACACCGCGACAAGAACGCGATACGGATCCTTCACAGCCATTGCCCAACACGGCCTCGTGTCTGTCAAGATCGGACCCCACCCACCAGCCGATCACATCTTCCTCCCGGTGCGATCCTGGTCTTGGCGAAAGTCCGTCACGTGGCTCTCGTATCTGTATCGTCGGTGTTTCGCTTACAGCCCTCACCTTCGCATTCGTTCGTGCGTAGGCCAGTACTTACATGGACCAAACAAACACCACGCATAAGCCACATTAGGCTATACCCGAACAGCGTGCCGAATCAAAACGCTGCACACAATGTTGCCTTGCTGCCTGATTCCCACCTGCATCCAGTCGTGCCGCCGCCCGTCGCTATCGACGAGTAAAAACTCCCATCTGCCTGCTACACAGCCCAACGCTAGCCGTCGACGCTGCAGGGATGCCACTTGGCGACGGCAGTATTTAATCGTCGGCCTCCCCGCCATCTCGGCCCTTACGCCTCACGACAAGCGAGTTCGACAACCAAAGTGTGCTTTGTCTTCACCACCAGTGTCGATAAACACGCTTAAGCTCTTCGAATCCTCACTGACTTTTCTCCCCCGAAAGGTTTGCGAGTTCGAGAGTTTCCAGAGCTCCCAACTTCACATGAACGTTGCGTCACGCTAACCTGTCCACTCTTTACGAGAAACACCCCCCTCGCTTCAGTCGCTCGCTTCATCATGTTCGGGAAGCGTTCTTTGGCTAGTTCAAAGGACAAGGACCGTTCAGGCAAGATCACCAAGCAGCCAAAGAGATCGTTTCGCGATGCCTCCAAGCAAAAGGCCATGGCCGAGAAGCTGGATGCACGCAAGGACAGCCCTATGATGGACGGAGGATCACCCCAGTTGACCTCTGCCATTGTGACAGTCATCGTTGGTTCCGACCAGCGACTGTTCGCGGCCCACGAAGATGTACTGTGCCATTCTCCGTACTTTGCTGAACTGCTGCGGAGCCAGTTCTTCGAGTCAACTAACCGCCGCATCGATCTGCCCACGGAAGAGCCTGAAATCTTCAGTTGTATCCTCGAGTATCTGTACAAGGGAGACTACTACCCCCGCCTCGTCCACGACAAGCGGCGCCAAACCTGGATGCTCGAAGGTGCAGTTGCCTCACCCGACCCCAACAAAACCGGCGACCGTGCTGCCGCAGTCGAGCCAACCTTTTTCCACACCGGCGTGGGAGACGTTCTTCTCCGTGACACTGCCGTGTACTGTGCTGCCGATCGTTATGGCCTCGAGGAGCTCAAGAAGCTCTCCCTGCGCAAGCAGGGCCTGCAGAGCGGGATCGAGGTCGGAACAATCTTGCGTAGTGCGCGCTATGCCTACGAGAACACGCCGGACAGCGACTCGCGCCTGCGCGCTCATTACCTCGCTCTGATTATCCGCAGTCGAAAAACCTTCAAGCGTAGCGGAACCATGCAGATGGAGATGGAGATGGGAGGAAAGCTGTTCTTTGACTTGTTCGTGGCCATGTGCAATCACGTCGATGATCTTGTGGATGCGAGGTATGCCTTTGCGCTTTTCCTCTTCGTCTTGATGTCTTTTCCAATCATCCGTACTCTGCCGTGATGTAAAACCTTTGCCACTAACACTTTGCCAGCGCCTCCGCTCGTGGCACCCCCAGGACCATCTGAAGACTCCGATTGCATACTAGTCCCATCACTCGTCATTGTTATACAAACCGCCCCGACAAAATACCACACAAACCACCCTCGCGCACACACAACCCGGAGTATCACACCCAAGTTGAGCACCAAGCCTTTGATCTCCGCGTCAACCTCAAATTGCCGACAAGCGACCCAAAAACCGTGAAAACCATCTCAAAAAAAACATGGAACCGGAGTAATACCAGGGGTTGATTCCCTTCTCTTTTCCCTGCTTTTCAATCGGCGCACTAGTTGTTGTTGCATCTCTCTCCTCCTCTCTCCTCGTTCTGCTTTCTCCGTGGTACTTTTGCTCACCCTCTCATCTCCTCTCCCCGGAAGACTCTCAAAAAAAAGCGTGCCTCTTCAAGATTTTGTTTTCCCTCCCACCCGTTTTTATTAACGACGATCATGGCCAATTTACCTTGTTTTGTTCGCTCTCCCTTTTTTTCTTCCCTCTCTCTCCCACATAGAGAGAGGAGTACAACTGACGAAACTGTGTTTCCTTTGTCTTGAACGAAAGAGGGGGAAAATGGATGGAATGTCCGTTGTCCATCGTCGTTTTATTTACACCCGCGGGGGGAAAATCTTTGTCTTCCAAATGTCTCTTCGGAATGCTTGGTTTTTAATTTTTATATATATATATCCGCGATGGTTGACTCTGCGTTGCATCCGCACTGGAGGACTTTGGGGCTTTTTTTTCCTTTCCCACCTGGTGGAGAGAGAGAAGGTCCTTTTGTTCGATGTGGTGTTGCGCAAGTTGATTGAGACCGCTCGAATAGGGATCCAGACTGTGGAGGAAATAGTCTTAGCGGTGGCAATAATGAGAAATCCCAGGCCGCCTCTATATTGTTGTGTCTTCTTTTGCACTCATCTGTGTGTGTGATGTTGTGTATCTTTTTTCTTTACATCGACCTGATCTATATCTATTATGTATCATACCAACAGCTCCAACCCTACAACCCAACCTCAAACGCCCCATCCACCAAACTCCAAAACTGCTCCACAATCTCCCTCTGCCCCTCCCCACCTCGAACCGCCAAATACCTCTGCCCCTCAACCTTGGGCTCCCAATTCCCCGGATTAGCATCCACCATTATCCCCCCAGCCTCTTTCAGGATAACCCATCCAGCACACACATCCCACGCCCAACACCCAGCCTCCCAGTACACATCGAGCCCGCCACTAGCCACACCACACAGATTCAGGGCCGCAGACCCAAACGACCTCAACCCATGCACCATGCCACCCCCATTCTCCTTGGTCGCCGCCAACCGCTTAAACGTCTCACTCTTAACCCTGAAATCATTCCCACTCCTATCACTCCCCCACTCCACCGCCACCAGACACTTATCCAATCCCCCCAACGCCTGCGGTTCGCCCCCTAGTGGCAGTCTCGTCGTTCGGTTCAGCCACGCGCCCTGGCCCTTCACTGCCGAGTAAAGCGTTTGCGTAAAAGGATTGTACACGACGCCGACAACGGGCTTGCGGTTTACGGCGAGTCCCAAAGAGATGCAGACGTAAGGGTAATGGTGCACAAAGTTCGTGGTGCCGTCGATGGGGTCGCAGATGAATGTCGGGGCGGCAGTCAGCACGTCGCCTGGTTTGTAGGTTTCTTCGCCCATGAAGGAGATGCTGGGGTACGTGGTGCGTAGGGAGGTGGAGATGAGGGATTCGACTGCGCGGTCGGTTTCGGTTACTAGGTCGACAGCTAGAAAGTTAGGTTAGTATAGGTATGGTTTGGAATGGGGGGTTTGGGACGAAGGAAGGGTGGATTCTTGGGTGCGAATTTGGGGGAAGGGGAGAGAGAGAGAGAGAGGGGAAAGTACAATTCTTCTTTGAGCCAGACTCTGAGGTTGTAGGTTTGGCGGCGACGATGCGTTCGCCTGCTTTTTTGGCGATGGAGATCATGAAGTCGTGGATTTCGTTGAGGTTGAGGTCGGCCATTTTGTCGAGGGCTGCTAGGAGGTTTAGAGGGAGGAAATGGGAGAATTGGAGTTTGGGATTGAAGATGAGTGGAGTGCTTTGGTTACGAGAGTCCAATGTTTCTTGTTCACCTACGTACAGCTAGCTACCCTTGTTACCCCTCGGCGGGGCACATGCAGGGTCCACTTACCGTAACACGTGGGGTAATAGTGATTGTCAACGGGCCCATTTGCGCCTGGCATTTGTTGTTTTATGTTTTCTATCTTAAGTAAATTCAGCAGAGTATTGGTTTGTTTAAGCAACAAAAAGAAATAATTGGTCGCTTTATTGTTACATTCATCGAACGTTACAATACAGCTAAATATCATGATACATGTCATTGAATTCAAAGAATCTGGAAGCTTTTCCTCCGAGCGCCAAGAGGTTGATTTCTCTAGAAACCCTCAAGCCTTTGTCTCGACTGTAAAGCCGCCGACCTTCTTTTCCTCCTGTTCCATCTCCTCAGCTATAACATCAGCAGGAATACGGTCTGGAGTTTGGTTGACCAAGACAAGCATTGGACCAAACGCCAAAGCCATTAGGCCAAACGTAACGCAGAAACCAATCATTGGCGATGCCTTGATCTGAGTATTCATGCCATAGGATATAGCCTGGCCAACAGCCTCGAGAGCGCGGAAGGCAGCACCATTGCGGACATTTGCTATATGGAGTCAGTTTAGAACATCTCACAACACGTGTACGATGGGTACAACAAACCTTGAGCATCAGTCGCAAAGGAAGATAGTAGCCAGTACATGTAAGACTGCGACAGTGGACCCGTAGTCTGAACGAAAAAGTACGGGAGGAAAGTCCGCGCATATCTCGACTCGTCCCAGTCAATCTTGCCAGGGTTATGGCTATTGAACCCTGCTTGGATAACGATTGACCATATATAAACGCCAAGGTTCAGAAGAACGACGGTGACGAGACCGATTTGAGCGCGACGACGCTGGTTCACGTTCTTCATGTCGAGAATGAAGCCCAGACCGAAGCATCCGACGATACAGAAGAATGGCGAAATGAGAGAAGAGAGGGCGCGCGCACGAACACTGAAGTAGGTTGCGAGGTAGGTTGACCAGGTGCCACTGACAATCTGTTAGCAAAACTTGAGCTTTTCAAAAGCGAATGCGTGACTAACCCGTAGAAAAATGACCAGATAGCCCAGAGAGCCGACAGCAAAATAAGTTTTGAAGTCATCGTAACCTTGATCTGCTTGATCTCCATCTTGGTGCCTATCTTCTCAGAAACAAGAATTCGTGTCCCGTCTGAGCGGACCACTCTCTCAAGAGGTGAAATGAGGAAGGCAAACGGTAGTGCCATGCACTCGATGATAAGGAAGGCAATATAGGTATCTGGTGACACACCTCCAACGACACCCTTTTCGTGATTCTTTGACAGACTACAAGTACCAACATTAGTTTTGGTTTTTGAAGATTAGAACGGTGATGCCTTACTTGATCGCTCCACCTACTAGTTGTCCCAAATTACGCGCAACAATCCAAAGGGCCAGGTACTTTCCACGTGATCCTGATGGAGCGAGCGACATGATCGTGCCGGATTCGGCCACATACCATGTTCCCGTTCCTATGCCAGTGAAAAAGCCGCCTAGAATAAGGTACCATTGGTTGCCAAATTTCGAGTTGCAGTAGTATGACGAGCCTCGGATAGGGAACGAGCAAGCGCCGATGACGAGAGCCCATTTTGTGCCTAGCTTGTTCACGATAGGACCTCCTAAGGCACAACAGAGTGCAAGCATAGTGTAATTGACAGCGGTTGCAATGTTTGAGGTTTGGGGAGTAGCAAGACCACCTCCACCAAGGCCTGGAATCATGTTAGTTATACGGTCAGATTGTGTTGATCAAGAAAACTGACCAGCAATAGCATCAGCCATGGCAGGACCGCAAAAGGCCTGAACACTCAAGAGTAGCATCTGCGTCAAGCTGTTTTGCCAAATTCTTTTCCATAGTGGCACAGTCCGCGCATATTCTTCTTGGTTAATCCTCTCATCTGCGACTTGATGGGAGGGTAGCGGGGCATTCCATGGGACATTGCCCTTGGTACGAAGGGCATCATCATCGCCGCCAGCGTGGGTGTTGGGAGGAGCAGCGTCAAACTTGGACATCTTGGGCTACTCCAACAAAGATTGCCAAAGCGTATTAAAGCCAAATGAATATTGGGAGGTCGACCTCTGAACTGAGATGATCCCAACGAAGCCTCACGCGACCCTTTATATATACGATCGTCTTCCCGCAACGGCTGCCATGCTCGTCTATCATATTATCTGATATCCCGGCTTATCTGTGGATCTCAAGGCTAAATTACCCCAACCTGGGGTAAAGCCAGTCGTTCCATCCAGCTGATAGGGACTGTGGAGTCCATGGTTTCGGTGACAAGCGAAATGCCGAGGGGAACGAACGTCTGGAAGATCAATTGGACTAGGCTCAATGTGGTAGTGCGAACAGTCGGGAAAAGTGGAGGCAATAGCTAAGGCGAACAAGGCATGGTAAAAAGACGCTAGACATGGCAGACAGGCCTTGTGAGGCTTGTTGTCGGGCCTTTGCGGTTACAAGTAAGGCGCGAGTCAGGCGTTACGTCGCTCCGCGGGTAACTTGGTACCTCGATAGGACATTGACATTGTTGATATCTGATCGGACCCAGTGTAGACCCAGAATTGTGTTATCAAGGTGCGATATGGCAATCAAGGCAATGCCATATCGAGTGCTCCATCTTTGGAGACACGGGCTGGCCCCTCATTGAATGACCATGTGCTGACGTCCAACGATCTAGCCTTATCGGGAGATATTAACAGTCGGGATCATCAAGCGAGAGCCAAGCACAATCTCCATTCCCGAGTGTCGTCTCCAACCGACGGTACATGGAGCAGACAGCCTCGATTACTTAATTGAAACTTGCCTGAGCTCGTAGTTGAGCGGGGATTATGCCTCTACATCGTATCATCGAGCTGGTGGCGTGTGCAGATTCATTGATACTTAACCGGCGGGCGTTTGGGGCGTGACCCATTGTGGATTGTCTCTAATCACGACTTGCGCCTCCGTTCAGAAAGACTTTCAGCTTCCCCGGAATACGACTATAGCCAAGCGTTGTTTCAATATGGCACCTTCAAGAGCGAAAACGTCTGTCATCGTTGTCGGTGGTGGTGGTACTATTGGCTCATCGACAGCTCTTCATCTTGTCCGTTCGGGCTACACACCGTCAAATATCACCGTCCTTGATACATATCCTATCCCATCATCGCAGTCGGCCGGAAATGACTTGAACAAGATCATGGGGATCCGCTTGCGGAACAAGGTCGATCTCCAGTTGAGTCTTGAAGCTCGTCAGATGTGGAGAGAAGATGAGCTATTCAAAGAGTATTTTCATAATACTGGGCGGGTACGTGGAGTTGACAGAATGGCGTTTTTGAAGCTATATACTGACAGAAGCGTAGCTGGATTGCGCTCATGGCGAGACTGGACTTGCAGATTTGAAACAAGCATACCAGGCTCTTCTCGACGCCAACGCTGGACTCGAAGAAACAACAGAATGGCTTGACTCTGAAGACGAAATTCTCAAGAGAATGCCGCTTCTAGATCGCAAGCAAATCAAGGGTTGGAAAGCAGTCTACAGCCAAGATGGCGGCTGGCTCGCTGCAGCAAAAGCCATCAACGCAATAGGCGAGTACCTGCGCGATAGCGGAGTCAAATTTGGATTCGGTGGTGCTGGATCGTTCAAACAACCTCTTCTGGCTGAAGGAGTATGCATTGGCGTCGAGACAGTAGATGGGACAAGGTACTATGCTGATAAGGTCGTACTTGCAGCCGGTGCTTGGAGTCCCGTATTGGTTGATTTGGAAGAGCAGTGCGTTTCAAAAGTAGGTCTTATCAAAGTGTGAGCTTGCATTCAATCTAATATTACTAGGCTTGGGTATATGCCCACATACAACTCACACCCGAAGAAGCAGCAGAGTACAAAAACGCACCTGTAGTATACAACGGCGATGTCGGCTTCTTCTTCGAGCCTGACGAGCATGGTGTCATCAAAGTCTGCGATGAGTTTCCAGGCTTCACGCGATTCAAGCAGCATCAGCCATATGGCGCCAAAGTACCAAAACGTATCTCTGTGCCCAGATCGGCAGCAAAGCACCCGACTGACACCTACCCCGATGCTTCTGAAGTGAGCATTCGCAAGGCTATTGCGACATTTCTGCCCAAGTTCACCGAGAAGGAGCTATTGAATAGACATCTGTGCTGGTGCACAGATACGGCCGATGCTGCGCTATTGATGTGTGAACACCCCGAGTGGAAAAACTTTGTGCTTGCTACTGGAGACAGCGGGTATGTATCTCGAACCTTGGTGTTTGATAATATATACTGACTGACGTATTTAGTCATACTTTCAAGTTGTTGCCAAATATCGGCAAGCACGTCGTGGAGCTGCTCGAGGGTACGCTAGCAGATGATCTAGCACATGCGTGGAGATGGCGGCCGGGTACTGGCGATGCGTTGAAGTCGAGAAGAGCAGCGCCGGCAAAGGACCTATCAGACATGCCTGGTTGGAAGCATGATGGAGCTGTCAAGTCTAAGTTATAGTGGTTCAAGCATTTTCACTAAGAGTTATGAAGGCTCTTCTTGTAGTTTGTCCAATTTAGTAATGAGACCTAGACATTCTTCACCATCCAACGGAAATAGAGTTAATTTATTAATCTTGCTAATTCCTTGGTATCTTAGTAAAAGAAGATACAAATCACTGCAGTACCCCTCCTGTCTTGAACAGCAAGAGCAAAGCATGCCTATCAGGTGAGCGGTATAAGGTGTGTGTGCTGAATTAGCATGGCTTCCATGTCTCAAGTCAAGCTTCCAGTGACGGTAATCATGACCTTCAAGAAACAGCAGTCGCCAAGGTCAGTTTGAACACATTGGTGAAGGCCAGTCTGGTAAGGTTGGGCAGGTGTACCTGCACTTAGAAATTGCCAGGAAAGCGTGATTCAACACAACCGGCAGGAATATTGACAGACCAACTGCCTGTCACTGGGCCTTTAAGTACCACTGTTCGTCTCCGTCTTCACTCTTCTTCTTACTTCACTGCATCGTTATCGCTATTCAACAACCCACCACTTTTAACTTTTGTATCAAGCCCATCGCTAAAGTCACAACCATCAACACCTCTCGTTGCCAAATCCACAATACCGTTACCCCTCCGTCTTCCACGCAACCGCCCTTGGTGCAAACAATTCACCAACAGCTCAGCTAGAAATCTCTCAGGGTGACCATGGAAGGACAACCAACAGAAACGACAGATGTTCCGGGCGAACGTCCCGAAGTCAGCGAATTCTTCCAAGTTATTGGCTGGAATTGTGCATTGCTTGCTGCCACTTTAATTTTCGGGTGGTCAGTAAGGTGGTTTTGTCTATTCCGGCGTAACCGTCAAAGGAACAGAGACAGAACCAATGCACCAGCAGCAAGGACGACTGTTGGAAATGGCTCACTTCACATCGAAAACATCGAACTGGGTACGATCAACGCAGGTGGAGATGCGGCAGATCAGACACAGCCTGGCTCAGATTCAAGTCTACCCGGTCCAACTTTACCCAGTTCAGACTCGCCCAATTCAGACCCGCCCAGCTCGAATCTACCCGGTACAGGTCTACCCAGTACAAGTCTACCACGTCCAGCTTAACCCAGTTTGGAAGACACCACGGAAGGAAACTCAGAGAATCGGCGAGGCAGCAATGGGCAAAGCGAACAACGTCGGATTTTGTGAGAAGCAGCTGCCGTGATAGTTGAGAGGACGTGAGTGCAGCCTTGGTCTCAATCCACGTTGTCGATGTTTGTTGTAGTTCTTGGAGGCTCAAGCAATGGGAATGGATGTTCCCTACTGATTACAACAATCATGTTCTAGTAATCCAATACAGTACATGTTAATGATTGATTCCATTGCTGACGTCTGTTCTTGTGACTCTGCCTATGAATGTCGGGCGTAGTCTGATGTAACAACAGCCATGAATCTGCATGTCGAGTAAGCTGGGAACACGCTAGCGGGGCGAACCTCGGCATGTTGAGCAGGGAGGCCGGGGTTCGCGGTAGAACTACTCCGCATTTCGAGAATAGCCAACTCTCATAAATGCTCACGATCCTTATACGTTTCAAGCCCTAGATTTTTCAGTTTCGCTTAACCAAACTCTCGACTTGTACCATCACGTGTGTATAGCAAAACATGTCGTCCTCGAAGCGCGTGGAGCAGATTGCTGGTCACCTCAACTACCCCAAGGGTATGTTGGCGGGCCAGACTGCCATTATTACTGGATCTGGACAAGGAATTGGAGCAGAGGCGGCGAAGCTGTTTGCGAAGGAGGGCGCAAAGGTTGTGGTTGCTGATGTAGACGCAAGTGAGTTAATGGAGCGCATATCGAGTATCTCGCGAGCCCGTCGCTGACATATATACAGAAAAGGCCGAAGCGGTAGCTTCTGAGATCAACTCTTCAGGTGGTAGCGCAATAGCAGTAGCAGGCGACGTGCTCGACGACGCCTATATCAAGACACTGATCTCTAAGGCGGCCGAGTTTGGCGGAGGCAAGATCCACATCATCGTCAACAATGCAGGCTACACATGGGACGGTGTCATCCACAAGATGACGGACAAGCAATGGCAGACTATTGTCGACTTGCACGGAACAGCGCCGTTCAAGATTGTGCGCGCCGCAGCGCCGTATTTCCGGGTCAAGGATGGCGAGCCCAGGAACATTATCAACATCTCGAGCACAAGCGGCTTAAACGGCAATGCCGGGCAGATCAACTATGCGCTGGCCAAGGCGGGTGTGCAGGGCATGACCAAGACGATTGCCAAAGAGTATGTCCTCTCTTCTGTGTCTCCTCTCTCCGTCAACACTTATCCTAACGAATATCTAGGTGGGGCCCTCAGTTTGGCGTGCGGGCAAACACGGTCGCTTTCGGACACATCCAGACGCGGCTAACGGCAGCAAAGGAGGCGGGCGCATTTGTGACGACGCCCGATGGCGAGAAGGTGGCACTCGGAATACCACAGGCGCAAAAGGCTGCCGTCCCAGAGGGCCAGCTGTATGCAGACATTCCGCTGCGCAGGCCGGGGACAGCGACGGAGGCGGCGAGCGCGGTGCTGGCTGTTGCGAGCCCACTGTTTAGCTATGTCAACGGAGAGACGATCAAGGTCACGGGTGGTCGGAACATGTAGAGGAATTGGAATTGAGTCTGGCTGCGTGCCAAAGTATAAATAATAATAATAATGGCAATGGTGATTCCAGTCTCAAACGCGGGCTGCGGTGGAATGGAATGGGGGGTTTCGAGTACCAAGGTCTTGGGACATGACAGGGACTCGGCGGCGGACGCTGATCCGCAACGCCATCCCCAGACGCCTCAGCCATGGTCTTTCGACAACATCGAGACCAGACGTAATCACTGGCCTTGTTTTGCTGCATTGTCGCGCCTCTTCACACCCGCTTGTTGCCGCCATTACTCCTAGCCACCCCTTCCAACATGTTCATGTGCAATCGGTAACCCCATTTCATCCACCTGCATCGCTCGAGTATTCGCCCGCGGGCGAGCATCCCCTACCTACCAACACGTTGCGCAACGCCGCATTTAATCCCACCAGGACCACGGTCCTCACCAGCTCACCATGAGCGACGAAAAGCACAACTATGTCCGCGAGCCCTCGCCGCCCCCCATCCCCACATATGACGAGGCCACCTCGTCGCGCAATGCGCCGGCACGCCTTGGACCAAACGAGATCAGCGACGACGCCGAGCGGCAGGGCCTCCTGACCCCAGATGTTCGCACACAGTCCGACTCGCGGAGACGCAATGGATACTACCAACCGCCCTCGGTCCAGTCGGTCGATGATGGCGACTCGGACCTGGGTAGCCCGGTGCGGGAGAGCCAAGACGAGGCCCTGCGCCAGACCATGGAAGAGATGGAAATATTAGACCCGGAAACTGCAGAGGAAGGAAGGTCGAGGAGGAACCGAACGCGAAATCGTTTCTCTAAGCGCTTCAACAGCATACGGCACTCGCTGTCGAATTGGAATCTACCCCGGATACCCTGGCCGTCGTGGCGTCCCAACTTCAGTGCCGTCACTGACCATATGCCTACTATATCTGAGGAATACAGACCGGGCTGGGCCATGTTTGCGCGTCTGCTTGGCCTCTTTGTCATTGTCATACTCGTCTACTTCCTGGTTGCTAGCGAGGTAGTACCCATGGGCGGCGGCTTCGGCACACCCTTTAATCCAGAGTGGATACGCCAGACGGCCGTCGAGGGCGTCGAGAGCTGGCGGATTGAAAAGAATCTTGAGTATATTACGAGCTACGATCACATTGGCGGCACAGAGGGAAGCTACGTGCTGGGACAGTGGATCGAGGGAAAGTTCAAGGACGCAAATATGGATACATTTACACATGACGAGTATGTCAGACGGGAACGGGGAATTTCCCACAATATGCTGACTTTGACAGATACTTTGTTTATATGAACTATGCAAAGAAGAATGGCCGAAAAGTTGCCATTGTCGATCCACCCGATAAGGCTTGGGAAGCAAAACTCGAAGAGCCATATGTTTTCAACCCACCGAAAGCCCAGACGCCTGCCTACCACGCAATGTCAGCGTCTGGAAATGCTACTGGGCCCCTGATTTACGTCAACTACTGCGACAAGAAGGACTTTAAACGGTTATGGGATAGCGGCATTGATGCGCAAGGTGCAATTGTGCTCTGTCGATACTACGGAACACAGCCAGATTTGGCCATGAAAATAAAGTCTGCACAGAATGCGGGCGTAGTCGGTGTTCTGGTTTACTCTGATCCGGCACACGACGGATTCAAAAAAGGCAACCCCTGGCCCGACGGCAAATGGAGACCTGGCGAGAGCGTACAGCGAGGCTCAGTTGCCCAGACCAACATGATTATGGGCGACATACTCACACCCGGAAAGCCGAGTTTGAAGAAAATGGAGCGCATGTCCCGGGACAAGAACCCCGCAGTACCAAAGATTCCTAGTCTACCCCTGTCATGGAAGGATGCGCAGAAACTACTCCAGTCACTCAATGGCGTTGGTGAAGAACTCCCAGATGAATGGGTCGGTGGTGTGCCAGATATTGGCGACAAGTGGTACTCTGGCCATCCTGAAAAGTCTCCCAAGGTTTACATCCAAAACAATCAGGACGAAGTCGAGCAGCAGCGTATCACAAATGTTTTTGGATCACTCAAGGGTACAGAGGACCCAGGTCGGAAGATCATTATCGGAAACCACCGGGATTCATGGTGTTTTGGTGCAGCCGACCCTGGCTCCGGTACAGCAGTCATGCTCGAAGTTGTACGTGTACTCGGCGAGCTTCGTGCTCAGGGCTGGAGACCCCTACGTACTATCGAATTTGCGTCCTGGGACGCTGGCGAATACAACCGTATTGGATCAACCGAGCACGTCGAAGCCAACGTCGACGCCCTCCGCGAAGGCGCCATCGCCTACCTCAACCTCGATGTGGGCATCACCGGCTCCAACCTCTGGGCCAACGGCTCCCCGATCTTCCAACACGCCTGGACCCGCATCCTCGACCGCCTCTCGGACCCTCACGAAAACAAAACCCTCCGCGAACTCTGGGACGCCTCCAACAGCAAAATAGGCAACCTCGGCGCAACCAGCGACTACGTCGCCTTCCAAAACATCGCCGGCACCTCGTCCCTCGACTTTGGCTTCTCCGCCGCTGCCGCTTCGAAAGACGGATCCCCCGCCGCCCACCCTTTGTCGCATAGCTGCTTCGAAACTCTATCCTGGATGCGCAAGTACATCGACCCATCCTTCTCCTACCACACCCTCCTCACCCAACTCACCTTACTCCTCATCCTCGAACTCGCCCAAGAACCCATTTTACCCCTCAAACTCGACGATTTTGCCTCTGCCCTCCAACAAGAAGGCCAATCCTTGCTCGACTGGACCGAAAAAACCAGTGGGGGCGCTGATTACGACATTGGGATTTTTCAACCGTTGGTCGATGCGCTGAGCATGTTTAAGAAGCGCACCGAGGCGTTTGGCGCGTGGGAGCAAAACTGGTATAATCAGGTTTATGCCACTGGAGGGTTTGAATCGAGTGGCGTGACGATGCAGCGCGTGAGGCATAATGCCAAGATTGGGGCTGTGGAGAGTGATTTGTTGGATTTGGCGGGGGGCAAGGAGGATAAAGGGCCGCATGGGGTGAGTAATTTCCCTTCTTCTTCTTCTTCTTCTTCTTCTTTTTGGTAGTGTGTTTTGGTGGTGACTTTTTTTTGCTAACAAGAATAATCAGTTGCCGAATCGCGATCAGTTCAAACATGTTCTTTTCGCCCCAGACCTCGAAAATGGTCTTGAGGCGAGTGTGTTTCCGTTTGCACGCGAAGCCATTGCGAATAAGGATTGGAACAAGGCGGCTGAGGCGATCAAAATGACGGCGAATGTGTTGAATCGTGCGGGAGAGAGGCTGGGACAGTGATTTTTTTTTCTTCTCCTCTCGTTTCCTTCCCCCCCCCCTTTTTTTGGAAGCAGGATTCTTTTTCTGCTACGTTGCTGGTTGGTTGAGAATTTTTGGACATTTAGAAATTTTTGAGGCTGGGGAAGCAAGGAAGGAAGAGAAGAGAAGAGAAGGGAAGAGAAGGGAAGGCAGTGGTTGCATAGATAATGGAGAGTTTCCAAGACTCTACATTTTTATTTTTTAGTGTAAAGAGTGTGGAGAGGTGAAGATGGGGGGTTGAGTACAAGGTGCATTCATAGGCGTTTTTTTTCTTCTTTCCTTCTTTTTCGTACATTTGTTCAAATGGTGTATAGACAGAGAGAGAAAGAGAGAAAGAGGGATGTGGAGATGCGGAAATAGTTGTTGAATCTATAGTGTTCTCTCCCCCCCCCCTTTCCGTCTGAGGCAGAAAATAGTCTTCCTTTTTGGGGGATTTTTGAAACATGGATATATATGGGGAGGTTCTCTTCTGTTTTCGAGGGTAATACACATTTTCGATTTTGTATTCACGTTGCAGAATAAAAGCATTAGATATTCGGGTATCATAGTTATCTAGCATAAACGCCAAAACCAGCCTTTACGCCGAGTCCTCTTTCTTTGCCTCATCTTTCTCATCCCCAGTCTTCGCAACATTTCCCTTTTCCTTTGGAGCATCCCCACCCTCCTCCTTCCCCAACAACTCCGCTCCCAACTCATCTAAAAACCTCTCCGCCTGCCCCTTACTCCTCTTCTCCAGTATGACTCTCTTCTTCTTCCTAATCATCTCCCTCCTCTCCTCCACCCTCCTAGCCCTCTCGCTCCTAACCCGCTCCGTCTCCTCCCTCTCCCTCTCAATCCGCGCCATCTGCTCCCTCCTCTCCTCCTCATCCTTTGAGAAATTAAAGAAGCCCATGCCGCGCTGCCGGACCTCTGCGCGGCCGTCAAAATGCAGGTCTGGGGGCGGTGTAAGTTCTTTGTCACGTTTGGCGGCTAGCTCCGCCATTTGCTGGGCGATGGTGGCGTCTGGGTTGAAGGCTTGGGTTTGTACGGCGTCGCCGTAGATGAGGGAGTCGGGCATGCTGGGGCGCGCGGTGAAGCGGTCGGGTTCGTCGGCGGCGAGGGTGCGTTTGCGGCGTTCTTCACGGGCGGCGTCGGCGCGGGTGCCCTTTCGTGTGCGCCCGAATTCGTCAATGTATTCGATGAGTTCTTGCTCTTCTTCGTCGTCTGAGGATGAGGAGTCTGAAGCAGATGGGGCTTCGCCTTTTTCTTGCTTGTCTGCCCATTTTCGGTCGAAATCTACGCCGTATTTTTCGTCGACGTCTTCGACGTCGCCGCGTTTTAGGGCGTCGTAGAGGCGGGCTTTTTCTTCCATTCGCCGCTTGGTGCGCTTCCAGGCAACTTCGTCCTCGCCTTTTTCTTCGGCGGTGCGGCCGCGGTGCTTCTGTGTAAAATCTGCATCTTCGAGGTCCTTGAGCGCGCGCTTATTAACATTCTTGTTGTGTGTCTTGAAAATGTCTTCCTTTTGTGGTCGCGCGCGTCCGGCAGTGGGCTTGTTGGATTCGGAAGACGAGCTCTTGATGAGGTTGGAAAGCGTGGATGCAAAAGCGAGGCTACTCGAGCTAGAGATTTCTTTTGCTTTGGCGCGTCCCTTTGGGCGTGCGCCGTAAAGGTGGGCGTCCTTGGATGACATGTGTGTGATGTTTGGGGCGTGGAGCGCGTTTGTAGGGATGAGGCGATGTCGGCGGTGGAGTCCTGGACTGTTGCGTCACTACGCTACCCCACTCATTATTTTGCGTACCCCACGTCTGAATGATGAAAGCGCGGTTCCGCAACTGATGGAGCCTCATATTTTGAAGACTTATAAATCGTTCACACTTTAAATAAAGTTCATACATCTTCGTTGCGGTGTACAATTGCAAGATCAATTAATCACAGATACACATACACAGACACACATACAATGCCTCTTCCTCGTCAAGTCTTCATCGCCGTTATCGGTCAGCTACCTCACTTTCTATACTCGAACATGTATCTCTAACAGCTTCCCAGGTGCCGGTGGAGTAGGCAAAACCTTCCTCTCCCAGTTATCCGCCCTCTCCAAGCGCCTCTCCCAATCGCCTTCATCGCCATACTACGTTTCTCTCATTTGGCTCAGCACCTCTAAGAAGGCCGTATACCACGCAGACTACAGACCCGTCTCCGACTGGGAGTCTGAACTACAAAACTCCTCGACCTCGCCTCTCCCTCTCCCACAACTGTGCGAGTACCTACAAAAGGCACCGGAAAAGGTGGTCCTTGTAGACAACACCAGCAGCCAAGATGTCGCGGATAGCTATCCCGCCTTCTTGAAAAAGGGCATCAGCATCGTCACACCGAACAAGAAAGCATTCTCCGGAAGCTACGACCTGTGGACGCAGATCTTCAATTCTGCCAGCAACGGCAATGGCGCTGGGGGCTACGTTTTCCACGAGTCGTCAGTCGGCGCAGGACTGCCCGTCATTTCAACCCTCAAGGACCTGGTGGAGACAGGGGATGAGGTTACAAAGATTGAGGGTGTCTTCAGCGGAACAATGAGTTTTCTGTTCAACTCGTTCCAGCCGCTGGGCGGTGGTGGCGGCAAGTTCTCCGCCGAAGTCACATCTGCAAAGGAAAAGGGCTACACAGAACCAGATGCGCGTGACGACTTGAATGGTCTGGATGTCGCTCGCAAACTCACCATTCTCGCCCGTCTGGCTGGCCTCAAGGTGGAATCGCCGACTTCGTTCCCTGTTCAGTCACTCATCCCCAAGGAGCTTGAGTCATGCTCTTCCGGTGATGAGTTCCTGGAGAAGCTGCCACAGTTCGACGATCAGATGGAGCAGCTCAAGGTAGATGCAGAAAAAGAAGGTAAAGTCATTCGCTTTGTCGGAAGCGTTGATGTGCCGAGCAACAATGTCAAGGTTGGTCTTGAGAAGTTTGACAAGAGTCACCCGATTGCGGCATTAAAGGGTAGTGACAATATCATCGCTTTCTATACCAAGCGATATGGCAACAACCCACTGATCATTCAAGGTGCGGGCGCTGGCGGCGAAGTGACAGCCATGGGTGTCACGGCCGATCTAGTAAAAGTCTTGAGGTTGCTTCACTAGTTTGTAAATAGCGGTGATGATCAAGAAATGACGAAATGAAAATGGAGTTAAAGTATACCAAGTGAGGGAATTTCCTTTTCAAAAGTGTTTTCTGGGCATGCATTTGTATGAGCGAATTACCAGGCACACCAAGCATGGACAGGTCATATGGTATGTGGTACACCATCCTAGTATAGTATCTTCTCGGCAAAAAAAAATCCCTCTGGCTTAGTGTCTGTTCTTTGTTTGTAATTGAGAAACATTTTCATGTACGGGTGAGAATTACTACGACTTGCATGGTGTTACAAGACCTAGACAAAGGCTGACAGAGTCCTGAAATAGCCTTTTGTGCTGGCACATTCTCCAATGTAGATTTGTGTAACCTCCATCGGTGATGCCCAGGCTGTGGCTTACATGTCTCCGTCAGTGTTACCAAGACTGTGATAAAAGTAAACGTGCCGTTCCGTCTTGGTGCATGACCCTTGTAACGAAGGATCAGAAATGTGCAGTAATAGATTTTAGCGAAGTTGTTATCGGAATGCTGGAACAGTTATCCGAGGCATTGTTTTCCGATACGTCATTATCCGAGGTGTTGTTATCTGCAAGTTCTACCTCGCTTGCTGTGATTCAGCCCACAAATCGAATGCGGGGTGGTACACCGGGGCTGTGCATATCCACCATGGTAAAGACCAGATAACAGAACGTGGAGTAAGCAATGGCTCGGCGTTGGTGTACCGCGGCCCGAGCTTGAGATACTTGGGGAGCCGTATGAGAGAAAAAAAAAGACGCAAATGCAAACTTGCTTTGGTTTGGGGTTGGCGATGATCCTGCTGCTAACGAAGTAGAGTATTACTTTGCTGTGGAGCGAGATATGGGCAACCCGTGTTTCGCCGAGGAGTAGGTCAAAACGACGGTGTAGGACTGTCGTTGACTAGAGGGCCTAGAGTGGAGAAATTCCTTTTTGCTACCAACCATAGGGGAAGTGCAACCTTTTGATTTTGGGGGTATTGACCATTAGTATTGCTACCCTCGCATCCAAACGAGGCAAGTGAGAATTGCTGGATTCCCGAGTTATGTGCAGGCTGAACCCTGCCGCGTATATGGAATTGCATTTTGGAAGCGTAAGTGCTTACTGGTTAGTCGACCCTAGGCTCAGATCGTGACCCGTCTCTTACATAAGTTTGGATACATGTGTATGTGTGTGTGTATGCGTGAGTGTAGGATCTGCCAAGCTTTTCTTGTGCGGATGGTGTCATTCTTAATCATGTTTGATGTGCAGGGAGAGCTGGCGGAGAGTTGGCAGGTTACAGCGAGGGCGTGTCGGAGACCGTGGCATGTTGATCTCGCGATCTCACCATCTCACCCATGAGAAACTCGGGGATCCTGTTTGATGAGGACCCGAGGCAGAAGTCAGGCCACACTACTACGACTATGGTGTGGCATCGGTACTCTACTGTGAGTGGTTTCGCTGGCTCAGGAATGGAGACGCATCACAGGGAAGGCTGGCACAAAAGGCGCCGATGGCGTGGTACGAAACGTCAAGCTTGGAGGGTGTTGTTACCACAGTATCGGGAGCGATTGCTGCCTTGGAGAGGGGCTGGAAGGGGTGGGCAAGTGTCGCCCAGGACAGGCCATAGGTCGACAAATGCCTCGCTGCGGGTAAGAAGGCAGATAGCCAAGAGGATTTTCAGACGGCAATCGAGGGGTGGCAGTCGAGGTATGCGCTGGCGTTGGTGTTTGACGGGCAGAGCGGGGTTTGTGTGCTAGGGCTGGGATGGGATGGGATGGAAAGGCTGCCAAGGCGGGACTAGGATGGTAGAACGGGCGCCAAGAGGCGTGAGCAGCGCGTGAGAGGAGCGGAGCGAATCGCAGGCAGTTACAGCGGCCAACCGGCGCATAAAGGCGTTGAGGCTGTGCCAGTTGGGCCGACAAAGACCCTCGCATCACGGGGAACTTGACACAATCGCAATCTGAGGGGGGATTCCACGGGCCTCCCCATCTTTGGGCGGCATTGCAAACAAGACATGCTTGTGGGCGCCCGAAGGGAGATTAAGCCAGGGCGGTTTCGACGGCGAGAGCGTGTGCGTTCTCGAAGAAAAGGGGCGTGCATTTTTCCCACAGGGCTGAAGACTGAAATGGAGGGGCGGTCTGTGCAACGGCTATGTTGCTGGATTGGGCACGCTGGCTGATTTGCTCCTACTATCGCCAGCCCTGCTCGTGTGCGCCCATGTGCGCCTTCGCCATGTCTTGCCGGAGAGATGCATACGCTGGCGCCAGGTGTGGTTGAGCGACAGCACTTGCACTCTGCGCCCACGCGATGGCAATATGGAAGTGCGGCCTGGTCTGGCGCCCTTTGGTTCCACGCAGCGGTCAGCATGTGCGGGGCCTGCCCGTCGAGGCGTATAGTAGTGTGGCGCTGGCGGTTGGTCTTTTTTTACGCCAAACGCCAAAAGCCAAAAGCCAAACGCTGGCCGCGGTCGCTGGCCGGCAGAGATGATTCAGTAGGCCATGGAAGCGGCGGGATGTGGAGTAGATGTGCGGCCACGAGGCATGACTTCATCCAGCAGCGCTGCATGGGCAGGGCAGGGCAGGGCAGGACAGGGCAAGGCAAGGCAAGGCATGTGGTGGATCAGCAAACTCAGTGACGAGCGAGGAGGGGGTTTCCGCTCGCTACCGGCGCCGAAAGCTGCGTTGCTGTTGGCTAGTTCCCAGCATGCTATCGATTGAGTAAGAAAAAGGCCCTGATCGTATACATACTACAGGCTTGCGTACATGGGGCACATGCGTTAGGGATGCAAGTAAGTATGTAGACATTTACGCATATGCGAATATACGCCAGCGATGACGCACAGAGAAACACAGCCAACAAACAGACACAATCAATCCATCAATCCATCAATGGCGGCGCGAGCCAACGTCTCCGACTCGGGCTGATGGCAGCGCCAGAGCCAGAACCGTTTTGGTCCGTCCCTTGGGCAAGTGTGTGAGTGTGAGTGTGAGTGCAAGTGCAAGCAAACATAGGCAACCAGCCAGCCAGCCCCTGGTCATTCGTCACACACGAGTCTGAGCCGGCACCGTGTCAGGGCGGGTGTGGACAGCGAGAAAAAGCAGCCGACGACTCAGCTGAGACCAGGGGCAGCAGTGCCAATCGCGTGGCCGCCCTCAGCGTGCTGCTGCGACGGCGAACTTGGAGAGGGTTGCTCGTCTCGCTGCCTGGGCTGGGAGCGGTGAGAGACGTGTATCCGTCATGGACATGTTCGTCCACCATTATCCAGCATTCTGGCACAGATCGACTTGGGCCAACATGTTGGTGCTTGATTAGTGCACAAGCCGCGTGCTGCGTCCCGGCGCCGCGACCGACATGGGGCATCGAAGGACATGTCACCCTAGCCTGCGTTTAGCACCACGAGCGTTGCCGGGCTTGGGCCATGGCCACACCACCCATCGCCCTTGGATACACAACACCCCCTGTCCAAACTTTGGCCCGCTCCGCCGCCCAGCGGAGTGGGCAATGGGTGGGTGTGGGTGGCTGTTAAATAAGGACACGCTGCCTGTGTCGTCGTCGTCGTCGTCGTTCCAGCAGTCACACACCCAACACACATGCCCATCCGCTACACTACACTACACTACACTACACTACACTACTAAAAGCCTGACCTCACCAGTTCCCCCCTCCTCCCCCCCTTGCAGCAGCCTCCGTCTTGAACCCAAACACCGCTATCGTCTGGTAAGACGAATCTTCCCAAGCCGCCGACGCCAATCCCTCTGGTCATTTCCTCAACTCCGAGCCCTGGGTTGTGTTAAGCACCGTCCTCTTTGGCCCTGTTCGTCCTAAATTCCGCCGTTCAACCTGCCCCGCCCAATTTGCCTTTTCAAGCGAGCAAGGGGTGATCGTCCATTTCGGCCTATCAGCTGCTAGTCCTTGGCACACGGCATTACTACACTGTCCACCACTCTCCCCCTCCACCTTACACACGCTTATAACACCGGTCCCGCCGCCTGCTCCTCTCGGCACCATAGACAGACTCATCAACACGCCTGTCCTCACTCACCCAGTCCTCTTCACTCACGCTCCATCCTCACTGCCAGACCAGCACTGGCCACTCGCCTCTACCCCGGATTGCCACTCGTCCTTGTCTCGTGACAGCGCTCCGCACGTCACCTTCCACTCCGCCACCACGACTTCCACAACCACATTGCCGTTTCTCAAAACGTCTCGCCACAACTCGGCTCGCAAAAGAATCTATCTCGAAATCACCTGAACTTCAGCAGCAACAATCGCAACAATGTGCGTCGCCGAACTCTGCGTTACGGTGCTCCCATGCAAGCACCGCTGGTACCATCTCGTCCGCCCATGCACTCCTTCCAGCAACCTCTCCACATGCGGCAAGAAGCTAGGAATCTCAGGATGGGAGGTCAAGTGCAACCACTGCCCCTACTGCCACGGCCACGTTTCCGAGTTTGAGTACAAGCTCATTGGTGATGGCCCAGCTCCTCCCGTTGGATCCCTGTCCGGACTTGCGCGTGCACACTCTACCTCACTCAACGCCGCCCGTCGCGACATCCGTCTCGACAACATCACCCGCACCGACAGCGCCACCAGTGTAGGCAGCAAGAGCAGTCTCGTCACTGCAGCATCAGAGAAGAACCGTGCCATGAACTCGCGCCTGGACGCCTACTTCTTCCCCTCACCCGACTCACCATACCCTGCTGTCCGCGAGGATGACAACGAGAGCAACCCTGGCGGAAGCCCCAGCGACACTTCGGTCAGCGACTACTCCAGCGTCCGCCACGCCTCCATCTCCATGCCAGCTGGCGCAGAGACGCACAAGGCCAACATGCTCTCACGTGTGCGCCAACGAACCAAGCGCATCTCTGGCATCTTCCGGTGATTGGCCACTGGTGCTAGTCGCCTCTTTGTTTCCTCTACTTTCATCTCCTCTCCTCTCCTCTTCCTTCGACTTGGTAGCCTGGATGGCGCCGCTCAAAGCCAAGGCGCGCCGGTCTAGACCGTGGCGAAGAAGCGGTTCTCCGCCGGATCCACACAGCCACACAGGCACCAACCCTCCTCGGCCCGGATAAACATGACGATGGCATAATCACATGTGCATTGGCCACAGGTCCCCGGACAAGTAGCATTACCACCGCTACGACCATTACTCCACTCTTTATTTGCAGCGTCTGCTTTGTTAGCTTTTGGGTTGTCTAGCGTCTTCTGATTTCATGTTTATACTTTGGATACCCACTGTTCTGATGCGCGTGTTACGCATCAGCATGTCTCGGCCACGGAGACATGGGCGTTTTTCATTTCGGCCCCCGGCGTTTATACGGAAAAGGACGGGGAACGGGTTTTATGGATTTTCGATGGGCGCCATCTTACAGACATGGCACGGGCAAGGGATGATGTGCTCCGCTCCTGGTTGTGGCATGGCTTTTACGAGGTCTATTCTTGGCGTTGGGCTGCGATGCAGGCAAAATCACACTGTCGACGCAAACGGGTGTGCGTTCCCTGACAGGACGAGCACAGGCGCTGTCGCTGCACAGGGTTCGCTTATTATTATTATTATTATTCTTCTTCTTCTTGTTTGGCCTCGTTGCTCCCAGCTACGCCGTTTCACGAATCGCATGGAATGGGTTTGTGCACATTTTGTTCTAGAAGCTAGCTGTTTTTTTATCTTGTTAGTTGAAAATAACCCGTTGTTTTTACCACTACTCGCATCTTGTTACGTGTTTGACGACTCTACTCTACTCTAGGCCTGGCTTTTACCCACTGCCCACACCGTATATTGAGAAAGTGCAGCGACGATAACTGTCTGACCGCTACAAGCGGAGCCAAGAGGGCAGAGTTATCGCCTAGGGAAGAGACTTGTACACCGCAAAGCAAGCATCGAGGGCTTGGCTTCCGCCCGCCGGATCCACGGCGACTCACCCAGACAGCCGCTACTCCCATGCCCAGTGTCGCCAGTAAGAGTAATAAGCAAAGTTAATGCGGGCGAAGACGGAATCATGCCACTGGCCGCGCTCTGGATGGCTGCTTTTGTGCCACCCTGCCGAGCCACACCACCTGTGCCACATCTCCACCCTCCCTCAGCTGTGTTTCGGCGTCACTCCAGACCCCCCTCACAATGCACGGACGCGTCATCGGCCTTTTTTTTTCCAAGTCTCCCTCTGCCCACTCGCCGCGCTATCGATATCCACCCGCAGTCATACTTACACTACAGGACATGGCTGCAGGCTACTCTAGCTGTACATATTTCAACGGAGCTCCAGGATACGTAGCTGCAGCCATGCTTGTTGCCTGGTCACTGCCAAGGCCCGGTACTTGGTGAAAAGGCTCCCACTGGCAGTGGAAAGTGGATAATGGCCAGGGGAAAGGGCGAGGGGTATGTTACACATACACACACACTCATCTGTACATGCATATATGGCTGGATGTACCTAAGTACATTTGTACAAAGTTACGTACATGCATGCGGATATCAACCAACGCCGCTGCTGCTGCCTTTCCTCCGCCGCCGCGCCCGCGGTCGCCGCCGTCACCGCGCATGGCTTGCAAAATATTCCCGATCACAAAGGCAAACACTTCACACAACCCCCCGGGATGAAGATCCAACAAGGAAATCCTTTACGCCCGCGGCGGTTACCCTTTTACATCCTCCCTACGTGTTAGCTTCTCTTGCTCTATGCTGCCGCGATTAGCCTCTCTCTCTCTCCCTCCATCCCTCAAACTCTATTCCCTGGCCCCTCTCGTATGACAACCCGCTGCCTCGACCACCTTCCCTAGACGTTGACACCCTTCCTACCCCAACTTCCAACTTCGGTGTCCGCAACAGTAGGATAAGGTTTCGGCGAGAACGGCCAAAATATGGCAACTCACGCGCATCATCAAGATCATCGTTCGATTAGTCATGTTGAGTGTCTTCTTGAATTTTTCTTGACCTGCCTGTTTGGAACCTTTTGCTCCTCGACTACGAATTTGGATGCTCGCACACACACACACACACACACACACACACACACACACACACACAAGGGTAAGCTATCTTGCATGCTTGGAAGAAATCAAGCTATACCAAGCACCGTCAATGAACCAGATTATCCATTTTGCTTTCTTTTTACCCCTCTTTCCTGCGTCGTTTTCGTCTTGATTTTCCTTTTCGTACCTCAAGTCTTGTGTCATGGTCCTGGAAGTTTGGTCCTGGTGATGCTTTCGTCAATGCCGATCGCAACCTTTGATGAACCTTGGAAGAAGAAAAAACACCACAAAACAGGCGCGTCGTACGAGGGAAAGCAGTACGTGCACTGAACAAAAACAAAAGTCAAAGTGGTATCAAGCTTGCCCAGCCCGCGATCAGCATGCTTGTTACCGTCTTGCCGTCGTCAAGGGGTTGCTGAGAATAAACAAAGTTTCCCAAAGTTCGACGCACGGTAAAGTTTGATTTATCGGAAGGTATGTGCACAGAGAAGAAATGTTTCACGCACGTCCACGCACGTCAGTGACGATCCCCGAAAAATAAAAAGGTCCAACGGGATAAGCATAGCTAAGAGATTACAAGTGCGAGGCTTGTTTTCGGCCGACCCGCTATATTTGCGTCGCACGACATCACTCCCCTTCCATTGTTGCGGCTTCTGTTACATTGCAGAACAGCATCGAACCGGCGGTCACTGTATTCGCGACATTGAACTGTGTTGCTACGTTGTACCAACTCCTAGTAGTACCTTGCAATGCGACAGAAAATAGCAAACAACCCTTCAGCCACAGCTAGGTGTCGAAACAACCCGTCGAAACAACCCGTCGAAACAACCCATCCAACCAACCCACGTCTGTACGACTCAGCCGCAGTTCCAACTCTTACCCCTACTACCTACTCTATGTGACGACGAGTCAATCTCAAATCACACATCCCATGCAACCCTCCCCCCTCCCCTCGTATCCACAACCTAGGTGTATCCTTTCCAAGGGGGACCCATCACACGCCACCAAAACCACTCTGCAAATGCAATCACCAGTACCAGTACCACTCTTTCTCCCTCTCCTTCCCCTCCCCTGCACACCACCCATTCCACCACCCAAAAATCAAGCTTTCCTCTTCCCTTTTCCCCCTCAACAAAGCAACCACGATCTACAAATCGCCAAATTCAAGCTTTTCATGATCGACCCAAACCCCCCCAAGCCTTGGAAGGAAAAAAAATGAGCACCCACTAAACTTTAATATCTCCTGTGATATCACCAGCCTCCCTCGTATTTACAAACCATACGAATAGGTAGGTGTGTGAGACAGTCTACACCAACTTGATTCAAGCTTTTTTTTCCCGTCTTCCTTTAGCGCACACACAGCCGATCCCATAGTAGCCACTTTACTTTCCTTACCTTACTTACCCCATATGCGTAAGTAGGTGCAAGGGTGTTGGGGGTTTTTTTTGGGAAAGTGATTGGATGTGTAAGGTACACACCCCTTCCCTGCTCCCCTCCTTACCCTGGGATAGAGTGAGGCTTGCAACCGAGGTTACCCTGTTTTCTCTGGGTTTCCCTTTTGTCCGGGAGGGGGAGTGGTGTGATTTGGGGGGGGGGGGGTTGCGACGGAATGAGAAGGGGTGTGTGTGTAGTGGATATATTCGAGGTTGGGGGGGATATGGATGTTCTGGTATAGTACCGTACATGCATCCCCCCCCCCCTTTGCTCTCCTTCTTCTCTAAAGAGAGAAAAGTAAGGCGAAAAGGCCGAGGTTAGCTTTTCTTTTTTCACTAGGTCTCTATTTCATCAGGGATGATTGGGGGGTTGCTTTTGTGAAGGAAAGGTAGGGATGAGGGAGAGAGAGAGAGAGAGGAAGAGAGATGAGGTGGTGGTGGAGGGGAATGGAAGGGGTGGGAGAGGATATAGCAATGTATCTGGGGTTTGTGGTGGTATATCCGTATAATATACGGGGGTTTCCATGTTTAAGCTAGGGAGAGTAAGTCGCTGGGATGAAGGAAGGGGGGGTTGAGAAAATAGTTTAGTAGGAAAGGGGAAATCATGGTTACTTGTAGTCTTGGTGATGAGTGAAGGGATATTCTTTTGTTTTGCGGTTCTACAGTCGAAGTAGGGAAGGTGGGATTCTAGGCGTGTGTGTGGGTGTATATACTGCGCCCTTCTCTCACGTACGATAGAAATACATAGGGATAAACCTTTATGAAGTGAGAAATACGAGATTACCTTGAGTTTCCTGTATGTTTCTTTCTATGTTTTTGTATTTAATTACTATGTTAAGCCTCTCGTTGTGTAAGATTATATATATACCTTTCTACTATGAAGCTGTAAATTTGGGAAGAGGTATCGCCCGCATAAGCAGGCAAGGGTATTCGGGGGTTAAGAGTGTGATTATAGGACAGTCAATTTCGAGGCCGGTGGATGTGGTGGGTCAAGGGAGGTGCAGGATATGTGCGAAGTGCAGAATGGGTGCAGAATTATGGTCGTGCAGGTAGGTGGAACCTGTGGATCATGATGGGTGTATTACGTCTAAGAACTGTTGTCGCGTGATAATACACGATTGCACTTCACGAATGATACGTATGTGGGAGCAGAAAGATTTTTTGTTCGAACAAGAAAGCAATCTCAGTTGCAGCTGGGGCGATGTCTTGGGTATATCACATGGTAGTAGTGAAGCATGCCCCGCGCCTTATACTTAGGGGCTCTCTACCCTCCATTTCACTCATAGCTATTACTTTAGATCTTGAGAACAACACAGTAATATAGTACACAAAAAAAATCCTAGTGACTACGAGTTTTATGCTTACACAATCTACCCCCCCCCCCCCCCCAGCGCTTCACCACAAACATACAAGATACTTCTAAAACTAGCGCTCAGCCTTTACCTAGAAGAACGTCCAACTTTGAAATTGCAAGCCTTGCCGCCGCAATGATTTCTGCTAGCATCCAAAGTAACCGAGTTCTACTCTGAGACTACGTAAACATTGTCTTTGGAATCGTTACTACCTTGAAAGCACTACGACGCTCGTTTTTTTTTTGGAATTGAAGGAGGACTACGGCGTGATCCAAGCCCACGCTACTAAATTTTCCATCTTCCCCTGACGCCTGCCATGTGCCCAAGCGAATTTAAAGCGGCATTTGCTTGAACTCAGCCAAGCTGATGATGTTGGTCCGCGAATAACGCAAAGGTGAGTTTTAAGTACCAGCCAACAACAGCCGAGCCTCAGAAGCGAGAGTGAGGATAAGCTGTGGCTGGAGATTGAGAAACGCATGACACAGCTTGTGAGCGAAAAGTGGTGGGTGCATGTATCGTTCAACACAGCTCTCATAATCCGGATCCCGGCTTTTGTTGCTCGACTGGTCTGCTGGAGAGCCCTTCCTCGTTGGGCTTGGAATTATATCTTTGGTTTCCTCCTAGACCCAAAACTCGGAAGCTTCGCAGCCTCAAAGCAACTCACTTGGCGTTCTCATTGCCTATATCTTAGACACAGGTATAGGACTCGTACCATTCTTCGTGCCTATGCTTCTCAAATATCTCGAGGGGGAGACGCGCCCATCCGACTACTCGTGGGGGGGGGGCGCTTTGCGGTACACACAAATCCAACTAACGATTTCCATCTGGACTGAACCCGTATGACAGTTCTCGCCCCCGCAGTTGGATGCAAGAGCCTGAGTACCTCGGGCATAGATGGGAGAACTCTGGGTAAGAGAAGGCTAGAGGTGGATGAGTTTTTTTTTACCAGGTTCCGCCAAACGAGTCGAGAGCGAGTTTAGGTAAAAGGGGGCCAGTGACGTCGTCCCAATATGAATTTCGAATTGCAACGAGAAAAAAAAGAGAGTATGCAAGAAGAGCATGAGCGGAGGGGGGGGTTGGGTGGAAAGAGGAGAGTAGAGAGCGTGGAACGAATTCTTAACGGGAAAAACATCATGGCGTATGCTTCATGTCGTTCAGTCATGGTTACTGTACTCGCCTTTAAGTTTCCCAAGATGGGAACGGTAAATAGATGGAGATAAATAGCCACTCAATAATTTCTGGAATATAAACTACATAAGAGAATAAAGAACCTTCCCCACTTCCATCGCTTCATGATGCCTTAATCCCCCATATGTAACCATACGTACACTAGTAACAACAGAAAAAGAAAAGAAAAACTTCCATGATATCACTTCGGCCCATCGAACCTCGCACCATTCCTTAGCTTTAACCCCACTACCCTTCATAACTCCCCCCTTTAAACATCCACATACGCCATGTTGACAAAGTAAAAACAAAAACCCTTCTTCATCCCTAAATCAAACCCCACACATATAGTACATTCAACCACCCCCTACTTCTTCGCTGTTTTCCCCTGATACTCAATATCATACTGAAAAAAGCTATCCCAAATACTACTCTTCCGCGCATGCGGTTCTCTCCTCGGGGTACCGGTGCTTGGACTCGCCGTGCGCGTATCAGTCGGGCTCGCCGCTCTATTCGGGACAGGTGAATTATTCATAGAGCGAAGGCTGGAAAGCAGGGTCGGCATAGAGGATTTTCGCGGAGATTGGTATTGCGAGACGGTGGATACCTGTTTGCAAAAAAAAGAGTTTCGTTAGCTGGCGTGGACACAACCAGGGGGGATGGCTTTGGAGAGGGGGAGAGCTTAGATTTACAGGAAGTTTCCATAAAACCTAAGGTCCCCAGAGTAGGTCGCGCACATTGGTTCCGTTTCCGTCGTAGGCCGTCTTGTCTGGTTCTGTGCCGTTTGTCTCGGTTTCTCGTAAGTGGCTGGGGCCATGTGTGCCGGCGGGGCTCCCGCCTCGTGTTGCGGTGGCGGAGTTGGGGGTGGAATTTGCGCGCTCGCCTGGCGAGAGGGCTTCTGCGGAATTGTTCTTGCCTGCTAGAGGGGCACTCTTCTTACTAGTGCCACTGCTGCGACGGCTATCGAGCGATTTTCCGAGCTGTGTAGCTGGGTCCATCAAGGACTTTTTCTTTGACTTTTGCATCTCGCCTTGCCCGGTTTCAAGACTGCTCTTGACGGTCACGGCGCCTTTGATGCCCGGGGTGCCGGGTGCCATGGCTTTCTCCTCGGTAGCTTCCAGCAGGTACCAGCGTAGCCCATCGGAAAGCTCAAAGGGGTTGTCGTCTTCAAACGACACTGCGTTGCTCGAAGCAACAGAGCGATCGTCTAACGATGCCCGAGGTGGACCATCCAGCGTTTTGGATAGGTCAACAACACGCTCTTCTACTTTCGATATGCGTGCCACAAGCCACTCCTTTCCTCCCAAGCGATGTGTGTCTTGTTCGCGAAGGAAGTAATGCGGCGCTCCGACATTGAAGGCGGCCCAAGGACGATGCGCGTTGTTGCGGGTTGGCAAGAAAAGGGCGAGATCACCTTCCTTGAAGGAACGATACGCAATCTTGTCGTGCGAGTCGGCCTGGAATCGGTGTGCTTTGTCACGGTATGCTCGTGCTTCCTTTTGCCACTTTCGTGCCGTGTGCTCCATGTCGCGCATGCGCTTGGCCACAGCATCGCTGAATATCTCAATGTTGAAGAGATCCAGCTTGGAAATCAGCTCATGGTAGCGCTGGTCTTCCTCTTCTGGGCTCATTGCTTCTGTCCATTGAAGGAAGTGTAAATCGCCTATATCTTCTAGGAAGCGCTTCAGGGGAGTAGGCGAGGGCGTGGTTGTGCTTCGGCTGATTCCTGCGCTGGCATCGGCCATGACAGTGCTGTTGCCAAGTTTGGACGCCCTCTGCAGTACCATTTCGCCATTCTCGTGGGTAATGACGAAACCTAGTGCTTCCAGCAGACGGACTAGGCGCTCGTGTTGTGTGTACAGACGCTGACTGAGATCCTTTGCGCGGGTCATGCGTTGATGGGTACGCGACGAATCGACCTCTTCCAGCTTGCGCAACCTCTTCTCAGCCCGCATAAGCTCGACATCAAGGCTATTGGCATGGGAGTTCTTCTCGGCCAACTCTGTCTGAAGACGACCAACCTTGGCCTCTTCCTCCTCCACCCGCTTCCGCAGAGCTTCAGAACCGGTTTCGCCCTCAGCGAATTTCGATCGAAGATCATGCAGATGGCTCTTCTCCTCTTCGAGTTGTGCGGTAATCGAGGCTGCCTTTGCCTTTTCTGCATCTAGATCTTCTCGGACCAAAGCAATTGCCTTCTCGTGCTCAGCCGCCTTGACGTTGAAGTTGTTTTCTTGTTCCTCAATCCTGGCATGAGCATTCTCGTTGTCGGACTTTGCCACTGCCACAGCCTGCTGGAGCTCCTTCTGGTAGTTCAGTGACCGCACAGCCACATCCTCAAGCTGCGCAATAAGTGCCGAGTGATCATCGGGTACACTTGTGCCTGGCGAAAGATGATTGAACACTGTAGCTAATGATTCGCGTTCTTGTGTCCTGGCAGCTTTGAGCTTGATGATTTCAGCCTGTAGTGCTTCAGTCTCATCTGTGCGAGTCTTTTGCTCGGTCGCTTCCTTGCGCGTCTGCTCTAGTTCAGCAACGAGTTCTTGTACTCTGGTATCGATACCAATTCGCTCGTTGTCGCGACTACCAAGAATGCGATCCAACTCGTCTTCAGCCTCCTCAATCCTGGCCTTGTAGACTCGAATCTCATCTTCTAGCGACTTTCGCTCCTCGGCAAACTCCTTCTGTTGCGCTCGCATGTTCTCCATGATGTTGTTCGTGGTAGACATGGCCTCTTCGAATCGACGTTGTTGATCGGCGTCCTCATCCCTCCGTGACTGAGCTTCATTTTCGAGCTTCGCACGAGCTTCCTTTTCGGCTGCGAGTTCTTGCTCCAGGCGCAGGATGCGACGCTTATCTTCTTGTCCGGTGTTTGTCGAAAGCCGCCTGGAGGAGATGGAGGAACGTCTGGAGTTTTCTTCCATCGGTCTTGGCGAGGCCACGCGCGTTGTCGGTGTTGAAGGTTCCGCTGCATCAGGGATGCTGAATGACGGAGGAGCACCACCTATAGAGAGCCTGCTGACAGTGTTTTGGCGATGTACGAGGTCTTCTAGTCGGCGGACACGGCTCTTATAGCCTCTCAGCTCCTCCTCAAGCTTTGCATTGCCTTCCTTCAGCACGCGCAACTCATCATCACCTCTCATCATAAGATGTGAACCTCTACCAAAAGCCGGCTCATGCACACTACCCATTTTAAAATTCTTTGCACGCTTGATTTGTTGCTTTGTAGGACGGTCCAGATCTTTGATAGCATGAGCGAATGCCTCGGCTTCAGATTGTTGGCCATCGAGTCTTTGCAGGTCTTTGAGGTAGTCCCGGAGCTCTTCGCGGGTGACTGTGGGCCATACCGTCTTCTCAGGCTGTACGTTCATTTCAAAGCCAAGTGCGCCTCCTTGCACAGCTTCCAGGTTAACAACATCGGCAATCGGCTTTAACCATCTCTTACGCCGCCGCTCTTCTTCCTCCTGGAAAGTTGCCATTTCTTCAGCGAGTGATGATGTATCCCTTTCCATTCTCTCCATCCATTCTCGCCTCCGGACAGCTTCAACGAGTAGCGTGCCGTATACGTATGGTAGGCGACCGACTAGAGAGATAAGCTCAAAGGCTGCAACCCCTTCGTGCGGTATGCTGATTTGCTCGAGATCTGCGCCCATGCTTGCTATGAAGGACTCAATGTTGGCGATGCCCTGCATGCTCTCAACCGAGTTTCTGATGGCTGCATTCTTTTGCTCCACAGCCCGTCGCACGAGATCGCTCATTTCTACACTGTATTCCTGTATGGCTGGCAGGAAATTTCGGGTATGCAACAAAGCCATCTTGGAGACTTGGGCGACTGATTTGGAGCTTGCCTCGAGCCCCATTACATGCTCAAGGTCTGATTCGACCTTTTTTGCTACTGCGTCGATTTCGTTGTACAGGCGGACGGGCTCTTCGGTATCGTCGACCACGGACCGGCTCTGACTCTGACCAACCGCTTTCAACAAATCGTTGTAGTCTGCCGCAATCTTCTCTAGCTGCATGTTCATCTTGTCCATGCGCTTTCCAAAAGCCTCGCGTACGCGCTGGCTAGTCGCCGTGGCCATCTTGACCGCCTCGACATCGAGAAAGTCCTGGAGCGTCTCACGAACAATCACATTGCTGGGTACATTCTTTGCAGATCGCATTTCCTTGGCCAAAAATCGCTTGAAGTTCAGGATAGCGGAAACTGTTCCTAGCTGTGCAAAATCCCTGTCCAGCCTCCGGAGGTTGTCTCCCGCTTCCTTCTCTACCCCATCATACCACTCCTTGGCTGCTTTATACTTTTGCTCCAACCCCTTGATATGCGCATCATGGTTTCCAACTGCGACTTGTGTAGCCCTTTCGATGGTTGCTTGCTCGGCAAAGTGCTTGGAGGCTATGCGTGACATGGAGTGTGACTTCTCGAGAAGCGCAAACGCCCAGTTGCGGCGGGCTTGGAAGAGCGCTTGCCATGCTCCAAGGTCTGTATTGCTGGCGAGGTGATTTGGCGCATCTTCGGGGGTGAAGTGATCGGGTAGAGGCGTTGAGGATATGGCAGCCTGCGGGTTGTTGGAGATCTCGCGACTAAATACAAATATCTCCTTCTACAAATAGTCGTGTTAGCATACAGTGGAGAGGATGTCGTGTGCAAAAATATGACTTGCCTCTGTCAATAACGCTTGTAGTTTGACATGCTTGCCTTGGGTTGTGAGCAAGACCTGCTGCTCAGGCGGAATCTCTGTAGTCCTTGAGATCCAGTACTTGAGCGCATCGACCGAAGTAAAGGCAACGGGATCAGCGTCAAGACGCTGGCCCGTATGAGCTACAGCAATTTGTAGCGACATCCAGCTCTGCCCTTTTTGCGTGTTGGAATCTTGTCAGGGCAGCAGCAGGGGCAAGATGGAGAGTAGAGTGTTGAAGCGTGAGCACATGGGACCAAATACCGCCAAGCATGTTCACGCAGGGAGCTGCGCATGGGCCCCACGACACTGCATCATGATGAAGGACAGGCTCGGTCAGATGAACCAGGTCCCGACTGCAATCTTGGAAACACACGGAAACAATATCGGACAGCATGGCAACACGGGGGGATGTCGACATGATCGACGTGGGTGCGAAAACACAGAATGCGCACGACGACGCGGATTTGCTACAGACAAGGCACAGCGACGCGTTCGCGTTCTCCGAGACTGAGATGCTCGCCCTGCAGCTCTACGACCAGCTCAAGGAACTGGAGCTGCAGCAGAGCCTCCTACAAGCGCAACAAGCAGGCACGTTGAACATGTCAAATTGGGTTAATCAGGGCGGGGATTAATGCAAACTGTAGCACAAGCGCATGACTTCTCGGCGCTCCCAGATGACTTGGTGGAGGAGCGCCTGACCATAGCGCAGCGCGAGGCTATGGAAGCGAAGGTAGAGTATGAGATCAGGAACAGAATCACGCACAACGTCCTGGTCATGGATCCAGTGCTAAAAGCCGTCCATGGGGGCGAGCGGACTCGATTCGCCGAAAAGTTGGTCTCAGGCTGGCCGTCATAGTGTGTGGTTGTCTAATGGCCTACAGGCGCCTGCTCCCACTCGTGACCGAAAACGACACAATCGCCATGACCCATGGTGCTCAAACCGCCAAACTTGCTTCTACCACACGTGCTCTCAGTGCAGCAGAACAAGGAAACATGGTTGCGAACCAGAAGAATCGGGAGCTGGCACAGACGATGCTTGCTTTGGCCGAAGAAACGAAGGCGCAATCAGTGCAGGACATCGAAGACGCGCAGTTGCGCAGCCAGGTGGATGCTGTCGAGAAGCAGCTGGCAGAGTCGAGACGAAGGGTGAAGACGCTCAGGGGGGTATTGTCAGGCATGATTGTGGGGAGTGGAATCAACTGGGCTGCAGACGAGGGCTTGACGGAGCTGGTGATGGATGACGAGGAGGACGGGTGAGCTTGTGGTGATGGGGCAGAATAGATAGAGGATGATGCATGGTTCAGGCGCGGGGGTCAAGGGCAGGCTGAAGTGTGGTGATTGTCAAGTTGAAATGGAGCTGGGCTGCCTCAGCGCATGCGTGTAGCCAACGAACGTTTGCAGTCTTGTGGTCAAGAGGTGTATGTGCGCGCTGGGTGGTGTTTGTTGACCGAGGGACGTCATGGCGGTTGCTGGAGCAATGGGGCAACGGGGGCAGCGATGGAATGGAGCAGGAGCGGGCTCGCTCCAACCTCTGGCCGACTACGGTCGGGGAAGCGACGGGGGCGCGTTGCCGAACCTTTTGACGGGCCGGTCTAGGCGTTGGCGTGCCTGCATGCATGCATACCTCGCATGTCGGCTTGCCTGCCTGCCTGCCTGCCCACCCACGAGCTTCTCTGGGGGGAGTGGCTCATAGGGCCTCCTGGGCGACAAGAGGCGGCGCTTTGTGTTTGGGGAGCAGAGTCAAAGGGGGGCAAGGGAGGACACTTGGCACAAGAGGGGCGGGGCAGTGTAGTGTAGTGTAGTGTGAGTGTGAGTGTGGTCATGTTGACGAGGCAGGAAAAAGAGAGGCATGGGCAGAGAGAGGTGTGGCCAAAAGTAGGCGCATACACAGGGAGGGCCATTGATAGTAGTACGTCCGTAGGTGCGGAGGACATGGCAAGGCAGGCAGAGAGATAATAGGTATAGTCAGGCCAGAGCAGAGTCAGATAGTAGGCTGGGTAGCCGTCACCAAGGCCGTGGGCACGACAAGCTCACGCTGCGGGGTCGGGCACATGAGGCAGGCTGGCCAGTCAGCTCGGATGGTTCGTGGAGCTCGTGTAATAGCGAGGGTTTGGTGAGGCCTTGGAGCCGGGCTGGGTGCCCTCTGGTGGTCGGGGAAGGAGAGCAGGCCGCCACGCTATTCGAAGATAACGTCAACCAGGGCCGCCTCGCATGCGCCCAACGAATGGTAGACCATGCTCTTCTGCGTGCAATCTAACCAAACTTGAAACTCGCCAGGAGAGAGCAGACGAAGGGGGCGCCCAAGCATGATGCGCGTCCGTGTTGGCCGCGCGCGCTGCGAGGGTGGGTGCAGGCGTGTTTTGGGCGAGGGCGCGGGCCTGGCACACTGGTGCTGGGGGGGGGGGGGGAGAGACGTGATGGAGACAGACGGGTGGATGGATGCATCGAGGGCTTCACAAGGGAATTGCTCGCGTCGCCGTCACTGATTCCATTGCAACTATCGTCGCCCTCGCTTCCATGGCTGCGGCAGTCCCTCTCACCCCCCTTTGGCGAAAAAAAAAGACAGTGCAGCGTGAGTGCAGCGTGTGCCGTGCGGGCGAGACTTGGTGCGGTGAGGCAGCGCAGCTCCCGGTGGACAAAGGAGGGGTGGTGGTCCGGGTGCGCTGCTATGCCATGGCTGCAAAACAAGCGTGCTTACCTAATGCCCTCGCCCTGCCAGGCCGCGCTGTGAGGGTCCTTTGCGGCCCTCGCTGTTTTCGCTGCGTGCTCACCAAAACCTCGCAGTGTAGACCGCCCATACAACTCTGGCCTGCAAAACCTTTGGTGAGTCGTCCCCGCCTGCAAATGCCAAAGTCGCTTCATCACCAGCACCCCTTTTCGCAACAACACCCTTTTTGCACGCGTTTTCCCGCCTCATTTCGCCCTTCTGCTCCTCTCCCAGCCCTCTTTCTGCATTTCTGGCGACACCTTCGCATTCCATTTCTTTCGTCGTCGCCATCACTGCGCCTGCGCCTGCACTCCACGCCCATCCCATACTGACCGCAAAACAGACCTTTATCAACCCCTTCGATTTTGCTGAATCCGGCAACTTTGGTGAGTACTTGCTCCTTCTATCATCGTAAAATCGCGCATCCTCGCGTCGTGTTGTGGTGTTTTGCAACCGCGTCACTCCACGCGCATAGCAGCATTCCAGCCCTGCAACCACCATTGCCATTGCCCACGCCTTTACCACCATCTCCAGCTTCTGCCAGGCAACACCGCTACTCCCCACCTTCACCCGTGGTACACGTGTCTGCATTGCTCACCTCGCCTCCCTCGTTTTGCTTTCTGTCCAAAATCCCTCTCTTTCGTCTCAACCACCACCCAGCTAACCCCCAGCAATAGCACATCAACCAACATCATGCCCAAAGAAAAGACCACCCGCAAGGCTGCGCCTAAGACCAAGACCGAGAAGAAGAAGAAGGGTAAGTTTTTACTCACGTGCTCCTGCTCCTCCTCCTACCCTGCTAACCAGCTGCAGACCCCAACGCGCCCAAGCGTGGTCTCTCTGCCTACATGTTCTTCGCCAACGAGCAGCGCGAGAAGGTCCGCGAGGACAACCCAGGCATCAAGTTCGGTAAGCTGATGCTCCTTGACCCCTTGTCCGCTCTGTTTCTAACCTTTTTTGCCCAGGCGAGGTCGGCAAGCTTCTCGGTGAGAAGTGGAAGGCACTCAACGACAAGCAACGTCAGCCATACGAGGCCAAGGCTGCTCTAGACAAGAAGCGCTACGAGCAGGAGAAGGCTGCTTACACCGTATGTCTTCTCCCCAACCCCTGCAACCCAAAAAAAATCACGTGCTAACAACTCTAGGCTGCTGATGAGGAAGAGGAAGAGTCCGAGTAAAGCTTATCATCGGAGGTTCCTGGGCTCGGGCTTTGCAGTCCGCCTCCCTCTCTATCTCTTCAATTTCCTTTATGTGATCCTTCCTAGGCTTTAATGGGTTCGTGAGTTCTGTCTCGAACATGGGGTGTGCGTGTGTATCTCAGTGTCTTCGGCTAGCCAAATCTGTGTGGTTCCATTTGCGCGATAAAGGGAACGGTCACAGTTTCAGTCTCATTTCCAGCGCTTGTGACTTGTTCGGTCATGATGTTTGGGGGCGTCTCTTCCTCCCCATCTTCAACCCTTTTTTTCTCCATCTCGCGAAAGAAAGGGGCAAAAAAACATCACGAAGCTCATGACCAAGTCTATGTGTACACTAGTCTAAACTTTGCAGTATGGAGATTTATTTTGCTTGCTGCTTCTAAAACTCTTGTTCTTTCTTACTCCATGCCCACGTGATTGTCGGTCATGTACATATGTATGTACGCCGCAGTGACATAAACCCCCCCGGGCCCCTCGGATCAACATCACACATCCGACCCTCCTTTTTTTTTATTTCCCCTCAAACAAAATCGCTCACGTCAAACATACGTAACGCTTTACCACCCAATACCCCGCAAACCAGGGGTTTACTTGCCTTCCCACTCTTGGTCCTCTCCCCTTCCCCTCCCTTGCCCTTTCCCAACCAACCACCCAAATCACTCCTTCCCCCCCATATATCTTTTCCCATTTACCTGTCACCTCATCGAAC